CTTGAATCGAGTTATAAACAATAGTTCTGAAGTGATTTTGTGACATTAATCTGCAGGAAGGGAAGAAAGGGGAAAGGGAGAAGTGGGGAAAGGGAGAATTTCAATCTGAAATGCATCAACATTAATAAAAAGTTACTCTTGTATTAATCAATGCTTCTGGATTCATCAATAAAAATGAAAAGCATTTACTTTTGTTACTTACGATGTGCCATTTTCATTAATTTACGCAACAACATTGTATTGTATGATACAACGTATGTTGGAGGAATAATTAACGACACGCTTCCCTTTATAAGTATTTTGTTACTTGATAACGAACGTATATTTAATGATGCTAAGCTCAAAACTAAAATCAATTTTATGCATGCCTTATTCACTAATTCACAGCTTTCACAACCGGTTGTTCGGTTTTAATGAAGATGCTTTTGGATTCAGGTATTTTATGAAATCACTTTTTTATCTGCTGTTCTCGGCAATGTTGCTGCATGTTCCTTTTAGTTTTTGCTCGCTTTCAATGTCAAAATAATTGAAAAACTTATTCAAATATGTTTTTGCTATCACACGTCGTACCTTCCATCTTTTTTTATTATTTAAATCAACTCGTTTTTAATTATCAACATATGTATTTAAAAAAGTCAACATTAATTAGATTGCATCACACCGATTTCAAATTTGAGATTCAGTCTGTAGCTGACACAGTTGACATTTTTCATCATTAAGCTTCTTCACTCTGAAATTCAGAATTTGAATAAGAAAATTAAATATTCATGACTAGAGGGAAATGGAAAAGTTAAAAAACGGATGAAAAGTTCGAAATGAAAAAGAAGATCTTTTGGGAATCTCTGCAAAGAGACTTTTTGAGGATCTTTGGTCATGAGGTTGAAAAATTGAAAGCTCTGTTATGCATAAAAGTGATTGATTAACATTTTTTTAAGAGACAGGTTTGCTCGTTGTTGCTTGAAGCTTGTTTTAAAAGGATGTTCAGTTTCATAAACTTCAATTCTGATGGCAGCATCGTGGTTTATCTTCTGTAAACAAGAACTGAAGCGTCTCAATTAAATTTCTAATGTTTCAAAGCTTCAAAATTCTTGTGTGCATTCGAGCATGACAACCTAGGTTAATTTTATTGAATTTTAGATATATATGAAAATTAAAAAACTTCATTCCAAACGAACATGATTTTATTTCATTATCAATTTCATGTTGTGGAATAATTTTTGCCATTCCAGGCACATTCTATCGATAAGGTCGTTTGAAATATTAATGAAAACTTCATTTTAAATGTCAATTAAAAGCTTCAATACAGAAATATTGCTTTTGTTCATGACGCAAACGTGATTATAACATCGAGAAAATATACCATTCAGAATGAAATAAATGTTTAATCAGCATCAGATCAATAGACAATGGAAAAGCCCAACTTTCAGTTATTTTTTTATGAAATTGAGTAATAATCGAGAAAAGTTTTTGATTAAATTACAAATCTAATCAATTGAAAAGTTTTTTATGCTTCAAATATTTAAAACCAGTCATCTTGATTTATTTTATTGCATTTTATAAAACTTTGAATGTTTCGATTTGTCGCTTCGTTACGTCAAAGTGATTTGATTTGATTGATACATAAATAAATAATTCTGCAAATGAAAACTTTTGACTTGATTTTAGTTTCATTAAAACATTTTCTATAAAAAATTTACGGTTCTGCTTAATGAAAATCGCAAATGTTGGAATATTTCTGTACTAACGCACGCTGAATGTCAAATATTTAATGCATGAAATTGTCCATAATGTAAACGTTTATAATATGATTGTACGCTTTAACAAATCTCGTTCTTCATCCACCTTTAAGTGCTGGAAAATTCTTCTGCTTTAGAGTTGTCATAATATTGCTGACGCATTTAATATTTATGATTGCATTAGAAATGTTTGGATGGTTGAAAAAGAAGAAATACAATTCCATCTCATGACATTATCCGGTTCTTTTGTGTTTCCGACATTTTTTTCCTCTCCTTCCATCAACATCAGCAAATATTATTTTTTTATCCTTCTTTGATTCGCAAATGTTTTCATTCAATTACTTGAATATTGATGTGAGAATGCATGCGGAAGATGAATATCTAAGGAAACAAGTATCTAGATTGAATATATAAATAAAATGAGAACAGTCATAGATCATAAATTTAAGATGATTTATGTTAAATAAATTTGTCATAATTTGTTCTTCTTATTTTAATTTCCACATTATAGCAATTTATTGGAAAAGACAAGTGATGCTGTGATTAAAGCATCAAAAACGGGAGACTTAGCATTGGTGAGTTTTATTTGATAATTTTTGACAAATTCAATTAATCAGGAAGTTTTCGTTTAAAACAGTTGAAGGAACTACACCTTCAAGGATACTCACTTTTATCGATTGATTCGATGGGACTTACAGCACTTCATCATGCCAGTCGTTATGGGAATAAAGACGTTGTCAGATTTCTGATTGCTTATGCGCCCAATTCTATTATTAACATGATTGATAATGAGAAAAGTCAAACGGCATTGCATAAAGCTGCCGCATTGAAACGAAGAAGTATTTGTTATATGCTTGTAGCCGGCGGATCCAATTTGCTTATTCAAGATAATGAAGGCAAAACACCAAAAATACTGGCACTTGAAGCTGATGATCACGAGTTGGCAGCTTATCTCGAGAGTAAGTCGAAATGATCTGAAATATGTATTGAAATTAATTAATCTATTGACTTTCGACTCTGGTTGTCAGTCAATTGTAGCATGTTGAAGGTCAAGAATTTGATTGATTTTTTTCTCATTTTCTTTTTCTGTGTCTTCTCAAATCATCTTTTACAGGTCAAGAGCAATTTCACTGCTAAGATATCGAATTTACGGTAAGAAGGCAGAAGAATCTCTTAAAGCTGACCATACATTTAACATATCAGAATTAAGAATCGACATTCCAATTTATTGCTTTCTTTCCGTTTTCTCATTCAAGTCGCTTTTGAGTGGAGAATTGTAAAAAGAAAATTCAAATGAAATGAACTAAGAAGAAAAATGTGTTTTTGACGAATCTTGAAGTTGACCAAGAAGAATAAAATTAAAATTTAATTGAATTAAATGAAGATAAGATTATCTACATGAATAATGAAAGAAATTCCTTTAATTAATTCGCTCGTTTTCTCAATTTCTCAATGTAAAATTTGTACAGACAAAACAAAAAAAAAGTTAAATACATTGTGGTAAAAATTAGATGAACATAAACGAAAGTTTGCTGAACTTCAGCAACGTAAATAACTTTAAGAATATTTTCCAAAACAAAAATAATAATAAAAAATTTTAAGTCATTGCCAATCAAAAATTTGACATGAAGATAAATGAAAAGTGAAACTTATGATGTTTGAGTAAAATCTGTAAATATTTAAGAAAACATTTATTAAACAAATAGTAAAAGCTAAGATTTATGTAAAAAAATACTCATTTTGAAACCGTTCATAAAGAAATCTCAGAGCAGCTCCTAATAAAAGTTTAAATTCTTTTTCTTATTCTTGTTCAATAAATTTTAATTCAGATGAAGCAATGTGAAGATGTAGCAGGAGATTGGAACATTTAAAGGAAATAGTTTACAGTGGCAATTGAATGCAAAGATATGAAAAATTGTTTAATCTTTGCACGTTTTCTGTAAACTTTTTCCTAAACACCAAAACCGCCTGCAGCAACTCAACACAGACCATAAACTTCTGAAAGAAAATCTGATAACTTTTTCTGAAAGATTTTTCCTTCTTTGGACATCAATCATTGGTGGCAATGCTAAAAATCTTTCAGTTAACATTTTGACTTTCAGAGTTTTCTTTCTTATGAACTTTAAACTTTGATAATATTTCACGTATCAGATGATATCTCACATCGAAACATGATTAAATCACTTGATATTATTGGATCACTTGACAATTGGCAAAACTTAATGATGACTAAAATATATTTTTTTACCAAAATTAATTAACGAATATAAATGAAAATAGAAAACATAAAGTGGGGAAAGGAAGTAAAAGTCAATTACTAAAATTAAAAGAAAATTAAGAAGCAATTTTGCATTCGTGTCAAGGAATGAACAGCGGCCACGATGTTTATATTTAGTAAAGTCAAGTGTAACATGAAGTGAAAAACAAAATTTCTCGGTTAAAATATTTGTTAATGAAAGAAAAATTTGAATATAATAAATTATCGTGTCGTACTTTGTCATCATTTTTCTTCTTGCTATAATTGAAAGCGTCGTCTTTCTCATTAGATAAATTAAAAGTAATAAATTTAAATAAGAAAAGAGAATTTTTCTGCATAATAATTTTTTATCATGATTATTTATTCGTTTTTGGAACATGTTCCTTTGTTGTCGGTGATTAAATATAATGATATGAGATAAGAGAAAAACAAATATATATAATACAAAAACATGTACTTAAAAGCGTTGTTACAAGAATTATTTCTTTCGGGTTTAGATAATAGTAACTCGTAAAGCATTTATAATTTGTTTTTCAACCGTTTCGGTTGCTACTTTTCATTTGGTTATTGCGTGGAAGTGACATTAGTGATGGAGCTGAGAAATGATAGCTCGATAATTAATTTCAGTGTAGAGTCTTCGTGCCTCTAGACTCTACATCTGATTTCATTCACTTCTTATCTCAATCTTTTCATGGATCTTTTTTCATTCCTTTCTCATAGCTCATAATAATGAAAGACGTGAAAGTTGATTGAGAATGAAATTTGAACAGAAAATGTAGGAAATTTTTCTTCATTCTCTTTCTTCAGATTTTTTTCTCGCTTTTATTACTATAGCGATAAAAAAATTCATTTCGCCTTCAAGAGTCTCGGATTCACTTTTATTTTGAGCTAAATATGAAAGAAAAATCAAAGAATGAAAAAAGACTCCATGAAATATCTTTCTTTGAAACAAAATAAATAAACATCTATAACTACTGTAGAAAAATGTTTGAGAAGAAAAAGAATAAAAATAAATAAAATTTTCATTCATAATGAAAGCTTCATTCAAGCTCAACTTTGACAAGCTTTTCGTTTATAAAATAACAAAATCAGGTTGAAATGCGAATGACAATCTCAACGTCATGTCGGGTTAATTCTTAAATCCATTAAGTATCCATCATTTGTGTTGAATGAAAAGAGTTTCATGTGCGTGGGTAGATGACACAGAAATAAAGAAAAAATGTTTTAATAATTTTTCCATTTAATTTGAAAATAATTAAATGTTTAAAAAAGTCACAAAAAGTGGACGAAAATTGGAAAATCTTTTAAGAATGAAATTGTCTGGTAATTAGCACATTGCCACTTTTTTGCTTAAATACATTTATATAATGAATAAATGGCTCACGTTAATTACCGGACTTAAGCGATCTCAAATTACTTCCGTGATTCTCATCAACATCTAAACTGAACCTTTGCATTTAAAAAGGTTACATTTTACAGATATCAAGTTGATTTTGCGTTTCAGTCGGTACCACTTAGGGAAATTAAAATTTTCTCATCTTTTTCAAATATTCAAAATATGATGGAAAATTCTTGAACCTCACCCGAAAAGAAAAAGGAAAAACAGTTCTCTGGGGTGAGATTCAAGAGAAGTAAATATTTGAAATGAATTTCCACAATGTTACTTGAGCCCACAATTAATTATTCAAAGTCAATAGAAGTGGAACGTTTTAGATTATCGCAAATTGAAGATTATCAACTCAATTTTTACTCACATTCAAACACCCACAACATAACATCGTTCTTCAACATTTAACCCAAGAACGTTAACTGGTTGAGATATATCTTTCAAAAGGCTATGACGTAAATCATAAGAGTTGATAGAGCATAGGAAGGAGACAGAAGGATGGAGGAACAAGAAAGTTAAACTTGAAAACCTTTTTAATTAATTTTTGAAATACTTGTTCAAATCTCTCAAAGATATTAGTGTTGTTGAGTAAAGAAATATTCTGTTAAAAGGTTTTTCTTGCTTACCAATATTGTATAATATTATGGGATATATTTAGGAAGGTTTGCTTGAATATCTTTTACATCACAAGCCTGAGTCACGTCGAAATTATATCGCAATAAAACTCTGAACATGACGTTTAAGATTTCAATCCATATGAAGTAAAAATTTGTGAAAAACAATTCGTTTCGCATTTCTTGCGATCAAAAACATATTTTGAAACAATGAATGAAGAGAAGAAAAAAAATTATTTATGTTGTGAAAAGCATCATGTTGAGTCGTAAAGAATTTTTGCGGTGAAAATATGTTGTGGAAATATGAGAGAAAAAAGAAAAATAAATGACAATCATAAAAGAATCTTGATGTTTGTAAATGATATTTGACAATGAATAGACTCTTAAAGGAGTGAAGATAAAAAAACATAAATTTAAGAAGAAAAAGAAATAAAAGTAAAAAAAATATTTGTGACTATCATAAAGCACTTTTGAAGTCCCCGATTTATGAAATGCACTGAATTGACATTGAAAGTTTATTATTTTTTAAGAATGATTTCGTAGATAGATAATTAAATAAATAAATTAAAGTATCGTAATTGCTCGCGATTGGTCATGTTAAAAAGAGAAATTCTATATTTTTAAATTTCATAAATAATATTTGATTACGAAGCGAAGAGTTTAAGATTTTATTAAAAAGTTATTTTCCCGACTCATTTCTAGTCGCTTAGTCTTCATTAAGAAATTCATAATTTTTGCATTAAATAAAAGTTGAAAGAAATAAGAAAATAAAAATCGAACTTTACTTTCAAAGCGATAACTCATAATTGCACTGCAAGCACCGAGGAATTTAAAAAACAGGAAATGGAAAAAAAATGAAAAAATCTTATGAACTACGAAGGGGAAAAAAGATTAAAGAAATACTTTTTCCTTTACTCTCATCTTATTAGGGAAACTTTTCTATTTGTGCATTTTCCCAATGGGATTTTTCTACCTAATGTGTTTTGTGATTCCGAAGAAATATTTTTCATATATAAAAAAGGAATGCTTGTCATCCGAAGCTAATCTAAGAACATTCTAGGGAGCAAAAGCCTCTAGGCGAATGACGAATTTCCCAGGTTTTTGATAAGTAGAGCGAAGGTCGTTGTTCCCTTGGAAATTTTAGGGAGCATGTAAAAGGAAAATGAAATAATTGTTGAAAATGAAAAATTGATTTAATTTGTTTACTTCCTTCTCTTCAAAGAAAAAAACTTCTCCATCATAAATATGTAAAAAAAAACTTTTAAAGATGAAGAAAACTAAAAGAAACAATTCTATGCAATTATTTTTTCGCACCAATGCATGAGAAAGCCTTAAACATTCCCATAATTTGATAAATATGATAATTAATTTTCCAAAACAATTGTTTTCAAAAGCTTGAGATAAATTTTCTTTCAAATGTAAACAAAAGATCTTTGATAATCAGGCTATGAACCTTCATGGTAAATCATGTTTATTCAATCTAAAATTTGTAAATTCATTGTATGATAACAAATACAAAAAGTAAGAAGAAAATGAAACTCATTCTATTGATCGGAAAATTTGTGTTTAATAAACTTTGAAACAAAATTTTGCGTCAATAAATTTCTTTCTCAAACATCTATCAAAAATTCAGAAAAACAAGAAAGTCTGTAACTCAAAGAAATATGAAATATTTAAAATACTTTTGAAACAATATTTATGTTTAAACAATGAAGCAAAATAAAAGGAAAAAAATTATATTTGAAAATCTATCAAGATGAAAAATTGAAAAGAATTTGGAAAAATCTCAATAAAAAGAAATTCATGAAAAAGAAAGTCGGTAATCTCATTTTGATCTATTTGTAGACATTGTCAATGACGACAAAAATAAGCAGTTTCGATTTTTCTTGAAAATATATCCTACACTCGAAAGCTTTTCTGTTTCATCTATTAATTGAATGAAAAATTCCATATTGCCAGGTAAAGTGACAGAAAAATAAATCGTCATGGATAAGTTGGATAAGTGGGTTGAACAGGGCTTGGATGTTTACTCTTTTTTCCAGCTTTGAGTATATTTAAATAATTGAAGTGTCCTCAATTTTCTGCTTTCAGGGTGTTGAAAATCTCACACAACAAATTGAATCAATTTGAAGTTCTAAGAAATCTGAAGCTTTCCATTCAAGTTTGACTGCTAAACCCTGTGATTGAAAAACCTTAAAGTCCCAATAAATCTATAAATAATCTGTTATTTAAGGGTTACTTAAAGCACTTGAGAAAAAAAGGAAAATAAAGCTTCAGAATCGAGTTTTGAATAAAACAACTTTTTCAAGTTACGCTCTTAGAACTTTCACAAACATGTTTAATTTTTGTTTTACAAAACTCAAACTCTGCTGTTCAGTTTCATACATCTTAATTGCGACTAAATTTTCAATTTGAGTTTTTCTTATTCAAGTACATATTGTAGAAAGTCACATTAAGCAAAAGAAGGTAAACGAATTGAAATTAAAAGCCGTAAGTATTTTTGTTATTTTCTTTACCTTTCTTAATTCATTTTAAATAGAATTATTTCTCATCTTATTAAAATAACAAAACTCAAGTTACATAAATAAAACTTTACCTGATAAATCTCCTTGTAAAGTCTTTGTTTCATGAAAGAAAAACAAATTTGAATTGTAAGACTTTGGCAAAGAATAATTAATGGAATAAAATTCACAAGAGAAAGCTTCGGCCCCGTACAAAAGCTTTCTTAGCACATTTTTCTTCTTACAAATTGTAATGAAAATGGTGGAGACGAAAGATTGGAAGCAAAGACTGAAGGAAAAGTAAACCGAAACTGCTTTATTGTGATGTTTATGTTGGGGTTGAATTTTATCTCCTTAGGGAAGAATACAAACAAGAAATGTTAATTAACATAAAACATTTATGTCCGCTCATGCAGTACGTAGAACAAGAACACAAAAATGTCTCTTTTATCTCTTAAATTGAACCAATTTCATTTCCTTTGTGCTATCTGTTGCATATTTTTGGAAAATGTGTTTTGACCATTGTCAAATATTTTTCACATTTTATATGCTTGCATTGGTAATTCGGAAGTCAAGCCTATTTTATATTTATAATAATAATCTTAAAATATTTTGATTGTACTATTTCAATGAAAAAACTTGTCTAATATTTCAATCTGCTTTCATTTTATTAAACTTAACAATTTGAAAGTATAATATCGCATGTCAAGATTACGTAATTGGATAATTACGAGAGTTGAAATATTTTAAATTTTCAACTCTCTTTTTCGTTAAATGATTCGTCAAACTTGTTCTTGGTTTTAGTTTAATAAAATGACGACAATTAGGTAAAACATTAAATAATGTAAGCGTTCATTATCATTACGTATTTGATCTTTTAAATAATTCAAAAGTCCTTTCTATCATTAACTCCAAAGATGAATACCAAATGTGGTGCATCAAATATGTACGATGTGATGGTCCTCATGACTTCATTTACGAGAATTTTAGTTGTTTTGCTAAATAAATCGTTGAATCGTTCTAATTCGACTGTCAACATATGTAATTGGAACTGCAATATTTTTAGAATCAATTATTGAAGATGCTTTTAGTGTCCAAGCAAGACTTCTTTATAGATATGGAACACTTTATCATGAAGTTATGCAATCGACAAATGAGTTTGTGAAATATTTAAATCGAGATCATCAAATTTTCTAATTGAACAAATTTTCAAAGTTCTGAAAGATTCTTTCCAGGAATTTTTGCATGAATGTCCATATAATGTAATAATTTAATTTACCTTCAGAAATATCAAAATTTTCGATATAATTATTTAATTTTCCAGGTGATGAACATAAAATTTTATGATTAAATACTGAGAAGGAAGTTTAATATGAAACAATCGTGTCTGTCTTGTCAACAGATTCTTCGAAAAAAATTGTTTGGATGACAATTTCATGAAACTATGTAAACTTTTATTAAATATTAAAAAATTTGTATGAATGAATAAAATGTTACGTTATTCTCGCTTGAATTGCAGAGAACGCTCAGATTTGATTATTTTAACATCACAAAGTTTCACATACATAAGTCAAATAAGTAGAATCTGTTGCACATTTATGTGATGATAATACTTACTTACGAGGAAAACGAGAATAAGGGAAGAGAAAGAGTAAAATGTAATAAAAAAAGAAACTTTATTCATGCTTACGATGGAGATAAAAAGCTCATGCATGCTTCTAAAAAAAGAATTCTATTTTATTATCAACGAACTCAACATAGGTGATTCAAAATTGTTGTGAAGTCAGAGTGAACTGAGGAAATAGAGACACGTTTATGAACAGGAATGTAGGTCAACTATTGATATCAAGCGGCATCATATTTACCCTTAACATTTTCCATGAAAATCTGAGTTTCTCTGAAATTTAATAGCAACTTTTAAGAGGCTTTCAAATATAATTTGAAAAGCAAAATTTTTATCAGAATTTAAATGTTTTACAAGCTCTTTGAAGCTTAAGATATTAAACCCCCTTTATCAGTTTAAATTATTAATTTCATCGAAATAATCTCTTTGACTTCCAATTCAATCAATTAGGTATGTTCTATTTGGTAGGATTATTAAAATGAACCATTTCATGAATAATTTTAGAAATTTCCATGAAAACAAACACAAATAACTTAATCTTTGAGAAGGTTATTCCTGAGGTATGTGCATGATATTAATTAGTATTAATAGATTTCCTTTATTATCATAAACTTCTATTTCTTGCTGATAACATATCTTCATCATGTTTTTCCAGTTTTTGAATATTCTTGGAAATAAATAATTTTAATATTTAAATGTTTTATTAAGAATCACTCATTCTAAAAAAGGAACAAAGGAAGAATATAAACGACATCATAATTTGAAGAATAAATTGTCTTTTGAGATACTCACATTGTGTTTTATTGTATTGATGAAAGTGCTTTTCCGTCACCTTCATAAATGCAGGTTAAAATTAGACTTTTGTGTAAACAAAGTGCTCAACAAAGCAAACGAATTTTATTAAAGTTGACTTAAGATCTACCGCTTGGTAGAATTTCAATGGAATTTGTTCGCATTTTTTCCTGAAGCTTATTAGAAAATAATTGTTTTCCATTGCCAGAAGCTTTTCGTATTTTATTTTCAGGTACCTACAAAATACTTTCCATTATTTTGACGTTTTCCTGATGGGGCTTCGTTTTTTGTGTCTGTACATTTTTACAGTGAATTGCAAAAGAAATTCTTCAAAAGAACCCAAGAATTTTTTTTCTGATGTTTCCAAGCTTCATCAAATACAAATTTCATTTTTTCTACGCCTTCATTTGATGGCTTCTTAACATTAAAAAAAAGTTATCGACCGTACATTTCCTGTTTTTCTTTGGAGAACAATTAACGTTTACTTAACTCCTTTTGCTATTTGTAATAATGGTTTTTAACATGATTCGAAGCTTATTAACATAGATAAACATAAAGCTTCTTAAATTAGTACGGAAGAGCAATTTTCAATAGCTATCTAAAGAAAGATAAAAGCATAAAGTTATCTTTTTATTGCGATGGGTGTTGCTGACTAAAAGAAATAAATATCCTAGTTTTTCCATCTCATTTTTCTTTCTTTTATTGCGCCATCTAATGCTTCCCATTAAGTCCTATTCCTTTTACATATATTTCACTTGCCTTACAAAGCATAAACAAAAAAGCTCTCAAGATGCTTCAACGCGCTCAATGAACTCTAAAAGCTCCTTCTTTTTTATCACCATATGATATTCAAATAAATTTCTTTTCATTCACTCAAACCGATTTGCACAGCTGAGCCCAAAGCTGGAACACAAAACTTAACAACAATTTTATTTCATTTTCATCTCTAAAAATAAACAGATTTTATCGCAGCGAGATTCAAGTCTTCTCTTTAATTCTTCGTTGCGCTCATAAACTGTAGAAATAAAAGTAAGAAAGGAAAAGAAAATCATTCTTCTATGAATGTATAAGCAACATGCTTCAAATGCAAATGATGATGCAACGGAGAAAGGAATCATAAGAAAAATTTGAATTTGATACTTAGGAATTTGAATTTCAAAAAAATTCCACATGTCACTTTAATTGAAACTGATATGAACTCATAACACTTTCGAAATTCTCAACAACAAATTTTCTCATCTCAAAATATATGGAAAAAGTTTCTCTCCATTACAGCATCATCCAAACTTTTATCGTCATCCGAATGATGTTAAAGGTCAGGAATAAAATGAAAATGTGTTCCCATAATTAAAAGGGAAATAAAAGAGCTTTCATGAAATATAAAGAAGCTTATGTTCCATTATAAATGATGATTTGATGAGAAAGAAACTTTTTATACGAAACAGTTGAATTGAATGCGAATGATGAGACGGAAAGAAAGCTTCAAGTCTTTTCTTCCTGCTTTCATTTTTATATCGAATAATCTTAAGTACAACATAGTATCTTGTGAAAGGATCAAGGGAAAGTTTTCCGAAAACAAAAATGAAAACCCTAAAGTTATATAGAAAAAAGTTTTCAAATGAAAGAAAAGTATCCTTGAGCTTTTACATATTGAGCAAAAAACAAGCTACAATTTTCAATTTACCACAGTTTTCATGGTATGTTGTAACAAGGGAAAATATTTAACAAAGCGAGAACTTGTCATGTGACGAATGCTTTCATGTCACACTATATGAGAGTATAGGAAAGTCAATCGCACGGAATAAGATGCTAATCTGGTTCAATGTGAAGCTTCAATGAAGTGGAAAATCTGTGTTGCTAAGGGAGTCAATAAAATACGAGTTTATCTCAGACATTGCTTAGAATATCAGGTTAAACTACCATTAAAATCTAACTTATTGACGCCTTTGAAACCTTAGCAAAGAAAGCTATTAAAGTTTTGAGCAAACAACCCTTTTCAGTTTTTATGAATAATAAAACTCCAATTAAATCTCATTTCAACGCACAAATAGTATCAAAACGCTCAACAATATCAATTAAAATTTCCATTGCCTCAAAGTGTTTTAAACTTGCATCGAACAAGTATTTACCTAACTTCACTACATCTTCTTATGTTATGCACGTTTTTCTGTTTTTCCTGCTACGAAAATGAATTTTCCGTTCGCCAACATGTAATTTTTATGGACGGTTAGCTTGAAAGCCGCCATGAAAGTGAATGAATAATTAATGAGGAAAATAAGGTAAAATTTATGTAAACCATAAAAAAAGAATGTTCAACCTTCTAACTTTATTTTTCTTTCTCGCTGACGCTTTCAAAAAAATTCATTTTTAAATTTTCCTTGATTTTTATGAAAAATATAAAGTTTCAATTTCATATTTTTTGGTGCATAAATTAAACGTTCTTTCATTCTTGAAAGCTTTTCCAGTGCTTGAATTTTAGCATTCAAATTGGTTTCTAAGCTCTGAATGAAAATTCGCCCCTCGTCTAAGATTCGTATCAGTTACTGAAGACTTGAACAGTATTCAATATTTCTTTCTCCTTTATGCTGTTTTTCTTGATATTTTTATATGAAGCGATAAGGAAAATCATGATAAATTTATGTGAAAAATGAAACGCTTTTTCTCGCTATAAAAATTATCGTCCGTGGTATTTTCACTTGCTGAAGATAAAAAAAAGACTTCAAGAAAACCGAGAATTGCAGTTTGAAACTTTCATAAAATACAAAGTTTTTAACTAATGGCAGACTGTAGACGTGTGTAATTTAAACTGAGTGTAATTTCAATATCTGTGTGTAGCAATAAAATTACGATATTCTGCTTTATAAATACTTTTACCAGATATCCTTTCCAGGATATTGTGCATTCATGCAGATTTTGATTCTGAAATTCGATTCATCATCGTTAGTAAAACCTCATCAAATTTCCTTTTAATTTCATTTGATGAGGCATAATTATTGCGATTATTAATATTTGATGAATTTTCATCCTCAAAACGACCTGAGTCGTTAATCCTTTCTTCTTAAAGTTCATTATCAACTGAAACAAAGTTTTTTCCTTTCCAATGTCTTTTCAATGTTTTTCGTTAAGCTTCGTTAAGTTTCGTGAGAATCGAATGAGAGAAAATGTTAAGCTTTTATCAAAAATATTCAAAAACTTTCAGACATAACAGATGATGATATTCAACACGCTTTGTTTTCCACATTTTAATTCTCTGAAGATTGATAACCCGTCATAATTGTGGTTTTAAGCTTCTTAAAAGTTGTTCGGTTCATGGAAAAATCATAGAGCTGAGTAGACTAAATAGATATTACAACATGTTGTTTCAAATATCTTAAATTGATCAACGTGTGATTTTCACGATGCAAATTGTTGAATTCTCATTGAAAGAATTTCTATAAAAAATTCAGAATCTTCAATTTTGAATTGAAAACATTTCTCGATCAATAACTGCACATTATAAAATCGAATTTCAATTTAACAAGCAATTTAGAATGAAAATCACGTTGATCTGACATTGCATGTCATTATCAACAGTTTGCATAAAAACATTTGATAATGTTCAACTAATGTTTGCCACATTAATGCTCAAAACCATTTTTTTTGATGTTAAATAAAATTAAATACGCAGTTATCGTGCAATCTTCAACAATGAAATGTTTTCATCGCTCATTATTTTTATCGTTATGCTTTTGTCATCAGTTTTCATTGGAATTGTCGTTAGAAGCAATACGGTCAATTATGGAAACTTTTCTGTCGACTATGGTAATGTTACACGCTACGTTATTGTTTCGGTTTCCGTGGGGGCGTTAAAATGTGTGCAAAAAAAATAGGTTGGAAGAAATATAATTACAAGACGAGAAGTTACTATTAGCAAACACAACGGAAGCAGTAAATTTTAATTAATTTCTAGTAAGAAGAGATTTTATTCACTGCTTGTAACATATGACGTTAATAATGACTTGCAAAAGAACATAGAATAATGTACACATTACATATGTAGAAATGAACGTTAGACAAACACAAGTTGTGTTAAAACTCATAAAACTTTTCCATTTCGTTTTTTTCTTTTGCATTCACTCGTACTTCGTAAAAGAGACAAATGAGCTTCATAAAGTTAAATGAATCTTGAAGATTTGCTTTCGTGAATCATATCATCCTCGATCAATCTTTTCTTTCTTTTTTTTCCAATCAAATAAAATGACAGAAGCTTTCTTCCTGCAAAGGTGTGAATAAAAACTTTTTCTTTAATTTTCATGAAGCAATGATAAAGTTTGATGCAAGCATCTGAAAATAATCTTGGAAGAAAATTTTATTATTGAAAAATATTAGAAACTTTTACTCAGCTTCACTTAAGAAATTAATCTTCATAACATCACGATAAATCCTTGACAGCATCACGAATCAACTAAAACATTCCATCAACTAAAGCATCTCAATTGCAATTCATCAAGACGTGATGAAATTCTAATGCGATTTATATACTTTTAATGTCATATTCTTCAATACATTTTCAGCACAAACATAAGCTTGGGATTTGTTCAAGAGTTGGAAAGAAGTTAATACCATTCTCATCATATTGTGACATCAAAAGAGAGTTGAAAGCAATTTGTAGACAGAAGTAAAAAAGAATAATTAATGAACGTTATTCGAATATCATCTTTCTCATCTTCCCTAAAGGAGTGAAAACAAACAGTCTCTGATAAAAAAAAAATAACTTTTTCATCTCAAATGTATAGAATTATTATTATGTTATTTGCCCTCACAAGTTTTCTCTTTCAAGTTGAAGATATTGAAGAAGGCTTACTGATTATCTGACATAAAATATTCATGATCTTTCAATTATCATTTCGAGGAAAAGAAGATATCATGAGATACTTCAGTTAGCTATCAGAATAACAAAGAAAGCTTCGACTTATTCTTACTCAGATAGTACTAATTAAATATTCATCTATTGGGAACTTTTATTGATCAACAAAACTATTGAAATGAAAGCTTTACTGCTCTGAAAATTTATTAAATATTACATCGAGTTTAATAGTTAAGTTACGTGTTCATTTGAACGTGAGTGATGATAATCTAATTCAGTAAAGTGAATTTGAAAACAAGCATCATGAATGCGCTTACCGCACCCGCTGCCGGCAACGTGATTAACCATGCAAAAATTATTGATCGAAACAGAAGCCAATCAACTTTTTTCTCCTTATTCTCTGCGTCCAGTTTAGCATTCATCCAACCGACAAAAGCAACACTGCCAACTATACAGTGAGTGCTTGATATGGGAATACCAAGTTTACTTGCTAAAAGTACTGTCGAAGCTGCACTGCTTTCAACTGTGAACCCACTAAGGAATTTGTTTTTTCGGAAATTAAAATATGGAAATAGAAGAAAATAATCTGAAAGTTTTCTTACGTAGTTGGAGTTATTTTTGTGATGTTCTTCCCAATAGTGTCGTTGACTCTTGTTCCAAGAAGCCAAAGGCCAAGGCACATGCCAAAGCCACCATAAAGCAAAAGAAGAATTGGCGACTCAGACTTCTGTAAAACTGATCCCTCGGTGTAAATTAACCAAATCGCTATCAATGGTCCGATAGCATTGCTAAGATATTGGCAAACTTTACCATGAGAATTGATTCAATGAAATCAAAAACAGTTTCATACCTAACGTCATTTCCCCCATGCGCAAAACTACTAAAGACTGCTGTGAGTGTTTGAAGAAAATGGAAAAGTTTGTTGACATTTTCCTCGTCATTATTTCTTTGTTGTTCCTTCAACACAGGGGTATCAAGTGATGCTGTCGAGACTGTAACAACAGAAACAACACTTTCACCTGCTTTATTCTTAAACATTTGTGGTGATTCCTTATCAGCATCCTTGAGAATTTTTCTACGTAGCCATGGAACGAGAAAGAAATAACAAACAACCGCCACAATGAACATCGAACTAAAGCTTATAGTAAGAACTTCCCACATTGGTAGGTTTTCCATCGAAAGCACTAAAATTTTAACAAAAACGTCAGTTCCACAACTATTAGCATTAAAAATGATTTCTGAAAAATTCGTTCAAATTGTCTCGCAATTATTAAATTATTCACATATTTACATTTCGAACCATCAAGAACAACAGTCAATACATTGATGAAAATCGTGATACCGTAAATAATTGGAAGGGCAAAAAGACCAGCACTCAGTGGATTTTTGGCGTTTAAAATGAATTTTCTTATTAAAGTAAGAATGATGAGGCTAATTGCTCCACTAATGAGAGGTGACACAAACCACGATAACACAATTTTCCCTGAAAAAATTATTTTCATTACTGAAAACAAGTAAAGTTGAAAGTTTTCTTACATAAAGTTGCGAAATTAAGTCCTTTCGTTCCTCGGGCAACAAGTGAGAATCCAACTGTTGATCCAACGATTGAATGTGTTGTTGACACTGGAAGTCTGTAGAAAGTTGCAACAAGAAGCCAAACAGCGCTACCAGTTAATGCAGCCAACATTCCAAGCATTAATTCTTTCTCTGAACTTTGGTACAAGTTGACGTCAAGAATTCCTTTTCGCATTGTGTCAGAAACTTTGTAACCAAGTAAAACCGATCCAGATGTCTCAAATATCGTTGCAAGAATGCAAGCTTGATTAAATGTTAAAACACCAGAACCAACTGATGTTCCATAAGAGTTGGCGACGTCATTAGCTCCAACACCAAATGCCAAGATAAATGAAACGATGAAGCCAACAATAAGAATCCAAAGAATGTCCGGTGAAAACACTTCCATTGGATATATTTAAATTTGAATTCAACAAAATACAAAAACGAAATAAAAATGAGTTGCTTTGATGACTTTGAGCATTGTCATGTAACAATCGTAAAAAATATTTAACTATCCATCGACTGTATGTACACTTAAGCTTCGCGTTACGAATATTTTATTTCACTGTGACGAATAAACGATGAAATTTTTACTTTATTTCAGATCGACACGTTCAATTTTGTTAATCGAAATTATTCTTAGAACTCTTTTATAAATTGCAGATTGTCAACAATGTACAATCACAACAAGTCGTTGTTCATAAACTTTTCAATTTGAACTCGAACTTCAAGTTTTGCTTCTTATTATTATTTTTTATTTTTAAATTCACATGTAAACAATAATGAAGTTGATAGTTTGCCGTATTTTTCCCAACTAAACTACTCGTTTATTGTTTCACTTCAACAACATTTTTGTTACATATAATTTTTGCACAAAGCAATGAAGATTTTCTAACAAAATGTGAAATCAATTTCTGTCTAACATCGACTCATTGTTTGTATTTATTAATTTAAAAGCTTTAGGAAGTTGATTTGAGTAATGATAAAAAATAAATTAGAGACAAAAAAGTATTAATCAACATTGGCAAAACAAAATTATCTCATCATCTCATTAAATATTTGAATGACTAAACATAAAACAAAACCGATAAATCGAAAGCTTTGAAATAATTTATTGAGTAAAAACTTGAATGAATCTAAGTAGGATGAAGTATATTTAAATAAAGTGAGAAAAGCTTCGCTTCTTCTTTTCGAAACATGTTTAATGAAGTAGCAACATAGATTGATTGAGATGTAAATGAAAACTTTGACAACCTGGGATTAAATGATTAGAAGTTTGTTTAACGTTCGAAATTTTAATGTTCGTGGCTTTTCATAACAACTCCCGCGGCATAAAACACAAGAAACAAGCAATAAACGAATTTGAAACAAGATAGAAACAAGTTTAGCTCTCATTTTGATTTACTATACTTGTCTCGATAGAGTGAACAAAGAAAATATGTTGCCGCCTTTCACTAACTAAACATAAAACATAAATCAATGTTGTTACAAGTTTAGGAACTGAACAAGTTAAGAATATTTTTGATAACATTCTCTCTGGTGCTATAAATTTAAAATACTTTGTTTCAGAATAATTAGTTGAAATGTAATCTTTAAATACTTTTTTACCACAAAAACTTTTCGTTTTTCATTAATTTCTAGTAGGGTTTTCACCATGACGACATGCATGTCGTCATGGCATGACGTGACAACCCTAATTTCTACTTACAGTCGTTTTCAACTTTAAAACGTTCAACATTTTCTTATATTATTGAATGAGTTGGGACTTAAATTTTAACTTTCTAGTGAGGATGACTATGTTACTCTTAGTTCTTTGTTCAAATAGCTTGAAGCATTCATTCAATGTATTTATTTTTATTATCACAATTTGTGCAATGTCATGAAAGAGTCCTTAGATTCCACCCACATAAGCACAGCAAACAGATAGAAAAACGTATTGCAAATATTTTTTTCATCTGTTTAACTTGAATTTAAAATATTTAAGCATCGAAACACATTCAGAAATCTCTGATGAATGATTCTTAATTGAAATGCTCACAATTAATGCTTAGTGGTTCTGCTTCACTGCTTGTAGCAGTTAAACGATTGAAGTTCAGTAAAATGAAATTGCTTTGAATATACTGCAATTGAAAATTATTAAACCACACAAGTTTGTTTTAGACTTGCTTTTATTGAAATATTTTCATTTCAATTTTTGTTTGTACTTCAATCTAGGTTGAGAATTTCCATACATAAATTTTATTTTTAATGGAAGCCACAAAGGATTTAAAAAAGCTCTTTCATTTAAAATATTCTTTTTGAATTTGTGATAATTAATCTCTTCACGTTTACTTTCTTCACAACATTCACAAAACAGCTTGATTTATTCCATACCAAACAGCTACGATTGCACTTCCAAGCTACCTGAGAGTTTTTATTTATTCTAGAAATATCTCTCTTAAACACAGGAGGTAAGCAGAGATTTGTTGACGTTGACAGCTACAAAAACTCAGGTGATGGTTGGAGAACTCTGTGAAGTTGATAAAGAATAAAAGGAAATGAGTTTAAGAGCTTTGGATAATCTCACCTTTGAGTATGTCGTTGAATTTGGCAAAGCCATCATAAATAAACATTTTCGCATTATTATAAGAATTTCCTTTAGGAATTCATGTTTAATTAACTTCAAGTCGTGCTAAAAATTACTCGAAAAGCTCTTTGCATGTTAATTAAATAATTTTCACTTCCATAACCACTCAATTTTCGATCCCATTCCAGATTGAGTGGCTTGTGTTTTTAATTTTGTGTCATGTCCCTCAGAAAACTTCACAAAATCACTGAACTTGTGTTGGTTTTTATAAGAGTAGTGTACGAGATATTTTAAATGCGTGGGAGTTGAGAAGACTCTTCTTCATTAGCTGTCACTTTTCGTTTACCTTGCATAATTAATTGGGATGTCAATTACCGTTCTGGGAGTTGTCATGGACACGGTTTCATTTCAAAAACTTTATTTTTATGCAAATATTTGTTGATACAAATCCAGCCACCATTTTCACGAGATGAAGGGAAGTTGATATTAAAATCAAAGATTTTGTCATTACAGAATAAATTAAGTAAATAAATACCAAGAAACCAACTTGGAAGTCTTCTGTGTAACTTTCTGTTAGCTTAAATAATTTTTGATTTACGTTTTCAGTCTGCTTTTGCCAACGACGTCACGTTGTTTAATGAAACTCGGTTAGTTGTTTCCATGAATGCAATTTGATTTTAAATCGAAGTTTGCATAAGAAAGACTTTCAAGTGTGAAAATAATTTAATTAACTCGTTGCTAGTAGTTTCAAAGACATCGCTTATTTCATTTTCTCTTATCTTTAATGTTCAATCGGAATAATTATTTAAAAGCAAAGTTGAAATGTTTGTGAAATTGCATCAAAATATATCAGAAACAGCATCTTGAATAGCATTTCAGATAAATTATCAGAGACATGAAGACGAGAATTTTTTTATTGTTCTGATATACTTCAATTAAACTAAGAAGCATTAAAAAAGTTTCAAGGAGGTGAGGTGGAAAATTAATAAAATAAATGGCATAAAGCCACATGTTCTACATTTTTAATCTCTGCCTTCAGTTTTATTGCCTTTTTCATTGATTTTCTAGAAATTTTCACCTGACACCGGTTGGAGTTACAGGAATAATTGTTGAAAGTGCATAGATAAATTGACGTCAATCAATAAATGAAATTATCGACTGCCAACTCTGTAAAGAATTCAAAAGTGACCAAAAGAAATTTTTCATTTATTTCTCTCCCTTTATTTATCTAATCAATTTCTTGTTAGTCATTTATGCTTAAGAATTTATTTATGGTTGCATTTTGAGAATTTGCAATTAAATTTTTTGTTATTTCAATAGCAAAAACTTTCAAGTGCTGATTACTGAGTGGATCTTTTAAAACTTTCATTAAAATTGAAACAGTAAACCGAAGCATTTTCAAGTTTTTTATGTTGTTGATGCTTGAATTGATGACATCGAGAAAGTTAATCAAGCGTTTTGTTTTTTCATCAGAGTCGTTTCCAGATGACGATCGAATGCGTTCAAACTGTTGAAGCATTCTCTTGAAGTTGTTCGGTGAGTTAATCTTAAGTAGATCGCAAAAGATAATCTTCAAGTTGTTATGCATGCCAATCTTTGTTGATTGATTCAAAAAGCTTTTCATTAATAACCTTTCATTGAAAAGTTTGTTATCGTTTATTTGAAGTTGCTCTTCAAGTTGATTTTCATTTGATTCATTCAAGAATTTCAACAGAACAGAATTGAACTTTTGTGTTGGCGGTTTTCCCATTTCAGCCCACCATCTTAAGTAGCTCAGATCGATTTGCTTGACATTTTCGATAGATTTTAATAAACTATTTGATGATATTTTAAGTAAATTATTGTCCTTGATGGTGAGATTTAAGAATGATGACGTAAACAGTCTCGAAGCCATGGTGAATAAAACTGATGGTTTTAAGGCAACATTTTTAGCATCATTGACAGCGAAGATCAAAGAAACGTTGCTTAGAATCTCAGCTGAATCCAATGTCGGTTTCTTCCAGATAAAGTCGATAAATGTTATGATGAGATACAAAAGCGTCGTTTCATTAGTTTTTCCATCGCATGAGAAAGCTTTGAGACGTTTGAAATCAGTTTTGAAAACAATTTCATAAGATTTCTCTCGTATTGCTTTATGATTTTGACATTCTTCGTTCCCTAAGGCACCATTCATGATATTTAGAAAAACATTAATAACTTCAGCCGACACAACGCGGGCTTTTAAGCTTTCCGAAGGCGTCTTTTTTAAATCATTGTCTATGTTGCTTTGGTTGTTGACAATCTTAGATATCAACCGATGATGTCCATTGCTCACGAAGAAATAATTCAAAAGTTTGAACTTATCAGTAAGGATAAGCTTTTCACATTTAAGAAGAGCATAAAAAATATTGCAAAAGACTTCAAACGAACGACAATCGTTGTCAAGATCTTTGTTGTACTTAAAAGTGAATTCCATGATAGCAAGAAATTTGTCGACTATTGTAAGTGCTATTTTATGAGATTCCTGTTGATCTTTAGGAAAAGGAATAAAATCAATAGTATTGTAGAGAATTTTTGAAGTTAGAAAGATGAACGAAGGATATTCAAGCTTATCATGAGTTGTATTTAGTTTCTTTATTGTCTCATGCAGCCTCTCATTTCGATGCTCCTGGTCGTTTTCATTTGATGCTGGTATACTCATCATGATTTCAATAACAATGATTGTGAAATCTAAAGTTTTTGTGTTGTTGAAATGAACATTGCTGATGGAACTCAATACATGAACGCATGAGTTGAGAGAAAAGCGATTGTCGTTGAAATTACAATCACGCTCGCGGGCTCTGTAACCAAAATAAGAACAACATACGTTTCTCTGATAACAACTATACATACATATTTACTTTATATTAGTACCTTTTCAAAACAATTGTTGCGCATGTTATTATATCCTCCTCGTATTTACTGTTGATCTTCTGAGAAAATGAATTTATAACTCGAAGGTACGACTTAATTATTCGATAGAAATCATTTTTGTAGAATTCTTCAATTTCAGACAAATGACAAGTAATTTTATTAATAAGACTCATTGAATTCTTTTGTGTATAGCTCATTATTGTACTTAGAAAATGACAGATATCTGAATTTATCAAAAGAATGTAAATGTCTTCTGCATTCTCTTCATCTAAGTTATTCAACATTTCTACTATCTCAAGAAGAGCTATTGTGTGCATCAAATGATTATCCGAATCTAATTGAATCTTCCAACGTGTAATGAGGTTTAACTTGTTCATTATTAAATCGTATTTTGCACTTATAAGTTTAAAGTTGAACTTGTTTATGTTACTTGAAAAATTAGTTGAAATCTTTCCAATCCCCGGCGTTACAGAAGTTTAATCCCCAAAACTTCAAATTGTTCAAAAACCGTTGAAAAGTTTGATCCTTTAAATACTTAAAGAATCTTTCTTTTTCTTGTAATCATTTAATTAATTTCTACCTCCATTCAACCTTAAAGGAAATGTTTGAACTACAAATTGTGTTGTGCTTGTCTTTTTTCACTTTATTTTTCAATAATTAATTATAATTGAACGAAAATTTTACATACGTATAGTACTTAAAGCTTTGCGCTGTGAAGGTGTACAAAATTTAATGCCAAGAATATCAAACAAAAAAGAAGAAAATCGTTCATAAAATGGTTTCATGCTTAATAAATACATGAAACTTTTATATCCTACATGAGCTAGTTAAACAATTCTTGAATGAATTTTGATAGATTAATTAATCTTCTTCTTGCCATCTTGATCAGAACGTCCATCTTCTAAACGAGCCATACGCTGAAGAAGAGTCGGATGTGAGTGATTCCAGCTGCTGTACCAACTATCGTAAATCGGAAATCCTAAGTTATCAATGTGTAATTTTATGAGAGATTTACACAAATCTTTAGCAAAACCAAGTTGTTTAGCAAAATGATCTGCTTGATACTCAAACTCCCGCGATAAAAGTGTCATCATAAAGCTGACAACAGTGTTAAATGGCGCAAGAACATACATGATAATGACTAGAAATCCGACTATAATTGGTTGTTTTCCATCAGTAAACCCAACGGCTTCATAGAGAGCATCAAACTTGAATAGATACGAAAACATCATGAAAACTAAGAAGAGTTGAACTTGCATGATAATGATATTCTTTGTCATGTGACCGAGAGCCCAGTGGCCAAGTTCATGTGCTAAAACAGCTAAAACTTCTTCGTTTGTACATCCTTTTCCTTTCTCATCTTCAGCCAAAGTGCTATCATCTGGTAAGCCTTTGTTAATGAGCAAAGTGTCGAATAAAACAATCCTTTTAACACCCCACAATCCAGTAAAATACGCATTGCTGTGATGACTTCGTTTAGATCCTTCAACTACAAGAAGTTGTCCAACTGGGAATTTCAAAGAAGCTGCAAGTTCTTCAATAGATTTTCTAAGATCACCTTCTTCCAAAGGACGGAACTTGTCGAATAATGGTGCTATGTAAACTGGATAGAACATAATTAAAAGCATTGAAACAACACCAATGAATGCCCACAACCAAATGAAGAAGTAATCTCCTCCAATTTGTACGATATAAATAATGGCAGCAACAATCGGAATGGTCAATGCTTGTCCAACGACAAAAGCTTTCAGTTGGTCTTTTATGTAGAAGGAAACAGTTTGTTTGTTAAAACCATGTTTCTCTTCGAGGACGAATGTGCTGTAGATGCTGAAAGGAAGATCCTTGAATATTCCGATAATGTTGACGATAAGAAGAAAAACACAACTGACGTGGATCTCATTCGATGGGTTAAGATGGAATTTTCCAGTATAAATGATAGCTTCATTCCATAAATATGCGATGAACCCACAATACAATTCAATCGAAACTATGATGATATCATTTAGAATGGATTTGAAGATCTCAAATTCTGCCTTATCAATCCCATAAAGTCTGATGATAAGAAAAACAAAAAGATTACATATGGAGGAAAAATGTAATGATATTAATATTTATTTACCTTGCTTTCTCGAAAGTATCTTCTTTCAAAGAGTCCTTCAACTTCCCTGGAACTTCCTTGCTGGTTTTATAGACTCGAAGCTGAACATGAAATAAATTTTTAAGTAATCAATAAAAATAAAGCTTTTAATGAAGTCATAGTTTCAACACTTACTTGACGAAATGTTAAATACAATTCAACGAGATTCTCAAAAATGAGAAATCCCAGAATGGAATTCAGTACAAGAGTCATTTAATTACTTAATTATACTGTTAAATAAGAAATTGTAAAATCTTTTTCGCCGAATGAGTAAACTGTTTGCGTAACTTCTGAACGCATTCATTCCCCCAGTTCGTTAGGAGAAAATCTGAAAATTTTATCTTTATAAACTGAAAACACAAATAATATTAGATAATTATGAAATTATTCAAACAGAAATCAGCTTTGAAATAATCTAAAAACTTGTTATTCTGTCAATTGAATCTACAATTGAAAGTTTAATTCATGTAACGATTTTTTTTGTGTTATTTAAACGCTGACATAACTTCAAGGGGATTCCTTTCCTTGACATTTCACTGTAGACGAAAATATTATTTTTAAACTTTTATTTTATATTTTAAGAATTAAAGTAATTTAGGATGGAAATTTCAAGTTTTTCAATCGATTCTGTATGCAGGACATGTTTATGTGCAAATAACGATTCGTTAGAGACAATTTATAATGACGATGAACAGAATTTCACAACAATTATTGATATGCTAAATCAAACATTTGGAAAAATTGTAAATATTGAAAAAATATTTCATAACTATATATTAATAAATTGCATGATCCTTTAAGGTTTATCCAGCTACTGAACTACCACAGAAGGTTTGCATTGACTGCCAAAAACTCATTCAAAACGCTCACAACTTCAAGTTAAATGTTCAAAAGTCAACAAAAGTTTTAATAGGAAAACTTGTGGAAAAATCTGATATCAATTTATCATTTGTAGAAGATAAAAATACTCAAACAGACTCTTTGCTTACGCAAGCAAATAAAAAAATAAAGTTCTCTGATGCAACAAAAACTGAAACGCTACAATTCGACGATGAAAATTTTGATAGCATCAACTTGCAATCTGAAGACAGTATCTTTGACAGTCAAATAAATCCTCTTTTGGAAAGTAGTTCAACGATTGTGCCATCAATCTTGCAATCAGTTAGGGTGAAAACAGAACAACACGGAGTAACTGACGATGAATATGAACTGACAGGAAATCAACCACCGGCATTAATCTTAGTCAAAGCGGAACTCAATGAAGATCTTTCCTGTGACATGAATCCATTCTGTAGAACTGAAGAAAATGAAGATAAAACTGACACGCAATATAAGATTCATAATTGCGATCAATGTAACAAGTGCTTTTCACGTGCAACTCATCTTAAACGTCACAAACTTACACATGAAGAAGGAAAAATTCAATGCTCAGTTTGCGACAAAAGATTCACTCGAATCGATCATTTGAACATTCATATAGCAACAAATCATTCTGATACGAAGCCTTATCAATGTGGGATAGCCGAATGTAAAAAAGGATTCATTAAACAAGAATATTTAAGAAAGCACATAGAAGCTAAACATGGTTCGGGAACGAAAGAAAAGGAAGTTTGTGACATTTGTCAGAAGACGTTTTCATCAAAGAAATATCTTCGAACACACATGAAGTCGCATTCTGGTGATTCAAAGAGTTTGATTTGTAAATATTGCAATATAGAGTTTGTTGAGAAATCAGAATTAAATGATCACATGTCGAATGAGCATCAGAATGAGAAACCTTATCTTTGTTCAGGTAATTAATAACTTTTGATAGTTTAAATATGATTTTGTATTAAATTTTAATCCTTAGAATGTGGGCTGCGTTTTGTAAGGAATGATTATCTAGTTATTCACATGCGTCGTCACATGGGAGTTAAGCCATATAAATGTCGGTTCTGCGAAAAGGGATTTCCAAGGGCAACTGACCTTACGGTTCATGAACGTTATCATACTAATGAGAAGACTCATTTGTGTAATCTTTGTGGAAAAGGTATGAGACTTTGAAATTTCAATTAATTTTAAGTTAAAACTTTAAAACATTTATCTCATTGTTCATTTTAAAGGATTTCAAAGAGCTTATAATTTACTTGTTCATATGCGAGTGCACACTGGTGAGAAGCCTTATCAGTGCAGGTAATTAAACCTTTTCTTAAACTAATTTTACAATCTATCATTTATAATTTCTTTTGTTAGCTTTTGCAATAAAAGTTTTTCGCAAGGAAACGATCTCAAAGCTCATATACGTCGTCACACTGGTGAACGATTCAAATGTGATTTATGTAATGAAGGATTTATTCAAGGATATCATTTGACTCATCATAAGAGAATTGTTCATGGGCTTGACGTTAAATCACATATTAGACGAGTGGAAAAGTTTGTTGCACCAGTGACGCAAGCAGAGGAAGAGGAAAAACATTTACCTGAAGAAAACGAAGAGATTTAAATCTTATGATTTATTTATCAACTCTTTTATGAAGGTATCATGGATTTTAATTAAGTAAATAAAATCTTAGTAAATAAGGTTTAAAAGTCATTGTAAGGTTGAGAAGTATGAATAAAAATTGATAACAAAAATTTGAATTTTAAGCAATTTTTTTTATTTGTTCAACTTACAAATGCTGAAGGAAATTAAAGTTATGAGAATGAAAACCTTAAAATATTATTAAGAATTTTAAAGATTATTATATCCGCTCAAGAGCTTCAACCATAATTATGCTGTTTCCACGAATGACCTGGAAACATATTTAAAAAATTATCAATTAACTTATTCATAAATTGAGATGAACAAGGAACTTACCACCATCCCGATTTCATTTTTTTTACCATCTTTGCAGAGTTCTAATGCTTCATCGACGACCACATTCATGAATGGATCAAATCCACGAAGGATGCCTTGCACGCATCGACCTCCATTCAACTTCAATGAAAGTTTCTTGTCCATGTATCTAAACAAATAAACAGAAATTTTACTTTATGCACGCGGAAACGTTTACAAAACAAATTAACTTGATGCTTACTTTTTCAACTCTGGAGGATGGGCTTTCGACATGTTTGTGATATTTTAGTACTTTTTTAATTTTTTTAAATTGTAGATATTTTCTTTCTATTGTGAAAATAAGCAAAGAAATTATTTTGAAATTTCGGCTTTTTTTTCGGGAAAAAAACAATGAGTGCGCTTAGAAATTATTTTATGAATTTGTTTAGACTTATATGACTACGTCTAAAGGAATGATGTTTGTGTTTAGAATAATACGAGGAATAATAAACATCGAGATTGGAAAAAAATCAGAAAAAATTAAAAAGTCAAATAAAGCTTTACATTTTGCTTCCCAACCAAGTATTTTGACACCTATATGATTCCATAGTTTTAAAAGATATATTTTCAACATAAAAACAAATAACGAGATGTCGGAATCATACGGTAAATTGAAAAACACAAAAAGAAATCATTTGCTCTTTGTTTTGATAATTTTATCCAACAGCAAATAATAAATTTCTTATTCTTCATAGATTACCTATTCAAATTTCTGATTATCGGTTCAGCGGGCAGTGGAAAATCGTGTATATTACACAACTTCATCGAAAATAAATGTAAGCATTTGCATGCGTATTGACTATCGATTGATATTTATGAAATCAACTTGTGACGTCACATTTATTTTAACTATTAAGATCTTGATTAGAAGGCTCTCTGAATCCGTCTTAGTTTTACATGCTTACACACCTTTTAATTAAATCAACAACACTTAAATTTGTTTACATTTGTAGTTAAAGAAGACTCGAGTCATACGATTGGCGTTGAGTTTGGCAGCCGAATTGTTAATGTAGGTGGAAAAGCGATAAAACTACAGATTTGGGATGTAAGTCGATCAAAGTTTTTAAAATGGAACGGTAGCATTGACATTGTTGTGTTTCTTTTTCAGACTGCTGGGCAAGAAAGGGTTCGTTCTGTAACAAGATCTTATTACAGAGGTGCAGCTGGTGCTCTTCTTGTGTACGACACAACATCCCGAGAATCTTTCAACACACTTTCAAACTGGTTGAACGACACAAGAACTTTAGCAAGTCCCCACATCATCATCATCCTTGTTGGCAATAAGAAAGATCTCGAGGAAGCTCGTGAAGTCACATTTTTGGAAGCCAGCAACTTTGCTCAAGAGAATGATTTAATTTTCCTAGAAACAAGCGCCAAGACTGGAGAAAATGTTGAAGAATCTTTCTTGAAATGTGCAAAAACAATTCTCGCAAAAATTGAAACTGGAGAAATTGACCCGGAAACGATCGGCAGTGGAATTCAATTCAGTGATCAAGCGATAAGAAACAACATTCAAAATCGACAAAAGCAAAATTCCAGCTGTGCAGGTTGTCGCCCCTAAAAGGAAATCTGTCCATTCCCCAATCCTTTATGTTTTTGAGAAAGTTTAACTTCGTCTTTTCAACATTTTTATTTTACGTCGTCTTTCCTTCTAAGTTAATTGTGATCCGTGATTAAATCTTTAATTTTATGGGTTGTACTACTAGTAATTTATTCCACTGACGTTGGAACTGTTGATAAATTACACTTTCTCACCCTTGTTCGATATTACTTTGATTTTGTATTTTTATCACTCAAAACTTTAAACGTATGATGAATGAATGAGTCAATTTTAATTTGTAGCGGACAACACTGTTTTGTGTATTTACAATTAAATTCTAAAGAATGAATAAACTGATTGTTTTGATCTAGAGATAAATTCTCTTCTTTGCATTTTCTGGATCATAAAATGTTTGTAGGTGGATAAACGGAGAAGTCTTCAAGGTCAAGTTAAAACAGCAAATTTTATTTACATGTAAACTTTATTTGTTCTTTTGTCTCATCATCACACATTGTACAATTAAAAAAATTTATTAGATAATCGTTTTCTACATTAGATTTTCTTTTTCATATTAAATTAAAATGTCATTGTTATCAATTTTCGCTAAATCGCGATGTTTTGGGCTTATATTCTAAATCTCACAAGAAAATGTTCGTAAAAGTCTCAAAATAATCATGAAAAACATGTTTAGATAAATTTTGTATTAAAGTTTAGTATTTTTTTCCTTTTTTCTCTCTTTCGATTTGTAAAATTGATTTAAATGTTAAAATGATGTGCAAATTAGTTTTGTACTTGTCAGAAGACTTTTTCATGAGCAAATTTGTTGTCTTTTTCCATTAAAAATATTAAGAAATATTTACAACTCAGCCTTCAGTTTTGAAATCAAACGTAACTAAATTATTGCAGAACTTAGTTACTAAAAAATATAATTAAATGGCAAATCAAATAATGATCATGAATTAATGCGGCAAGTTTGAAAGTTTCATAGCAGAATTATTATTTTTTTTTTTGTGTTTAACGAGAACAGAAATGATTGAGGAGAAAATTTGAAAATTTCAGAAAAGTTGATTAGTTGAAATGTTTGACAAATTTTTTTAGTTAAATTAGGATAGTCGAAGACAGACAGAAATTAAATTAAAAAAAAGTATAAAAAGAAATGTTCTCACATGAACCACACGAAATTAATAAGAAAATAATTCTTAATAGACTTTTGGTAGAAGATTATACTTAATTGTAGAAGTGTAGCGTTGCCACGATGATTCGTATTTCTTCGCGTTTATCCGGTTAATTATAATCGAACGACATACAAGATACTTGATGATAAAGCATATCGCGATGAAAGCTGGCCAATTGAAGTTAAATAAAAGCGGAGCTAAAAGAATTTTGTGGATTAAAATTTCACCGAACAAATTCGGTTGGCGAATTTTTGACCACCAACGTGAGATGATCAATCGATGGTTTTGAAGTGTTGGCAACGTCTTTAGAGCTGTAAATGAAATTTAAATATTAGAAATTGAACAATTATTAATTTTTTAATTAACTTACTTTGAAATTTAGCATCGTTTGGTCGGATTCTGTATTCGTACTTCAACTTGTTGCTGGATCGTTTGATGATCAATCCCAAAAGGAAACCGACAGCAATTGCAGCCAACAAGTAATTGTTGATATTCAACTTCTTAACCAACAAGAACCTTGGCAAGAATGAAAGAAGGAAGGGGAAAGTAGCGAACCGTAATAAAAGTTCAGCGCCACATCCTTCACTGTTGATCTGAAACGATGTCGCAAGATGATGCTCAAAAATCAGCAAATCCAAAGCGTAAATAACGAGAAGTCCAGAAATGACTAACGAAGTGCTGTTGTACTCAGAATTACGAATGACAAACATAAAGTTGTTGTAAGTTTCTTTCACTAATTCAGCAATTGGCAAGCCTGATGATGTCTCAACAGTTGGAATTGAGACATTCTTGAAAAGCAGAGCGATGTTAATGATGAGAATTAAGATCACTGAACGATGATAAGAAATCACTTTCACATCAAGTTTATCATAAATTCTTGGATTTATTTCAAGACCAGTTGTGAATTCATTGATGAAGTGACCGGTGGCGTAAGGATTTGGATTCTTCAATGCACTTCGCTTTCCTCTCACATATAAAGCTCCAGCAACAATGATATTGGTAATGATACTGAGATACATGAAACGATCGATATTATTGTAAATTGCAGTCAATGAATCCAATCCTTTCAATTCAAGTCCAAACAGAAATGCTACGATGACAAGAGCAGTGAAAAGTCCGTTGAATTTATGAGTCACTTCTGATGTCGGAAGCTTTACAATCTTTCCTAAGGGGATTGCATGAAGTAAGACTGTGCTGGTGAGAAAAGCGACGAAAAACGAGGCAGATTGAAGATTGCAGTAAGTCGCAGGATTTCTGAAGTCAGCAAAGATTCTCGTCCATTTCAAAGGTCCTTTAAATGAAACTGTTAAGATGATAGGAAGCAGTAACAATGTTTCAAGAACGAAAAACTTTAGAAGAGGTTTTGAGAAGATTCCTAAAGAAGGAGGTGAAGGCGGAATTATCTCGACTTCGTCTTCTTCATCTTCAGAATCTTCCTTAGTGAGTGAGCTAACAGAACGACTAACTGATCGCTTTTGATCTTCAGATGGAGTTGGAGTAATTTTGTAATTAACTGGAGTCAAACGTTTTCTAAGAGATGCTAAACGTGTTGATCTCGTGTTAATAGTTGCAACTTCTTCATTGTCACCAGAATCATCAAGAATTACTGCAGCATTATTTTTCGCTTTTTTTATTTCCTTTTTAGGAGTACTTGACTGGCTTGACGATGAAACCTCTTCCGATGGTGTGTCGGTTTTCTTTGGGCGACCTCTTCGTACGATTGCTGCTGAATCTCGACCAGAATTCTCAATACGAGCTGGAGATTTACTTCTTGTACGGCTTGCTGGTGGACTATAACTTCTTATTGTTCCACGGCCCGTTCTAGATTCTTGAGCTGCACGCTTTTTCATTATGCTTTATTTCCACTCTTTTTATCTCACACGATCAAGAAAAAATCTAAAAATAATTTTTCGCGCGCCTCAATCAAAACATTCACTTTTTTAACTTAAAATGAATTAAAATGTATGATTTTTGTATGAAACGAAAGTTGTTTTATGATAAAAGAAGTTTTTTGTTAGTTCTACGATATGATGAGTGTTAGAATGAACTTAATTTTAAGGATTAAAAGTTTTTGCGAGTAAAAACTACACGAAACTGACGCTACAACAAGGCATACGTAAAAGTTTCGTCACATTAATTTTAAGACGCAATTATTTTCAAAATAATTTTCTTTAAACCCATTTTCAGCATTAATTATGTATCATTTTAAAGTGAACTTCTTTCAATATTGCATTAACTTGATAAATAAAAAATGAAATTGAAATGAAACATTCATGATAGAAGTGGAAAGAGTCGAAACATCACTGACAAATTATTCCTTAACGTTTTTCTTTGACAGCTTCAGTTTCCCACAGACTCTTGCGCACGTTGTAGATGGGCAAAATATTAAAAAGTCATCCACTGCAAATATTTTTAAATGTTATAAATTTCAACAATAATTCAATATAACAGAGCAAATAAATATGACAGATAATTTCAGTAGTATCGATGAGTAAGTTCTTCTATCTTTTTCCTGAATTCAAAAATAAATAAATACGTAATTTATTCAAATTTTAGTGAATTAAAGGCAGTAGAAAAACTTATAGCAGATCAGAGAATCAAAAGAATCAAGAAAAAATCCAATAAAAGACACTTAATTTCACCTTATAAATATTTAATTGTAGTTGATTTTGAAGCAACCTGCTTTGAGAAGCCCCACAGTCGTAAAATACAAGAGATTATTGAATTTCCAGCAGTTTTATTTAATCTCGAGAGTGGACTTGTTGAAGCAGAATTCCACAAGTACCTGAAGCCGGTTGAAGATCCTGTTTTGAGTGATTATTGTACAAATTTGACAGGAATTACTCAAGAAACTGTTGATGAAGGTTCGTCATTAGCAGATGTATTAGAAGATTTTAAAGTTTGGCTGAAGAAGGTTTTGAAAGAAAAGAATCTCATTTTACCGAAAACAAAGAAATCAAATTTGGAGGGAAATTGCGCCTTAGTCACGTGGGGAAATTGGGATTTTAATATTCAACTTAAATATGAGTGTAATCGAAAAAAGATTCGTCGTCCACCTTTCTTCAATCAATGGATTGATTTGAAAGAAATTTATTCAGAAAAAGGAACTTTCAAAGATTCATTTTCATTTGCCGATGCTCTCGCTCAATCGGGAATAACATTTGTAGGACGTCCTCATAATGGATTAGATGATGCACGAAACACTGCCATGCTTGCTTATAAAATGCACAAAGAAGGAAGCTTTCTACGTCTAACAAAAGATCTCAATCTCCATGAATTAAATCGATCATTCTGATTTCTTAATGAAAAATTTTAGATTCGTTCTGATGCCTTTTTTTAATTTTGTTTAAAATGTTTAAAATAATGATAAAAAAATCTTTAATGGGTAGTTCAATAAATAAATCATAGCAATAATTAATGTTGATACTTTTATGATTTATTCCTTCAAACCTATAACATTATTTTATTAAAATGTCTTAAAATAGCAATACATCTAATAGGCTTTATATTATATCATTGAGGGCAAACAAGAATAGTAATTTTATTTTAATATTTAATTTGCAGTTGCATCCGTTTAATTCCATTCTTTCCTCCTACACATCAATTATTGTTACATTGTTTCATTTTCAATCTCATTTCATATTTCACATGTTTCATTTCAAAACTGTTTCACTTTGGCAGCACACGCTTGAAACGCCTCAAGACTTCAACTTTAATTTTCTTCTCTAGCTTTATTTATTTCTTCAGTTTGTGTTAAACTGCCATTGAATGAAGCCGCAAATATCTGTTCGATCCGCGGATTTCTTTTTACGGGTTTTTTATTCCACAGTCTTTAGCGGTGTTTGTGTGTGAAATTAATTTCTCTTTGAAATCGAAAGCTCGATAATTGTGCAATCGGCAGGTTGATATCGAAAATAAATTCAGAGATTTCCACAACGGAAACTGTCTGACAAACGTTGTCAGTAGAAAATGTGAATTTTGGAAAAGCTTCAACCACGGTCTGAGTGAAAAATTAAGTGAGAGTTCAAATTCATTTCTAAGCTTCTTGGCGCTTAAGAAATCGTGATTGCATAAATAAAACAAATCAGTTTCAATACATTAAATTAAAGCGAGAAGAAAAGAAAAACATATATAAACATAAATTCGCCACAATAAATCGAATGTGAAATGAGAGAAAACGCTGAGGAAATTGCTTGAAAATTGAGATCGGCACAAAGAAAATCTTTTTTTTTTATAATATTTTTATACATAGAAGAAAGAAAAGAAAAGTGTAACAAGAAAATATTGACGATCAGGTCTCATGATTAGACCTAATAAAGTTTTCATTGGCAATATAATTTAATAACATCTACTCATAATGGGATCAAAAATTTATCTCATGATAATTGTTGCGTTTTTCAACATCAACTTTTCATTGCAACAGAAGTTAAAAGGTGAGAAGAAATAAAGATTTTAATTAAATACACGGAAGATCAAATTGAATTTTATTTATTCCATGCTGAGAATAATGAACAAATGTTTAGGAGTAAAATTGATTTAAATTGATCTAGTTTATAGTTTTTCATAACCAACCTTATAGATCATTAATTATAATAATATAATTTCTGAAGTTGACTTCATAGCGGCAGATATTCAATTTCAAATTTAAAAAAAAATATATTATTGAAACTAGAAAACAATCAAGACTACTCCTCGTGATTAACATTCGGTCCGTGCTCAACTATTGTAAATTTCATAGTCAAAGCTGCAACGAGCCCGCAAAACACCTTGACAAGTGGAAAAAATTTCTCAATCAACATTAACTTCACAAAAGCTCATTCAATTACTTTTTATCAATTTCCAAATCGTCTGCAAAGCTTGAATACAATTTCAAAGTCACCAATGCGTGCACGGCGTTTTTGTTTTCTTTTTTGTATGGTTTTTGGTGTTTTGTCAGTCCATACTACAGCGTGCCATATGATCCACTTGAACAATCTGATTATATTTTGTATTTAACTCATATGTGTAGTACATAGGCAGCAAATCTACCAGCAACACATTCCGATACCATTAAAATACTTTCCATTTTCAATTCATTCGATGTAAAGAGAAAAAATTATTTTTTTTTCTTCAAGGCTTTCCAGTCACCACAACCGACTCAAGTCTCATGTCGACTTTGTTGTTGTCTCGTAACTGCTGTTACGTTTATTTATTTTATTTTTCCTTCTTATTTTTGCCTTTTTCGCTCCCAAAACTCTTTATTTTTTCATACCTATAATGAAAATATCTTGTGCGAAATTTACGAGTTGCATTTCTGACTTTAACCCACACATGTAACTATGGCAAGTTGCAACATGTGCAAAATTTATGAGCTTTTTGATAACGAGTGAGAGAGCTGCACCAAAAAAAGTAAATGTTGGATTAGTAAATAAATTTTCAAAAAGAAATATGAGACTTTTTTTAAATTATCCACTTCTAAAAGATAAATCGACACAATAACTCATCAGAAAAATTCACCATGAACCGATTACCTATCAACAATATAAAAATTCCCAAATAAAATAACTTGTTAACTCCCTGCGGTCATTCCCGAATAAGTTTTTGAGCTCAATTTATTACAAAGCCGCATGTTGAATTCAAACGATTTCAATTCTTTAATCAACTACGAACCTGCAGTTTAAAAAGAAAATTTCGCATTACTCATGAAGATTATTGACATTCAGAAATTTCATAACAAAGCATAACATTGTTGTTTATGGTGTTGAAGTCAAAATATCGAAATGCTTTTTGAGTCTCGATAACAGTCAATAAATTGACAATCTACTTATAAAAAGAAAAAGAAAGAAAGAAACAATCGACGGTGACTTTCTAAATATTTTCAATGAGTTGCGTATTAATTAAAGACAAATAATGCGGAAAAGTGAAGCAAGCGAATGATTAATTAATAGGACGGGAAACTGTGAACTACATCGTTTGCCTTAAATCGTCATCAAACGCAACCTTGCTACACACTTCATCCGATATGCTTATTGTGCCAAATCTTCCCACCATGCGCAATAATAAAATGATGAGAAACTTTCGAACAATCGAGTAACTCACTACAACGCTTTCAGGGTTTCGATCTTCGCCCTCGTCACTTAAGCCCCCAATAAAATTGACTTTTTACAGCGCACGTTAATTCAAAGTGAAGAGAAGCAAAAAGTTATAAATTGTTTAAAAAATGTTATTGAAGTTGCGAAAGTCATTGGTGGTATGAAGAAGAAAACAAAAGACTATGTAGACATGTTATAATGGCATAATTAAATATCAAATTTGACTATTTGATCACGGCATTTTCTCTATATCTCTCTGCCTTGTCTTTATTTCTGCTGTTGTTGAAGAGTTTCATTTTTCTTTTTTAAATAAACGAACCATCTCATCGCTTCACATTCCCTCAATTGGTTTGTCGAGATTTCGTCATAATCTCAAGTTGAGGAACAATAAAAACAAAAGATTTTTTTTTTCGAGACATCGAGCAGGTATTTCTACTTTTCGTCTCTCTTAGCGTTGGAATTAGATGTTATTTGTTAGGATTCTCTTACAAACGTGATGATATTTTCTTCTCATTTGACATTTTGAACGCAATAAGCAGAAAATGTTTTTGTGTGAATGTGCGATGATGAATTAAAAGTGGAATGAAGTGAATATTCTTCATCGCATGTAGCTCCCAAGCTCAGTTATTTTAGTCTCGGATCTTAAAGATTGAATCATAAAATCTTCAGAAGCGACTTCTCTCTAAATCAAATGCCAAACCTCAAGCACGAGATTTAACCTCCTAAGGCTGTTAATTTTCTAATCTCTTAAATATTCCTTCGTTCACCAACACAATTTTTCGTTCACGCCAATTTGTCGACTCTTCCAAACGTTAAGTCAACTTAAGTAAATACTTCGACGAAAGTGACGAGGAAACAATATAATGAAATGAAATTCGAAAATCACGAAATGATAATCGTCTTCGGAAACGTCCGCACAACCGAAACTAACAAGAAGACAAAAATTTTCGTTTTCACTTTTTATCAAAATATTTTTTCATTTCTGGCTGGTTTTTTTTATAAATATCTCGAGAGTTATTCAAAAGTCTGACTTACGAATGCTTTTCTGGAACGAAAGCAAAACTTAAAGAGCAAAGATGTTGAAAGTGAAAACAATATGAGATTCTTCAGGTGTGTCATAATTCATAACACAATGGATAGGTAAAGTCAAATGATTTACTGTACATAGCGTAAAAGTTGTAAAAAAAGAAAAATAAGAAGAGGAAAAAGATTATGTTCATTAATCATAGAAAAATATGTTAATTCACGAGCAAGCAATTGGCATTGAAGATCCACCAACCTGTCACGTAAGAGAATTTGAATGATTTTTTTGACTAAATTTGGTTCCTCCATAAAAGAAAATGATTTTTCATTTGTGAATAAATATTTTGGTCAAATGTACAAAGACCTAATTAAGAAATCTAAGATTAAGAGAAATCATGAGGTAATTAATCAACTAAGAGATAATTTAAATTTGTTTTTAAAATTGTATTGTGAGATCTACATAAAGTCATAAAAATTTATATTATGATAGTTCCGCTAAACGAAATTTGCTATGTGGAAGTCCTTCAAGGTCCAGTAGCTTAAGCGTCAAAACGACGAACGAGCTCGACTCGACAAGTTCCAGGTTCGACACCTGTCGTGGATTGTAGAAAAATTTTCAAACATTTATTTCTTTTTCTTAAGCCTTGTTTCATGTGGCAGAGATTAACTGTTGTACACGCAATTTATCTCAATCAGCAAGGCAACATAAAATCTTGTTCCATTTTCCGCCGTTTCATTGTAAACTGATTTTCGGATTCATAATTTCTGAAAATTTCGCATTGTGCATTGGATCAACATTTTCTTTTTTTTATTTCCCTCCCTCTCTCCATCTCTCTCCGTCGTTGCATGCACAGAATATAATTTACTTGAATAAAATTTATGGTGACTCTTTGGATTTAGAAATACCGTGCAAAAAATAAAAATGTTTCTTTTTCATCTAAAGCTGTCATTAAATATTGCACATTCTCATTGCTCTTTTAACACAATAATAAAACAATTCATTTGAATTTGCTTATGAGAAAAGAAAAAATAAAAACTTGAGACTTTAGTCTGGCATCATATTTAAAGCTTATTGCAATTGAATTTACAAATGATGGAAATTAAAATTAAGCCTCTCAAGGCGTGTCCAATGAGACGTTAATCCAGTTTACGAAGTCAAGAATATATTGCATAAAAGTTCCGCCAAACACAAGTTTTCGATTAATATATTCTGATAATGTTCTGATTGAGTCATGGAATTTGTAGCGTTGTTAAATTAAAATGTAACTCCGAAGGGCAGTTTGAAATATTCTTATAAAGAAAAAAAAATCCAGCCGACAATCCTTAAATTCTTTCTCAGATTTTTCAAATACAATTCTTATTCGAAAACTTCAAAAAAGAAAAAGCAATTAAGATACAAAATCACTTCTTAAGGCACCAATGACGCCCGCTTTTATCCGAAGCATTTATTGACTGCCTCCGGTTCACTCTCGAGACATTTAAATTATGTACGCGTTTTTTAAAAGGCAAAGATCAGATAGGATGAAGAGTTGATGTAAACAAAAATTTTTATTTTCGGCAAACGACTGACCACAGAACGATGTTATGAAACTTAATTCTTTATCCACTAAAATTTATTCATTCTTTATATTATTCTCGTATAGTAAGCTGCTAACAAATATGCGAAAGTTCACAAATATCTTATTCTCGCTTTTAACCTGCAACAAATTCAATAGCTTTTGAATGCTGGTGGTGATGTATTGCTTTGTTAAAGTCTTTAATTTTTGTACTTTTCTTTATTTTCTGCTTCTCCTTCTTCTGTAATTTGTTAATGCACTTTATACAGCGCGAAAATTGATTTAAGGGCGAAAGAAAGAGAATCCGCAAAATAGCGTGATCATTGTGACCTAATAACAGTTTCATCATTCAACGATCTACTACGTTGAAATGTCATCAGCCCCGAAAATAAAATCGATTACATCATCGCATTTAACCGAGAATGTCCGTAAAAGAATTTTGAACTTAAGAAATGAAATTACTTAACATAACATTTGTCGCTTCTTCGTCATCATTTCGTATTCGATTACCGATGTCGACTGCTGAGGTTTGGTGGCAATGCCTTCGCGTGGGTGCCGCCGTTCAGCACGGACAATTTATTTCAATTGTTTCGCCATCGTTTTATTTCTCGTTCGTCGTTCTCGCTCATTTCACACCATTGTCTTACGAATCTCTTCACTACACTGAAACACGAATAATAATAACTCGAAGTAGTTCGTTTGCCTTCTTAGTTATGTACATATTTCGAAAAAAAAATATTAATAGAAGCTGCCCGCAAATAACTTGCAGTTAATTTAAAGATACGAAAAATTGAGATAAAAATGTAACAATGAGTGGACAAGGAACTGAAAGTCGAGATCGTTGAACGCCAGAGAATGAAATGTTTTTTAGTGCACCGTTTATGTAACAATCTGTGGTGGTCGATTAATAAGAAAGAAAGAAAAAAAGTCTTTTTGATGAAATTTGACGATAATCGAAGAATAGAAGACAACAACAATGAGGAGGCTTCTACTACACGTGTGAAAGATTGACCCGTTAGGTTAGATATCGTTGCATGATGTTGCATTTTTGTGCTCTAAGTTATAAGCAGCTTTAAGGGTCATATATGGCAGTCGTTCTCGCCGACTAAATTGAAAAGTGGGGGCATATAAAAACACGTCGAATATGTTCTTTATGCTGTTACTTTTCTCCAATCCGAGCCCTTTCATTTCCAAATACACGACGCCAAAATTGCTGCTCACTTCTGGTTCATTGGTAAAGATAAAGCGAAGCATGTTTCTGATGTTGGACAATGTTAAGAACTTATATGCTTAGAATAACACATAAAATAAATTGAATTTATGCACGGGAACATTTCTCTTCCGGGAGGACGAAAATAAAATCGTGATAATGGATTCAGCTTCGGACTTAATTCACTACAGTTACATGCAGTTTGAAGCGAACCCGGAAAAGATTCTCGACTTTTTCGTGTCGCCACACAAAATGTCTTTTTAATAGCATTTAAAATTATTGTAAAAAAGTTTTTTATCTCATTTGAAGTCTCAATAAATTTGAATGAACCGATTGCACGTTTTCATGTGGTGCGTTCAGCGAATTATAAAATGGAAACTTTCTATGAGATTTCCTCTTTGGAATCTACCGCCGCAAAAATTAACATTGAAGAAAACAAAAAAACTTTGCATTAAAGTCGCCAATCTCATTGTTTTTCAAACATCTCAAAATCTCTTTTTCACATCTTAAATTACCTCTGTTGGTAGTGAGAAAATTGAATTTCTTATTTTAATTAGTAGTTGAACAAGCAATTAAATGAGTTTCTAATTAAAAGAATGCTTTTGTAAAATTTTCTTGAAACAGTTCGATAATTTTCGTGATTTTTTCAACGTTTCGTGAAGTAATGAAACTTATGCTTTCCATTAAATATGTTATGGTTGCGTTCAAAAGTTATGTCGAAATACTAGAAAACTCGAAAAAAAAACCATCAACATAAAATCGTTTAATCGTTTAACTATCGCTGCTACCGCTGACTAAGTCTGAGGTGTTAAGTCGTAGATTATCATTGTGGGGACCTCAATTGCAAACACCATTAAAAGCTAATCCAAGCTCAATCAAAGTTTGAAGCGCATAAAAATATTCAACGCACATTTCGATCTTAATTCCATTTCAATGATTTTTCAAACAATTTATTTAGATTCGTTAAATCATCGACAGGCACATCGGACACTGGCCACAAAAGATCGAATTACACGTTCAAGGCTGAATGGTGCAGGGCTTTAGTACCAGTCATAAAAAATCGCAATTTCTCAATCTTAACGGCATCACTATCGATCCGCGGTGCAATGATGTGGAAAGATTGAAATTATTGCGCCGATCGTAATTTAATTTAATTAAGTTTCCATATCCACACACAATTTAACGTCGAAGGTTTCTGACGGGCACGCCGAGTTTTTCACTCTCTGTCATAATCTTTTCTAACATTTTGTCAGCGATATGTGAAAAAGTCCATGTGAGATTGTGTTGGCGATTATTAATGTGTAACACTGGCTAAAAAAATCAACAAACTAGATTAAAATAAATTTGTTGCCATATTGATATCGAAAAGCTCAAACCAGTTAAGCATGTCAGGGTCTGCGTGCGAGTCATGAGTTTTATTGTTCTTTAGTCTTTATTGATTTGATGAATCATGTTTCAGTAACGCAGATATTGATCAACGTATAATGATCGTGAAAAACTCGTGCGCCCATCCCTGAAGCAACCAAAAAGTCTGTCGCACTGTTCAGCAACACCGAGAAGCAAGAATCAGAGAACGAGCTGAATAAAAAAAATCCAAATTACCTTGAATGATAAAAAAAATTGTATTTCATTGATTTACTTTCGAAATACTTGACTCGTAGTTCAACTCGCAATTGCACTTTCTGGTTTCAGCTGTGACTGAGTGGAATTCCTTTGTAAAAAGGAGTGAAAAAGAGTCGAAGTCCTTCGGCATTGGATTATGAAGAGTTCAACACCTTCTGAGGAATGGAAAAAAAGCAGCGACTCATTCATTGCATGCCGCATAATTAATTCAATTTATCTCCTTTTAGTAACATTTAAGTTCGGAGTCCGGGGTGAGGAATTTGATTAATCGACCCAGAAATATTAAAGTACAATTCAGCATCCATTAGCTCAGGAAATGATTGGCTTTTTGTATTTGATCAGTCAAGCAACTTAACTACATGTGACGAAACCGGAAAAATGATTAATTGGTTGTTTTTTTTCTTCTTATTTCGTCTTGTTTTTAATGCTATGATCATGCACTAAATGAAAGAAGGGCACGAAAAGTAATTATTTCGTTTGATGGAGTAAACTCTACCAGATCATTGCCTGAACATGTATTGCGGTAGTTCGTCATGCGGTTTCATGATTTCATCTTATTTTATGTTTTGACGAGACTATGGTCGTTGTTGAAGGTTCATTGGCTAATTGTTGTGCTCTACATTTCAAAGCATCTTCCATTGAATCTACTTTTTATGCGCATCTGTGGTGCTTGCTGTGCTCCATTAAAAAACGATCACTTGTGGTCGTCAATGATTTTCTTTATTGTTCTGTTAAATTCCATTCAAAACGCGACAAACCGAGAAGTTACTCAAGTAAATACACTAGAAGTATGCTTCAAACTCTGCAGAGCAATTACGTAAACAAGCGGCTTGTTAAACGGCAGCCAAGTTGAATTTGTAGCAGCGATAAAATAGTTTTCAGCTATGCCATAAGAGAACCAGTTTTTCATTTCGGCTTTTGCTGAATATTTTTATATTTTTCTGACTTGATTTTGTGTTGTTTTCTTGTCATAACAACTTTTTGTCGTTGATTTGATTCTTAACTCTTAATCGAATGTCTGAGATTTAAAATAATTTGAAGACTATCGAAGTTCGATTTTAAATGGAACATTCATTTCTTTGATCTTTCCAACAAATCTTAGTCGAAAGATTTCAATTAAACTTTCCAGATTTAACCTTTTCGTTTAAACTAATCAATCTTGTTTTTTTTCCTGTTGTGAAATGAATTAAAAATCTTTAATTGAATCATAATGAAATTTAAGAGAAAATTAAAAGATTTGTTCGGTCAATGAGCTGATATTTAGTTTGCTTACTGTGAGCACAACTTAAGCACATAATTGATTAATTAAAAGAAGATTAGTTTGGAGATTCCGTCATAGGGTTTTGTTCAAATTATTTCAATTCAAGCCCCATAATAGAAATCATCAATTAACATTTCAAGATTTCAAAGTGATGATGATAAAATGTTCAAGATAACACGTTCAATGCTTTGGTAATAACTCCTAACATTTTTTTACCAACCGCAAATTTTTCAAACCATTTAAAGGTTGAACGAAAATTTGTGAATAAATCAATCGTTTCGACATAAATTTTTTAAGTAAAAAGACCTGCGGTTGATGTCAATAGCTTAAGGTGGAGAAATGTTTTTCATTATCAACTTTAAATTTATTCTTCCCGAATAATTTATGATGTGACAGCAAAAGTATGCACTTTGCTTGTTGTTTTCAAATAATTTTGGGTATTATAAATAAAAATGTGTGTATGAAGTGTGTTGGATGAGAAAATTTCGAGAAAATTGCTTCCGAAATTAAAATTCGTTCAGTTCTACTTCATACTTAAAAGAAATTTAATTACATAAAGTGAAACGATCCATGCAACATCGAAGAATGGTGATTACAAACATTGTAAATCATTTAAATTAATGAAGACTCGTTTATCTCATATCGAAAATGCATTATTTAAATTATTTTCAAAAAAGAAAGATTTTCTTCTCCCCCTACGTGATTCGATTTCATGCGATGCGATCATTGAACCGATATTATTAACAATTTGCACTTAAAATCGCATCAATAAATTTAGCAGACGAAACCTTTAAATTACATGTTATACAAAGGCGCAGTGCAAGTTATAACGTGAAAAATAAAAACAACATAAATTGTGTGTGCGCGCATATCTCGCAATTGCAATGAATCTTGCAGCGTATCGAAAATGACATTTAAGCGTTGTTGGTAAGCGAATCGAAAGAATTCAAGCAATCACTTAAAGAAGAAGCTCAGGATGCCATTAAAATGTTATATGTCTACCGAGCAAGTGAGTAAGTAGATGCGATGCTAACAAGAATGTAATGCAATGCATGATGTTGCATGAGGAAAAGTTCAACTTAGTCATTTTAATAAAATCAATTATTTTAAAAGATTTCCCAAATGTCAAAGCAAGAGAGTCAATGAAACTTCTTGTGAGCTTGTTACCCGCTGTGACTGTTGCTATGCTTAAACATGACTCAAACCGACTTGCACGAGAATCTCAATCTCATTGCACACATTGCAAATAATAAAAATAAAAATTCAAATTGGCGTGAGTGCGCCTAGTCAAGGTTGGAAGTAAAGAAAATTCCAGAAATAAAAAAGCTTTTAATGGCTATTCCATTCACTATCAGAACTCATCAAATATGCATCAACGTCATGCACAAAAAGAAATAACCAATAGAAATAATAGAAATAAAAAAAATATAAAAGGGAAGCTTTGAATTTTTGCGATCATCTCAACATCATTAAATGTAACATGTTTTCAATAACGTTTCGCTCACTGCATGCCCATAAAATCATCGCGCACGAATTCAAAGTCTTTTTTTTTCTCTTTCATCTTTAATAATCTTAAATCGATTTTATTTTTCGTCGATGTTTGTAAAATCTTATTTTTCCATCTTTTGTTACCTTGACATAAAACATTCTGAAGCTCTTCGTTTGATTCACTTTTTTGCTTCAATTGAATTTGAATTCAATTCGAGTTTTTTTTTCATATTATTTGAAGTTTTTTTTTTGCGAATAGCGCAAGGCGAGAAGAAGAAAACCTCGAAACTTGATCGTAAGTTTTTCAAGAACTTTCAAATATCTGCTACGTTCATTTCAAATTCTCTCATACTTATTAAACAATGTTGAGTGGCAAATTGCTTGAGAATTACTTTAGAAACTTTGTCATTTTTCACGGTGGTGCAATCTTTGCATTTAAACTTTTTTATTTGGGAAAGCTAAAACCAAAAATAAGAAGCCGCCAAGTTTCGTGCAAATAAAAAACGTGCCAAAGAAAAAAAAAAGTTCGAACTTTAAATCTTTTGTTTCGATATGAAAAAAATCAACAATGTTTCTTTGGATAGCTACCTACAATGCATCAATGTTTGTTTTTTCCTTTTTCATTAATTATTTAAGAAAAAAAAACTTGTACACGCAGTAAAAGGCAAGTGAATTGAGCGAAGAGTCGAAGAAACGCTAAATTGGGAACGGCAATAGCAAATAACAATTGAATTGAGTCATCACTTTGAAGCTGATCTTGGGCTTGTGTCAAGTGCAACGCACGTCATTATTCTGCAGTCTTCCGTGTAATGAGATATTGTGTGTAGGTACATTGAGTAATCCTTTCAGGGAATAATTAGTATCCCGTTAGTAAAACCGTTCGTTCTCAAGAAGCTAAGAAAGTTAAGAAAAATAAAATCCCAATGATGAAGAAATTTGAATCACATATTGGGATTTTTGCATAAATTAGACCAATGTCACATCAACTTACTCATATTGTCAGTCTTCCAATTACGAGGAAAATAAATGAAATATTACGGAAACTTCCAACTTACGAATCTTACCAACGATGTCAGTGACATGAAATATTTCAATATGAATTCATCTCTGATCTAACAACGACAATATTTGCATTCATGATTCTGTTTGACTTCACAAATTGAATTTAAACTTCGAAATGAAATATATCATAGTGGAGTAGTTAAGTTAGAGAAAAGGCAGAAATTCTTACGAAAACATTGTCAATGGCATTGCGAGCGCGAAAGAACCGTTAGCAGTTACTTTCATGGGGCACTTAAAAAGGTATTGTTTACACAATGTGTCGACGATCCGCTTAGAATTTATCGCCTCATTCTTGTGTCATTCGATTAAGTAAAAATATAATCTTAAGCAGCAAATTAAATAACTATTTATTCTCTGCCCTTTTTTTACTCTCAAAGTCGAATTAATTAAACTTTAACGATCAATTCTCTTGCCAACATATCCAAATTGAATGACTCTGTTACTTGTTACTCCCAAGCAAGTGATTCATTCAACCTCTCGCATAAATTCTTTTTTAATTGTGAATTAAGAAGTACATGTCGCTTCTGTGTAAGCGGATGTAAACGCATTGAAAATATTGTGGGGACTCTATTTAAAATATCATCACAAGATGATGATGAACGACTTTATGAAAAATGCGTTATGAATGGTAAATATAACTCTGAATTAATTTCAAGCAGAAGCTATACGTGGGACAATTTTTATATTTAATTTGCTTCTTTTATTTTGGAGGCGCGATGAATGAGAAAATTCAACATCACATCGCAACCTTGAAGTTTTGTCTGAATAAAAATGACTTTACCTAACTCGATCGTCGGATCATGTGTCATCATGAACCTTTCAAGCTGTAAGATATTAAACAAGAGATTCAACATTCTATAAAGCGTAACAAAGTCCTTCGAACAACCGGATTAATGACACGTACATATAAATAATCAATATAAAAAAGATATAAAAAATATCCTCTTCAATGGAATTTCAATTCGCTTGCTAAAGTGATTGGAATGTCATTAACTTTTTAATAGCATGATGAAGAAGAAGAAAAAAAAAAAAGAACTTATTGCAACATGGAAGTGTCTTGTACTCAACAAAGGGTCGTTAAGATAATAGATCTGGTTACTAGCACTGTCGTTTGTAACTCTCGACAAACTGCACTTCAGTGGAAAGGTCAAATTACTCATTTGTGTAATTACTTAGATGTTTGTAATTATCAGAGATTTCTTAACTCATTGATGGTCTTTATGAAGATTTTTACGATAAGTGTTCTCATTCGTGATCACAATACCGCAAGTTGTGGTGTCAATTTTGAGGTTTATTGGCGCAGTTACTTCATAAATGTTATTGTTAGCGTAAGAAAGTATGAAGTTTGATATTATTATTGATCATTTACATACATTTTTCTTTCTTATGTTGCTACAAATGATAACTTTAGAGTTGAAACTATGCTATCGATGCGCGTGTATGACTAATAATTCATAAAAACAACTCGTTATGGTGCTATGAACACATAGAGAGAAAGAGAGAAACCACATCTTAATGAAAACATGTTTTGTGGAAAGTGAATGTCAATGAAAGCTAACTTATGATGATGGAGAGTAAACAAAAAAAAAGTGAGAGTAATTAGTTTGCGCTTTTTGTCTACGCTTGATTGATGATCGTGCACGATTCATTTGGTTGTGATAGGCAGGAAGTTCAAAGACTTGTCGACGTACATTTTAGGTACATCAGGTTATGAAAGGCAAGTTGTTGTTATGTCATAATTTCCCACGGGATTCGGAAAACTCTTTCATAAATGTTTCAAACAATTTGTTCAAGATACATTTTCAAATCTGTTTCTATTCAATTATTCCCGCCGTTGTGTTGCAAACTGTTTGTTAGAGAGTTTAATTTTTGCCAGTAGAAAGACACAAATTGCGAACCAAATAAAGTCTTTACTTTTTCTTTGCAATCTTTGAAGTCAAATGAGAAAAATGTTTTTTCATATTGCACCAGAAGTTGTTGACTGTGTCGTTGTTGTTAAATATGGAAGACAAAACAAAAACATTGTTGATTTCATTTCAACAATATGACGCGTGGAAACTTCACACGCAAATTATGAACGGATTTTAGTTCCATGTGATCGTGATCTCAGTAAATTTCACGATTCAATTCACGGACGTGGCACTTCGGGTTGGTCTCAGGTATCGTAGCGTATATCTAGCTCGTGATGATGAAATAAGGCAAGTTAATAGTGGCGAAACGCTTATTTACTCAAATGGAATACAAATTTGCATTCAACAACTAACTTAAATGGAGCAATTAGTGCAAATGAATTACTTCGACGAACAACGAATATTTGACGTCTGACGCGAGTAAAATCGACGAAATAGTGCAACTCATAACGGCGCATAATCGAACCATGGTTTAATTTAAAGTGTTGTCTTTATTTACATTGTTTTGTTGCTGTTGTTTGGTGTGAAATGAGTCCAATTGAGCCGTTAACAGCGTTTATGAAATTATTATTTCGTGGTTTGAAGCTTCGCAATTATTCAATATGTTATATTTTTCATGAGGCTTGTTGACCCGTTCATTACCTCTCAACGCTCGAGCGCTGATCGTGATCTTTTATGTTTTTGTTTGGATCAATTTTAAAGTGACTGAAAGTACAAATCGCATCGCAAAATTATATGCTGACAGAAGAAATCTTGATTCTGTGGTTGACTCAGGGCCGAAAACACCAACAACAGTAACAAGATAGTTTTATTTCTTTTTTATTTTTTTAATTTTGCCTTTACACAACTTTGCAAAATTGCATCAGGCGTGAAGTATAAAATTTCATTTTTTCTCTCTCTTTTTTTCCAATTCCAGAAAATCAAAATTACTTAAATTACCAACAGCAGCAACAACCTCAAGGACGGTTTTTGTCATCGTTTCCACAGAACTCACGCAATGGATTCTTCCCATCACAACGCCAACAACAATCGCAACAAGCTAACTCGCCTGGGTCGTATCAACAGCAAGATTTATACTTAGATGGTCCATCGACCCCGCCATTTTTCCAGTTTCAATCATTTGCGGTAAGTTTCTTTCTATTTTATGTATTTAAATTACAAATATCTACAATTCTTGAAAGTAAAAGTGACATTTGATTTGATCTTTTCCGACGCAACGCTTGCCTGCTGATTTGAGTTTGCAAATGTAAAGCAAAGTCATCATAGTTAACTATTCACAAAAAAAAAGTTTAAAGTTTAATTAGATTCGATTGGTAGAAGTGAGTGAGAGCTAAGAAAGCAATGAGATTTAAAATTGAAGTCAAGACAGCTCAATTAAGCAAAGCAAATAGAGCAAAACGGCTTTTGAGGCTGTAAGTGAAAACAAATTAAGCTATGAATTGACTTTTGTCTTGTTGTGAAATATGATTGGTGGTCAGTGATGTTGATTCGTAAGTCACGATAATAGTCGTAGTTTAGAGTAACAAATGTTTGAAATATCTGACAATTAACAGTTTCCGAGGCAGTGCGACTGAATGAATGAATGACTGCCCATAGCATGCCAAATTATGAATGAAAGAAAACTCAATTAAGATGCGTGTACATTAAGTCATTAAATCGACTCGTAAATGAAAAAAAGATTTCCAACCAATTAAATAAAGAGAATAAAGTTGAGATTAACTCAAAAAAGAAGCTTCAATTTTCCAGCTTGTTGGACACGAGAGCTTATGAATAAGTCGTATCAATGGGATCGGCCACGACTTCAACTCAAATATCTCACCACCAATCTATAGTCAAGCGCCAAGCCAATAGCCCGTTGTGATTTATTGAAGTCCTTGGAGCATAGTTTAGTCAGAGCATAACATTGCAGTCCATGAAATTCATGGCGCATTGTTTCATTTTTGTTTACATCGGAATTTACGGTTTTTTTTGAATGCTAATTGATTGCCCTATCATGTGAAACTTGAAGCTTAATTTGTATTATTTACCATTCTATGCTATGCATCTAGCATAAACTTTACTGCTGGTGCTGTTGCTTAAGGAATATTTAGGAATGTCGGGTCGACAGACCTTGCAAAAATTATTATGAGAGTTTATAAAAATTTTTAAATTGTGATTCAGGAAGTTTAATTCAAGTCTTTTTTTTTTCGAAATGTCTATGAAATATTGCATTCATTTCTTCAACAAGCTTTATTTAATCTTTTACACCCAACAATTTTAACACCAACTCTAAACATTTTTTTTACTGCCTGCCGTCACCATTAGTGAGTGTTGAAAAGAATTCAATGCATTTTAATTAGCGTGATTCTTCAACTATTTATTGTGAGATTTTTTTTTTTTGTCATCGCAGCGACTTTTGACTTTGCTTTGACTTACATGGCTGTTGAGATGTTGAATGTCTGCCAAAAAAAAATTGTTAAAGATCTTTTTTCTGCTACATTACATTGGCGCCTTAACTTGGTGTTTAAATATCATTGAAGAATTGAAAGTATTTTCTGTATTTGTGAGCGTTGAAATTGATGACTGATGATCAGAAGAGTTTGCATTAAGTTCATTTTAAACATCAAGATCGATGACTTCTTATGATGAATAATTTTGGAAGTTTTATAATATTTGGATATCAAAACTCTTCTTTGAAGATCCATTAACGTCTTTCATTCCTCATGGCTTTAGTCAATCAAATCTACTTTTAATTCTTAATATTTTCTAAAATATTTTTATGAGAAATTAAAAGGCGCCGCTGTGATGCGAATAACATCAATCAAACTCTTCTCCTGTTTGCGTTTACCTTTCGTCATAATTTATTTACCACTTATTGTGATTTGCGATTGATCATGGATCATGATTCCCTCTTAGTGCCCATTTATGATCACTGCGAATGCTTTGTTTATTGTCACTTAAGTGTTTTATGATTGTTGTGGGAAACATCTTCGAGTTGTGGCGTGAAGGAAGGGAAAAAAATAAATTAAATGACAAGCAACAACCTTCACTGACGTTTCGCAGTTTTGCGCTTCTCACATAAGTTTGTTGTTCATATATCGATCATTACACACCTCGTCATAATAATTCGTTTACAATTCGCTACGCGCATTGATGGCTTTGGCTTTGTAACAAATTTAATATTGTTTTTGGCTTCTTATACATTAAATTCGTTATGCTGGTTTTTTTCTTCTGTTATTCTTGTTGCTGTGACTCAATTGGTCAAACGAAGTTTTTTTCTTTCGCCTTTCTTAAATGTGCATTCAAATCGATTATGCAAAAACAGAAATATTGTTCAATGAAAAGAAAAATTGTAAACATAAAACATGAAAATTGTGTTACATTTAATTTAACATACATTTTCATCACAATAAAATGTAGTGCAATAAGGTGATTGGATAATTGGACATTCAACAATACTTTTTTTTTGCTTACAGCATAAACCGCAAAAAAAAGAAATAAAATATCGCATGCTCGATTAGTGAATTTCCTGATTAAAAACGCTGCTTATTAATTAATTTTTTTTATAAAGCTTTTCTATAAAATTGTTTAGGAAATCAAGAAAAAAAGTTTTTTTGCGTTACCATCAATCAAGGATACTTAAAACGATAAATAATTTAATTCAATATTGACGTATTATAAAAGGCTTAAAGTTCAAATGTGTCGAACGACAAAAGAATAAATGTCAACAATAATGCCAATTAGATTCAGTTCAATTGAATAAGGAAGTTTAAAATGTGAAAAATCTTTTAAATTGAGAAAAATATATCGCGCCATCATGACAATAGAGTTTTTATTCATCAAATAATGTCTCGCACGTCTCTCAAATCAGCTTCGGAAACCTTTTTTCGAGGAGTGTCATGAACGCGGAAACCTACCAAGCAATCCGAGCAATGTATGCAATCCCATAGATTCAATTTGTCATCTTAGTTTTAAGCTGATCTATCAATTAAAACATTTAATTACATTTTTTCTTAAATTACCTCGCACGAGTTCCAACGTCTGCGTAACCGGAATCATTTACCGTCTTGTTTAACATGAAAAGTGACTCTGAAAACTTTTATTGAAATTTTTGTGTAAATCCAAATTGTCAGTTTGAATGACTCGAAGTGTTATGGATAATTTATTGTCGCTGTTTACAAACTACAATGGAAGAAAAAAACTGGACTAGTAACAAACAATTTGAACAATCAACTCATATGCTACACGCGACCATAAGTATTTAAGGATGGGCTTGGTAGCAATTTAAATTATAGCAAACAACATTCCCAACCATTTTTTGTTACCTTTTTAATTCCTTGTGGCAATGTTTCTCTAAATCTCACCACATTAATTGCAATGAAGGTCGTTGTATGTATCTAAAGTAGCAATTTGAGTTGAAAATATTAATCGTCAACAAAGCGCAAACATTTCGATTTCATTTCAAAAAATTATTCAATAAATGATTGTTAAGTCAAGACTTTATTTTTCACTTTTGTTTCATTTCGTTTTTATTGATTTTTATTTCTTCTGTTTGTTGCATTGCACGATGTTCATAAATATTTGGTTAGAAAGTTGAACGTGTGCTTCTGTGTTGGAGTCACAGCCGGTGTTTCCAGCTGTGATCATTAACAGAGTGTTGTTATATGTGCTTTTTTCTTGTTGTGAATAAGACAACTCATTGACAACACGTTTATGGTTAATAATGTTTTTATTGCAGACGACACGATCACCAAGTCTCAATCTTTACGAAATATCACCACGACCATTTGGTGTAACGACATCACCCCTACAAAATCGCGGACATTTTGGAAGTTTTGGTCAGACAGCAACACGCCAAAACAGCTTTGGATTTAATCCAAATTATAATTTTCAATCAACAGCACAACGACAGAACCCTTACTTAGATACGAGTGGCTTTAGCGAGGTAATACTTAATCGCTTTGTATCAATTTTTCTATTTCGTACACCAATTGACATAGTTTTACTTTTTCTGTCATTCAACCGCGGAATGCACTAATAATTTTCTTGACTATTCTGATTCGACAAACAATTTTCTTGACAATGGTTGGGTGCAAAGCTGAATTAAACTGACAGATTATTTTTATTTCTTTTTTGTCTTTTATTTGTGCTACTTGAGTCACGAAAGGAAAATAGAAATAAAAAAGATAAATAAAGCATTCACTTTAAGATCAAACTGAATGAACTTTGAGACATTAAATTACACTTAGGCGATGATCTTCTTGTATTATTAGAAACTCCAATTGAGTTGTGTAATCGCAATCTCATTAGCACGCTTTTTGTTGTTTCTTTTTCTCGGATCGCCCACGACAAAAAAAAAGAAATAAATAACACGAGTTTTGTTTAGAATGTTGAATAAGAACAAACAATCCTCTGCTAAGTGTTCCAAGCTTTTAATGGAATAACTGAAGGGTGACCATGATCTTGCAACAGCTTTTTAAACAATCAAAAACAGTTAAAGAATTCTATTTAAAGCCTGAGAACCAAATAAGGAAGAGAACTTTCAAAATTCACGCATTAAATAGCCACCCGAATAAAAAAGAACAACATCCATTTATCAACTTTGTTAAGCTTAATTTTGACAATTGACTGTTAGCTGTGCCGAATACCTGATGGATTCGATTTATTTGTTATTATTTACTTGTTAATCTATGTGGGTTGTTAATTAATTCCGGCAGTTCCTGGATGACGAACCACTAATTCGCTATTGTAATGTTTAATTCATTGTGCAGGTTCCACTTTTGGATGACTATGAAGAAGGGGAGAGACAACAGCAAAGTTTCGTGCCAACAACGTCGCGTGGACGGGGATCGGCTGAGAGAGTTGGTGAACCTTCTCGTAGTAACTTTAATGTTCCCCATCAGCAACATAAAACCAACAGGGAGAGGTTAATAGACAAACTGAAAGTGCGACCAATAACAACCACCCCAGAGCCAGTCACGACAACACAGCGTGCAGTCAGAGAACAACAACAGCCGAGCAAGAAGTCTCGTTATTCGCCAATCACAAGGTAATGAGAAAAAAAAAGCTTCAAAGCCCGTTACGGTTTGTTTAATCATCTGCTTGATCATTTGTTTCAGAAGCACGACGTCAAAACGACCTCAGCCCGTAGTGTCCGATTCAGATGGCCAGCACAATGATCAGAAATTTTCATTCACGAAAAGTAACAAAGTAAAATCTTTGAGTCGTGATTTAATTGAACGGCCAATAAATCAATATCGCGTCAATATTACACACAGTGGTGAAGATGAAAAGAAGTCTAACCAGTTATCGGTGAAGTCCTTGGATGCTATACGGCGGGAACAATCTCAGGAAGTTGATGATGGCGAAGAATATGAAGAATATGAAGATGAAGATTACGGCGTGATATTGACAGAAGAAGATCGAATTTTGAAAGAGAGTCCGACAACAACCGTTCAGACAACCACGACACCGTTGCCAGAAACAACCACGACAACTACGACAAAGCCTGAAGACAACACTGTCATCATTTTTGAGAACTTCATTCTGCCAAATCAAAATGAAAAGGATGAGAATGCTGATGATGATAATGATGATGATGATGAAGATATCGAATACGAATATATCGACGAAGAAGATTACGACTCAACTGAAAAGCCAGTGACAACGACAAGAGCTCCAACAATTGAGCCGAGAACGACAACGATAACACCAGAGTACATTGAAGTCACAACTTACAGAGATAAGAACAGGATCTTCAAACAATCTGTTGTTTCACTTGTGACGTCGAAAACAACAATCAACACATCAATGCCGGTGCCAAAGAATGACGACATTTATGATGAAGTTATTTCAACAACAACTGAAGAAGAGAATTATCCGTCATCGACTAAACCTACACCAAAAAAGACTACAACTGAAGATTATTTCGTCATTGCTTCTGTTCAAACAAGTCGAAGTGTTTCGGGTGCACATTTCTTGCCATTCGAACATGTCGAACAAGAAGAAAGAAAGAAATCACGTAATGAGTTGAGTAAGAAGTTAACAAAAGAACATGATGATGTAACTGAAGCTCAGGAATCTCACACAACAGAAACTTCGGATGTTGAGAATGATTCTGAAGAAGAGAACGATGACGACGATAATGATGATTCACGTGAAATCACAACCAGCATTTCAGTTTATGACGAATCAGAAGAATCAACAACGACACAAAGGAATGCACCGGTTCCGTCAACTGAAAGTATTATTGATAAACTTGATCGCGTACAATCGGATCTTTCACTTGGTGTTTTAAGTGGCGAGTTTCCAGTTTTGAAAGATCGCTCATCAAAGAAATCGAAAGTGACATCAACGAAGACATCAAAACCATTGACAGAAGCATCATTAATCGAAGTTGAACATGAATCAGAAACAGTCATTCCAACAACTGTTAAGCCACTTGTTTTAATAAGAAAGTTCAGACCAAAATCAACAACTTCCACAACACAAAAATCAACGACGCAACATAAAATTTTCGTCAAATCAACAGCGACAACAACAACTGAAGAACCAATCACAACAACAACGCAAAGCAATTCAAATGATAAACAAAGAGAGAATAAAAAGATCGCTTTCGATAATATTGAGCAAGATGATTTAGCTGGTTTATTGCCTCCTGGTTACAAGCCGAGAGTTTCATTTAAAAACAAGAAAGTCTTTTCGACAACGACTCAACAACCGGTCGTCAAAGACGACGAAAGTACAGGAAAATCGAGAAATTCAACCATTAGTCGATCATTCAAGCCACAGTCAAACTCACAACTTTTGTCGCCAGGTTACAAGTCATTTAAAAACAAAGACAAGTTGAGTGGATCGAAGGCGGTAGAAGAAAATGAGACACAAAATGTACTTAAGAAAGGCGTTAATAAAGATTCTGATGGAGAAATTGATAGCAAGTTTTTGCCACCAGACTTCAAACCTGTTAATGACAGTGACAAGCTTGCTGTAATTCCATTGGAGCGCGACGAATTGAGTAAATTCCTACCACCAGGTTTTAAGCTTGAAAAGGAACCAGAAAAGCCGAAGATTAAAGTTGTTGATGATGACCTCAGTAAGTTCTTGCCACCAGGTTTCAAACCACAAGAAGAAGAGAATAAAACTGAAGATGTTCTCTCGAGCATATTAGGAAAGATCAAATTCCAAGATGCTTCTGATTTGTTGCCAAAAGATTTCAAGCAAGCTGAGACTCCAGTTTATCAGCCATCGACAACTGAAGCTACAACGACAAAATCATCAGGAAAAGTTGTTTTCCCCAGTAGATTGGGAAAGAGACCTGGAGCTGGAAGAGTGACAACACCCAAACCAATTCATGCTGAAGGTCCGAAAGCTCCTGAACTTGAAATCAGACGAGGCCCACCTACAAGGGCTACGACTGAGTTCACTGGTTGGCCTTCAAAAGCAACGACACCGATTTCAATTGAAAAACTTTTGGAGTTACAGAAAAATGCCATGGAAGTCAACATTTCTGATTTCCTGCCGAAATCAACGACAGTTGAAGAAACAACAACTACGACAACAACCACGACGACCACACCTCGTCCAACCCAACCAACAGTCTGTAGATCTGATTGCAGCTTAGCAGCAACGATAAGAATCATTGACGGCGTTGAATGGTCGCCAGAACTTTTGACACATCACACGGAAGAATATAAAAATCTTGCTGCTGAACTTGAGATTGAGTTGAACGAAGTTTATCGAAATGCTCCGAGTCTTAAGCAATGGTTTAAGAAGGTTCGCATTGACAGCTTCAGCAAAGGAAGTGTTTTGGTTGATTACTTTGTGGAACTGTCAGACATTCCGAAAGATATCAACACATTAGAGATTAAACGACTGTTCCATGAAGCTCTCATACCAGATCAACAGAAGAGTGAAACGAGTCACGATGATGGAGAAGGTTTGCCACAACCGATTGTGAAAGAAGCTTTGAAGTTGGGCAACTTTTTAGTCGATCCAGTGTCGACAGATTTTATTGGTAAATCTTTCTTACTTTCATTAATCAGCAGCTTAATTTTCTCTTTTCAACATTGCAGTCATTCAGAAAGTGGCAACACCTCCAACAGACTTAGATGACGAAGACAATTTGTTACCTCAATGGGCCGTGGCAATGATAACCATTGGTCTCCTATCACTCATCTGTGTTGTGCTATTTGGTGTGACAGTGGTAAATTTAACAACATTTTTAACTCTGATAGAAATAAATAACGAAAGAAAATTTGTTTTAAAAGCTTGTTAACAGAAAGAAGGCAGCTAAGAAGAAACAACCGACACCACTTACAGCTGATATGTTGAATGAACTCAACAAGAACCACATGGGTGGGCTCGATAATTATGGAGCTGAAGATTTATATAATCTTGATGACACCTGGGATGAGAGGCGGCAAGATGTGAAGCCTAAAGTCAAGGTAAAACTTTATGAACTTTCCAAATATCTTGAATAGATTTTTATGGAAATGATTTTTTGTCTTCTATTGTTTCGCAGCGTTTTTCAACATCGGGAAGTAACCCAAACATTTACGATAGTTGGCGATCACAACATCTACAGCGCTATCAACCTGACGAATTTTATTATGATTCGCATGATCCATTCAACGAACTTCAACCAAAGTATCAAACACAACAAAGAGATGCTTACAGTGGCTCCAAGCAGCGATATTTGGAGCCAAGTTGGCAGGATAGCGCATATCCGCCATATCATGGAAACAGTAGTCACAATTATAGTTCTAGGAGGTTAAGAGATTATGATCAACATTTTTAAATAAGTTAAGATTAAGAAACTAAATCCTTATTATGGATCGCCACATTCGCTTGTAAATAAATTATTTAATTATCTTTAAAGAAAAAAAAATTTGTCTTTCACTTTCAATACTTACTCAGCATTTTCAGAGAAAGTGTTAATTAAAAAATATTCATTTGTTTTGTAGGTTTTTCCCAACAACAACAACATCTTTATTTTTATGTTCCCTTTTCATTTTTCTTTTAAAATTGTACATTTATATCATCAATAATTGTAAATTGTCTTCATCATAATAGAAATTTGTGTGGAATATTATTAGATATAATTCTTTAAGGAAGTAATAAACATCGTTAGTTAATAATTGTATTCTGAGCAGAGGTTGTCATAATGTAGTTAATATTTCTTATTATATTTAATCTCTCTTTAAATGTGGTCACAAACTTGATTTTAAACAAACTTCTTCTTCAAATATCATAGAATATATGCTAATAGTTTTCAATATAATTGTCCATTAAAACATTTCTTCTTTTATTTAAGCAGATAGATGAGTAAATATTTAAGCATTCAAAAGAGTGTCTACAGACTATTCTCAAACATTATTATGGCAACCAAGTAGCTGCAACATTGTGTGGACTTTTGCAATTTATTAAAAGCGCAGAAAAGCTTTTTACTAAATTCTAACTCGTGTTTTGTTCTATTTTTTTCCTTCGTTTTGTTACATTTTGACCCCAAAACCAGCTAATGATTTCTCAAGAAAAATATACAATAAATCAATATTTTCATTCAACATGTTGCGACAGCTTTAAACGAACAACAAAAAACACAATTTTCCAAGAGTTCTTAGCATGGAAAAATTATTCATTTCTTGTGTCGCTGGTTATTGTCGTTTCACAATAACGTTTAGCGTACAATTCTTTATATCGATTTAAAAATAAAAATTGTATTAATGAAACTAAACGGTTTTGAAGTTTTCAGAGAAATTAAAAAAATGAAAGCTTAATTAAGAGTTTATGAAAGCTTTGAAAAAGCTCACAAAGCTTCTTTCTTTCTTTTCAAATTTTGTTTATATGATTTCTCTTGGTTATTTGTTATTGATACACATAATTTATTTTGAGATATGCTGATTCGTTTACGCCAAATTTCTGATAATAGATGATGAATATTTTGAAAATCTAAATCAGAAGTGAAAGTCGAAAGACGTTTTTCTCTGTACAACATAATTTAAATGAAGCCAGAAAGATAAATAATTCACTTTGCCATAGATTTTGATTGAGTCAGCAATTCATGGATTGAATTTTATGTAATGTAATAATAATAGTCATTGCAATAAAAACTACATTTAGATATTTACGATTATTATACTTTGTTGGATATATAATGGGGAGAAATTTGATAAAAATCGCAATTTGCCTTTTATGATTCATCAAATGCATTTTTCTAAATTTTCTTATTACTGCAAATACACATCGTGGATAATAAAATTTTCAGCATCTTTTTTAAAATATTTAGATAATTTATGACATTAATTCAACATTTAGATTCTCACATGTTTTTATGGATTTTTTTTCACATCATGCTAATAAACATTTATTTTTCATGTCAACTCCTACATTGACCTACAATTCATTTAAAGCTTCTTCCTTTCATTAAATTTCTTCTCAAAAATGTAAATTTTATGACTTTATGTTTAGAAGAAACAACAAATCTTCAGCAATTTTTTTATCTTGGGGGTTTGTTTAAGCACATTTAATTAAGTACATTAATATAGTTCATAATATGATGAATTGAGATCACCTTTTATTAAAACACAGAAGATTATTCTTATAAGTAAAATACTTTCAATTTTAAGCTGGAAGTAGCTTCATCTCATGTTTTCTAACTCATGTAGTTGAACTTAAAATGTCATAAACAAAACCTCAATCTTATATTTTCGTCAAGAAGAAAGGAAATTTGCAGCCATTCAAATTTTCTTTCTTGTTGATATTAAAAATGATTTAAAGATATTTTTGACCATGATACAAAGATATTTATCTCAATAAAGACATCAACACCATTTAATACATTTATTTCTTTTTAATAACATTATTTTCTTGATAATTTAAATTCTCTCAGTATAGTTTTTTATGTAATTTGTATGTATGATAATTCTTAATAATTTTCCAATCAAATCTGCCATAATCTGGATAAACATTTTTTCCCGTTAAAAAACCATAACGTTTTTGTTGAATAAATTACTTATTTTTGACTAATTCCCATTTTCTAATGTTCTACGTAAGATTAAGCAATGAACATTAATGATTCATTTAATATTTCATGGAATAATAAAAGCTCTTCTTACAAAGGTATATATGAGCTCAATGGTACAATAATGTTGACATTGCTATTGCAAAACTTTGGCTTTTCAGCAAAAATACATGTGATTAAGATGATAAATTGAATGCAAAAGTAGTGTGGAAAAGATAAAATGCGATATTCTGAAAATAAATTTCATTCATTCATTTTAAAGATTTATAAATTATGAAGAATTCCGTTTGTTGGTGCTTCTGATAACAAGTGTAAACAAAAGCATTTAGAATAAAATAAATAATTTAAAATGAATATCAATCATATAAATGCATATTTTTAAAAGCTTAGCTGGTTCCATAAAAGTTTGTTGTCTTGTTGAGTTCGAGTTGTTACTCGTCATCGTCTTCATTTTGATAGGATTGATAGCGAACATTCGAACGATCTCCAGTTATCAATTGCTGAAAATGTTAAATTGACATTGTGATATTTTTTATTAAGAACGTGAATGCCAAATATTGACAATCATTTCAGTTTTCAATTATCTATCAACTGAATCAATAAAAATAAAAACTCAGTAAAATAAAAACAACTCATAATATTTTCAAACATTTTATTCTAAATAATAAAACTAACTTAATCTTTATACAAAGCTTACTTAAAGCACAACACAAGCATGACATAAGATCATAAAACATAATAATCATAATTTAGTAATAACACAATCAGATAATGCTTTATTTTTACACTCGCTCGTATTTCTCAAGTCGTCATTAAAGCTATTGGCACCATCGAGACTTACCTTCTTCTCTTCTTTTGTCGGTGGCGCTTTGAGTAGTAAAAGCAACGGTGCATAACAGAAACATAAAATGCCAATGCCAAACATCATCCACTCGAATCCAATGTTTTTTACCAATGTGCCACTGTGGAAGTGAATGGAAATCTGTGTTAAATCAATATTAAATCTGGTGTTGATAATCATTTGTTTAGGTAAACATTTCAAGTGTTCAATCAGAAACGAATATTTATTTATTTATTTGTGGATGTTTGAGCACTCGAAAAGAGACAAAAAACCTTTTTGTTTTCTTTTAAATCTGACCCACATTGAGTGTTCAATTCACATACCTAAGTGCTGGTCCGATAGCGAAACCCATGCAAAAGGCGACATCGCCTAAAGCATAAACACTTCCATACACAGCTGAATGCCGAATATCAACAAGAAATCCGAGTTCAGGCATCATACAAGAGTCGACCATTCCAATCGCAAATCCTAAGCCGGCATTTGGTAAAATTAAGTGGTAGATGGAAGTTGCTGATGGAATCTTCAAATTCGTATTTAAAAAATATTATAAATAACAAAAAAGTTGAAAATTAAAATCTTACAGCAATTAAACAAACGCCAATGATGACAAGTCCAATTAAAGCAGCTCGCCATCTTCCAATTCGATGTCCAAGTGGTCCAAAGAGATTTGTACCAATAAGATAACTTATAGAAGCTGGTAAGAATGTCACTCCTTGTTCCCATCTCGAAGCATCCATGTTGTCCATCATCCAAATAGGAAGCGACGGTTCAAGCATTGCAATTCCCATATTTGCAAATGTTATGGCACCAGATGCGATTAAAATGTAAGGATCCATTATAAGAGCTTTTAATGATGGTGCTTCAGCTTCTGTGTGAGTCACTGAAGGTTGCATCATGAACAGTTGAAGCATTCCATCGCCAAGTGCAAGTATTGACAAGACTAAGAACGGCGCGGTCTTTCCAACAAACTCGTACATGATTCCACCAAATGGTGGGCCAATTAACACTCCTAAAGCCAATCCACCTAATGCAATCCCCATCGCATTTCCACGCTCTTTATCGTCAGTGTAACGATCAGCCAACATGCCCATTCCTGATACAGATGAACACGATGACCCAATCCCCTGAAGTGCTCGTGCAATAAATAAAACTGGATAAGTTCGACCAAATGCAAATACTGAAAAGAAGGGGAAAAGGTTTCAATTTAGACTAGCAAATAAATCTTTTTTTAATTCGATTTCATGTTTACTTAAGGTTGATAAGAACATGATGACAAAGCCTGTAAACATTGGAATGCTGTAGCCAATTCTATTGTTAAAAAGAAAATCTTATAAGATAAGTTAAGGAAATGTTATCGAAGAAAGTTTTTTACTTGTGAGTTAAAGGTCCAACGATAGGATTTGCTAAGAGTTGAACGAAAGCTTTTGAAGCAAACATCAAGCCAACTTCTGCTGTTTCTGCAACCAATTCTTTGTGACGTTCTTCACGTTCGACATACCAACTTACGTTATCTGTAAATCAATTAAATGAGGCAATGACTTTTAATTAATTGAATTATTCATTACCATAGCCAATAGTTGTAAAGTCTGAGTCTTCAAGTTCAGAACTTGACGTCGTATAAATCTGATGTGGTGGCGGTGACTTGGGAAAGCTTGAAAGTGGTGCATCGGGATGTCTTATGTCATAAAGAAACTCGGGAATAATCGGAACTGAAAAAGAAAGCACAATCAATTCAATGAAAGTTAATTAAATTCGAATCTAAAGTGTTTCATAAGCTAAATGGATGAGAAGTGAAAAAGAATCTCACAATAAATCATTTATAGCTAAACATCCACTCCTTGTTTACACGAGAAAAATCTTATAGAAGGGTGAATTTATAAATAACGTCGATTGTTGATTTGTAAGTCAATCTGAATCCCTTTTGGTCAAGACCGATTCTTGAAACTTTCTTCTTCCTTCATCTTTCCTTTCTCAAGCCACAAACAGTAAATAAAAAGTGTTTAATAAAACATGAACCGTTCAGATCTCATTCTCCTTCCATTTCTACCTATTTAAACATCGAATAAAGCAAGAAGGGAATAAATGTTGAAAGGAAGAGAAAATATATGTTCGATCGTTCTTTCTCACTCGTTTATTTCAATTGTCGATATTTATCTAACCACTTTTTATTCGAAGTACCATTGGAATTGTTTGTTTATTCACAAACGGTAACAAATGACTGTTCTGTGACACAAAAAGAACTTTTTTATTTCACTAATTCCTTTTTCTTCCCTTAAACAACTTCTAACAATTGAAACGCGTCGTATTTTTGTCTGCTTAAGAAATCAAATCAAATAGCAAATAACTTCTTGTAAAGTGAGGGACATAAAAAAGAAATTTCACTTAAGAGAAGTAAAATCGGTCAGTTGGCATACCGCATAATGTTCATCAAGTGGTAAAGATGTTTGTTGGAAGAGAAATGAAGAGAAGCACTGCTTGATAAGTGGTCAAACATTAATTTCATCGTTTAAACTTCAGCCATTCAAAGCAATGTTTATCTTTTCCCCCTTCAAGATGAAACGAAACCTGAGATTTCTTTCATTCCCTCCAACACCTTGTGATGTTTACTTTTCAGATTGTCTGCTGTCTCATGGGATTTTTCCAAGGGAAATTTTTCAACAGTAAACATTTTTCTTTTCTTCTTTTCAATTTTCTTAAATGAAAGACTAAATTTATGATAATGAAAAGCAGTCTTGAGTGATAAGAGAAAAGTGAAGCTGGTCTTTCCACCCTACTGATAATAAATAGGCAATTTATGCACATATCATTAACACTCAGCTCGATACATTAAACAACACTTTTCCCATATCCACTTTCTCGTTTGCTTTATTTACACTTCTTACTACTGAATTCTTGTCTTTGATTTCTCTTAAGTAATTTTTTATGTTATTCTTAATTCACTTTTCGGTTTAAGTAGAAATATTTCCACGGTGAGTGACCATTTCAAATGATTGATCTTATTTATTATTTTATTTTGTCTCGAACAATTCATTTCAATCGCAAGAATTGCAAAATTCCTTCATGTTTCATGAATCGCATGAATATTCTCTAATTAATCTTCTTTCTTACAAATTTCATCCATTAGCTTCATTTCTTCAATAGTTTATAAGATGGAAAGATGACAATGTCATATGACCCAATTATTTGATGAAAGAGAAAATCAAAAGTTGACAGCAGCCGGAAAGTAAGTAACTTTTAACAAGGCCTCGGAAAATGTTCTACTTATGTTCAACAAAGGAAACAAAGAACTAACAATATTGCGAATATAAAATAATGGAATTAATTTTCCTCTTAACTCCACTCTGCTGTCATCATGTACAAAAATTTCTTTCCTTCAATTTAAGCGAGAAAATTGCAAAAGAAGAAGAATAAAAACGGAATTGAAAGAAGTGAAATTAGTAAAAAGCACTTTTCTTTTTCTCTCCTCGCAATTATTGTTTAATCAAGTGAAAATTGTGTGTTTATAGCGGTGTAGGTTGGGGTGAGGGAAGAGCAAGAAGAAAGCTGACATAGTCGACAAGAGATGTAGTAAGATCCATTAAACATGCCAATATATCCATATAGATCCGTGTTATTGGTTTAGTGGAAGGAGAGAAAAGCATTTATTGCAGTTGAATAAACTTTTATTGAATAGGAATTCAAATCAATTTCAAGGAAAACGACGCCTTGTGATAATAAAAATTCAAATGGGGATAAATGAACATCTTTAAGAAAACATAATTTCTTATCAAGCAAGGAAATTGCAAGAGATTTGTCACTATGAAGATTGAATTAGATGAATAAATCATTGAATGCAACAATGGATTGGATAGTTAGACGTCAAATTATCAAATGGAAGTGGAATTTGTTTAAATTTTATAAACTTGAATTGAGAATCTGTTAATGAAATCCTAGAAGATTAAAACCAAACACAATTTCCTTTCTAAAGTCATTTGAAGAATCATAATTTCTCGTTTTCCATGAATTTATTTTATCAATGAAGAAAAAGAATCAACAACAACTTGTTGCAAGTTTCATTCAGAGACATAAACAAAGATAAAGAGAAGAAGAAAAACTTACCGACAACTGTCAAAAGCATATTATCCAAAAGCAACGCAATGGCTACGATGACAAGGACCAGTCGTCTGGAACCTCTCCATCGTATCATCCAACTCTTGAAATTGCTCCATGACTCAAATTTAGTTTCACCTCCTTTCACGCCGCTGTCTATGCTAGCGCTATGATATTGTTGTGGATAGACTGAGTGCTGTAAATTTTGTTGCGGATTCTTAAATGGATTGCCGGGACTCGATTTTAGTTCGGTCTGTTGAATGCCTTCTTCAGATGTTTGCATTACTATTTCGGCCCTCTTTGGATGTGGCAACTACTTCTGTTGAATAGAAAATTAGGAAAGCTTTAAAATGAAATTCTTTAGCAATATTGAGACATTTTTGTCTTTCGATATTTAAAGTCGCTCGGAAATTCTCGTGTCATCCCTTGGAAAATCACATCTAATATCACTCACTCGAAGATGATTACAGCAACAATGAAAAATTAGTCTTTTAATCTTATTATTACTTTGCTTGTCGTCGTTGTCGACGTAGTGCGTATTCGACGACGATGACAACATAATTTTTTATTCTCTTTTCAACAATTGAAAGGGGAAGAGAAATGAAGGAAAAAGAATCTTCAACCGTCGGATGTAAGTCGGATTATTTGTTTGACTGAAGAAATCAAGAGAATTGCCACAGAGAGGAGGGGAAGGAAACGAAACATCGGTGGATTGCCAAGGTATTTTCTTGTTTTAATCAATTGAACCTCTATAAACGTTAAGAGTACGACGAGGGAATTGTGTCTTTATGATAACTTAGCAGATGATTTAAATGCGATGATATTGTTAAATGCGCCGCTGTGGGTAAATTATTAATGCTAATTATTTGAAATCATTTCCACTTAGATATTTGAAGTGCTTAATGGTCCTTTTGTCGTCTTAAGGAGATTGTTTTAAGAAAGATTTGATGGCCCAGTGGGAAATTATTTTAAAAGCCTTTTTTCGTTAGTTAATCTTCGTCGACAGATTACAACGTTCGGTGGTTGCTTTTTCCCTGACTTAATTTTAAAAATATTTAAAAATTAGTGCAAGAAACTTCTGCTTTTCGAAAGCAATTACATAAAACTGATACATGTTCATTTAATTACACAATATTTACTTCATTTTGTTTATTAAAACATTGAAACGCAACAAGAGTTTGACATCTTTAAAATGTTCTCCCTTAAATAATTTTGAATTTCAGTTTTCAAAGGCAAATAAAATCTTTGTCAGATAATTGAGGGTGTGAGTCATAATTCAATTTTCCAGCAAATTTGTCGTACGATTTGTAATGGAGAGAGGAAAAAAAAGTGAAGAAGGAAACACAAAAATCATCAACACATTTTCCATTCGCTTTTCTCAACTCTCAGCCTCATTTCTTTTGTTGTCATTTACGCCAATTTTGCAACTCTTCTCTTGACATCGCACACTTTTAATTGAAATAAAATTAAGGAAATAATTGAAAAAATATTAATTTAAATGGATTTCAGTCATTTTTCCTTTTTTCAGCTATCCTTGAAGCTATTAATGACAGAAAATGAATATAAAGTGAAGCAGACCTTGAAGCAAACAGTTTACTATTCAGAATCTGTTCTTGATTGGTTGGTTTGGAGCTAAAGTTGAAATTAAAATAATTGAATTTTAAACAAAATCGATTTAAAATTAACTTTCATGCAGTTTTAAATTTAATTTTTCACTGAATCTTCGTTATAATTAAAGCACTAAATTGAGTCATTTGTTAGTCATCACAAGTTTCATCTTTGAAATACTTAAAGTAGACTTTACTAAATTTCATTCTGCTTAGCTTTCAAAGTTTTTTTTTGCTATGGTTTGAATATTTTACTTCGTTTTTGATTGATGAAATGTGTGCTTTAAGATTTGTTACAATTTCTGACTCAGACAGAATCAAATTGTTTAAAAGATTCTAACTTGAAACCACAATGATTTTAAAATATGGTCAATGATTTTGTAAGCGTGTTGAACAACAAAAAAGTTTAAGAGAAAAGCTTTGAAATGCTTCAGAGTTTGGCTAAAAACTCCCTTAAATTTAATGAGGCACGACACAAAAAGGGGCAAGAGCAAGGAATTAAATAAAATTCAACCTTTTGACCTAAAGATTTTTCCAAATCGATTAGATATTGCATCAAAAGGCTACCTTTAAAAGGCGGAGATTGAATTTAAGGTTCAATGAAACTGAAATTAGTTTTGACTTCAGATCCAAATGATTAACATGAAGATTAAATTTTTATGGAAATTTTGTTCTTTAATTCTTCGAAATGATATCAAACCGTTAGACAATGAGTCAATAATCTTCCTGAACTTTCGTTAAAAAAGTATTTGCTTAGAACAAATTTTCAAGAGAAACTACAAACAGAAGTTTCTTTTATCGTTACCAAGAAAAGAACGACATGAATACAATGAAATTGATGAAACAAATTATTACAAATGTAAATATTAAAATCATCTTGGATGAAAGAAATGAGAGTAGATTGTCGAATTATGGGATGATTCAGAGAGCTTAGTTAAAAACTCTGATGTCTGCTGTTTGATCAATTAAAATGTTGATTGCTGACCCAACTCCATCGTGCTGCTTCAATATAATTTATAATATTTCACATTATTATGATATGCAAAATGCAACCATACGTTCTACGCTATTTAAATTTTCTGATTATTCTCATGACCTAGCGAAAAATTTACAAGTTCACGTTCATCTTTATGAACGTTTAAATTGAGTAATTAAGTAGTTTGCAACTTGGCAATTTAATAAAAACCATCAAATGAATGAGAGATTGCCTTACTATTACAATGCAAAGTGGAGAATCTTCTTCCCTATAAGCATAATTCGTTTAATTTAACAAGCTCACAAGTTCAACTCTCTATGCGACAATTTACTTCAATAGCACTAATTAATTGTTTCCTAATTTTATAATTTATTGTCTGTGTGATATTTTTAGCCGTGAAAGTCAAAGCATTGTATTAAAAAGACGACAAGTTTTTCCGGGATTATTTTCATTTTCTTTTCAGGAAAACTTCGTTTAAGGCTTCACTTAATTTTCCACATCGATACGATTTTCACTCGAGGATTAACCTGTTGAGATTGAAACTTACACAGATTTATGAAGAAAACTTTGTTTGGAGTTTACAAGTCTAGTCACAAGTTATCGAAGGCACTTTCTCTAATATTTTCTTTTGTTGCACAGAATTATCACATCACAATTTGTTTCAATTTTTTTGCTTTTTATGTGAACTTTCACCTCGAGAAATTAAACTTTGATGAATTGAAAGATTATGGTTTAGATCAAAATTATAATCATTCTTATACTTTTAGCGATTGATGATAAACTGAGAATATTTCTCGAAGTAAAGTTTACATTTATACGAGCTTTTGAATGAAGAGAATATTTTTTACTTCGGAGAAACGAGTCGACTTGCGAAAGAAACACCTTCGGTTCTTCCGCCAGCATCATCGAAGCCATAATGAATATTTTACTATTCATAAATGCTGCAATTATTCTAATTCGATATAAAAATTATTTATATTAAGCTCGTGCGTAGTCCATCGAAATTCTATCATGCTTTGATTTTATGTTATCGATAACTGAATTACAAATGAGACTGTAATAAAGTCTAGTTGAATTCACTTGACAAAAACTAAACTTTAACTGTCAATTACATCAATAAGCATTGCCTTTTGGTCAGAGACACAAAAATCTGCAAGAGACAAATAAAGTTTAGCTCTTGAAAAGCCAAACTTTTTGTTCACTTTTCATATTTAACATTCATATTTGTAGTAAAGCATGAGCGCCATCGGTGTTTTAGTTTTTTTTTTCGTTTTATTTTTTCTGTTTGAACTTCCACAATACTTATTTGCATAGATGATTGTCTCCATTGTAGTTGCTTAATCGATGAATAAAACAGATGTCAGCGTAAACTTCTTTATTATCAGACAAAAAACAAACACGATTAAAATGTATTGTGAGTGTGAGTTAGTTAAAGTAAAATGAAAAGCCTTCAATCATGGATGAACATTTCTCGATTTCCAATACCGACGGCTCTTTGAAAAAATGTTGAACAACATTGAAATGTCGTGCTGTGTTTGGGTTAATTACAGTGATTTTGATAAATTGTGTAACTCAAATAATAATTAACTTATTAGGTGGGAAATCTTTTGGAAATTGTAATTTCCATGAATTGTTGAGTGATTAAGTTAGCACGTAATTTGCGTGAAAACTTTCATTAATTATGATTCAATTTTAATTTATTTATTTAAGTATCTACTTGTTTTAACTAGGAACATTTCCCAGGAAATATTTGATTTCACAACAACCTCTGATTGTAATCGAAAAAGAAGTTTCATTAACATTTTCCCAGTATATTCGGTGATCAATCGTAACTTTAAATTGTTCAATAACATTCATAAATATCAAAATAATTTCACTTTACTTACATTTACTAAATGCATTTGTTGAAAAAATGTTGTAAAATTAACTGCTGATCTTGTTGTTCTGAAAATTTAAGTTTGTCAGTCCATTTTTAAGTGAATGCTGAAAATAAATAATTAAATAAAAAAATTAACTTTGACTGTGAATTGAAATTTAAGCTTTCAGAATTTTAAGCAATTTAGGGAAAGATTTCATTGAAACTCCCAGCGGTAAAACCACAACAAAACACACAGAGACAAAACTCACTTGTTTAAACTTCCTGATGGATCCAACGGCAAACTAATTGGAACAAACGTTAAAGTTAAAGTCACGAAAATAAATGGAAAAATAATTTTCCATAAACTTTCGTCAGACCATTAAAGTATTTAGAAGAAGAAAGTGATTCTCGAGTGCACTTGATTATCACTTGTGAATTATTAAACACAGTTAATTGCTTGACATTGCAACGAGAAACGAGTACGAGAAACGGAAGAAGAAAATGCTTTGGGGGAAGATTCAATGACAATTTCAAGTGGTACACGCTGACATGTGATGAACGTTAAATGGGAAAAACGAAACAGAAAATTAAACATAATCAAATTATAAGCGAGGGGAGAAAAATAATTAAATGTAACCACTTAAAACACTTGAAATATCAATCTGATGAAATGTTCTCTCTTACACTTTACAATTCTATCGGAAGCTTCCGCCCGACACTACTTCTTGCGACGAGATCTTGTCTCGTACTGAACGCCAACAAGAACAGGCAAAGTAGGAAAATTTCATCGCAATGAAAACGATAAAAGAAAGCAGAAGGAAAAATTAATAAAACGGAAAATTCATTCCAGAGAAAGCGAATAATGAGCGATGATGTGCCGTTTCACTCCTGAATACAACCGACGTAACACGCACAAACGAAGTCTTCATTCGGCTGTTGCTCGTTGCTCGTAATGCAATCGTTCGGATTTTTACCCCTCAAAAAATTTTCCTCGCTTTTCATAGGAAAAATTTGAGAATCTCATTCGGCTACAGCGAAGACTTTTTCTCCCACCATGTCACTCATTCTAATAAAAAGTCAGCACGCTGTCTTCGGAGATTCACATAAGAGGATTTAAGGCAAGCAACAGTAGAAATAGTAAAAGATTTATTTTTCTTTCTTTTCTTTTATTGCTTGCTTCATAGTCTTTTCAATGTTCTAATGCACAGCATGGGAAAAGATAAAAAAAAATATGTCCAAGAGTCAATTATGAAACAATAGAAATTTATTATTTGATCTCATTGTTTGGGAATGAAAATGTTAAAATTTCTTCTTTGTAAAACTCAAAATTATCAAATGAAATTATCTTTGTTGACAGGAGCTTTAATAAATTCCCAAATGATCTGTCAAATGGGAAAAGAAGAATCTCAAAGTCCATTACAATGATCAACGGTAAATTAGAAAAAAAGGAGAAGAAAAATGTCTGATTAATTACGATTACGAATGAATAGAAAGAAATGAAAATTGAAAGATAAAGTGGAAAGACGTGGAAAATGTGAGTGAATACTAGAAGAATTGAATGTCGAGTTAAAAAGCTTTTTGATGTAGAAAATTCAATTGTGAATGGAAATTATCGGTTTCCTTGCTCCATTACGCTTTTTAATGGCATTTTCTACTTTTTTCCTTGCACGGAATTGCCTTTCACTCATCGGCATCTTAAGTAATAAAAGTTCTGGCACCTCAATCTTCCTCTTAATTAAATTAACATTCCTCGACGTATTTTATGTTTATCTATTGCACTAAACGAAAGCTTAATGAAATTGCACTGCAACAAGCTTTAATTATCATGTTGTAAGATATCATTCGAACTAATCTGTTGATGTAACTCGTAAAATCTCATTTATTCAGAACTCTTCCTAAACTCTCCACAACCACCCAACATTTATTGCACTTGTTGGAATTTAAGTGAAACGAAAAAAAGAAATTTAAAGCAATAAAAATCGCATTGCTCGCCTTAGCAATCGATTTACCGGATGACAACGAGAACAAAAATGATCCGCTTCGATTTTTACAATTTTTTCCTCGCCTTTATTCTCTTTCTGTTGATAATAATTGAAAATGGAAGAAGTTATGAAAAATTGCGGGTATGTCGTGTTGTGTTGAATTGAAAGAGTGCGGGGGAGTAAAAACGAGGACAATTTTCCACAAGATTAAGCTGATAAAGCACTTGAAGACGACTTTAAAAAAATGTTATGATTTGTTGGGGATTACGAATGAGTTTTAAGTTGCTCTTCCTTTTGTGATTTCATGCGAGTGGAGATGAAAGTTGAGATATCATCCGACAAATGTACTGTTGTGGACAGCTTTTGATTACTTCCAAACATTTAATATGATATTCAAATAGAAGTTAGACGCCATTGCTGAGCCTATTCGAAGCATCAATTCCAACACTTAATATGACGATGATGAAGAAAACGCCCAAAAATTATTTTCTCTCGATTGTGAAAGAGCCACCCACGCGCAACATAATGCTCAATATCGAGAACATTGTCGTTTTGCCTTCAACATTCTTTACGATATTAAAGAAATTCCAAAATAGTTTCGTGAGAAAACTGAAAATTTTTAAATAGAACTTTTTTATGAATGATTTTTGTATAATTGTTGATGACGAGATTGAATGACTGTTTTGATATAAATGATCCACAACGCTACAAATATATCTTAATTAAATTTCAATCTCATAAGCATTGACTGAGAATACCGATAAATGAACAAAATTGAATGAATTTCTAATGACGACAATCCTTCTATCAGAAATTTTCATCACGCCGTAATTAAATTTTTCATTTTCCTTCTTCCTGGGAAAAATTCTTCATAAACTTAGAGTGTAAAGTTATGCGATGAAGAATTCCATCGATTCAAAGTAAATTATAAAGACAAAGTTTTCGCAACCGTTCCATTCTACTGCTTCTCGGTTTTATCGATTTATGATGGGTGAGATAGGATTGATGTTGTTACGTCTATTAAAATGCAATTAAATTGTCCATAACAATTTATTCTCGATGTCATCATATGCTTCGTTTCCATTACACAGAGAGAGAGAGAGAGAGAAAGAAAAGTCGAAAAAGTTGATAATTAAAATTTTATCAACATCATCAACAACATCCTAAAGGACTTTAAAACTATTATTTAATTTTTCTCCTTTTTTTTGTATCATCGTGAATCATCAACATATTTTTGATGTCGGAAATTAAATTATGATGCTGATAAAAAGACCCAATTTTCCTAACATATTTTCCTTGTCGTTTCGTTCTCATTTTGCTCGACACTGAATTCATAAACATGCGGGATAAATGATACGGATCATGAGTAAATTAAATTGCCAATTCAAAATGTCATCACCATATGAATGATGAACTTGTTTGAAAATGTTGTTGTTTCCATCATCACACAAAAGGCATGTCAATTCACTTTCAATGATTTTTCACTTCATCGACACTCGAAGGCATATTGAAGGAGCGACAGAGATGTTGAGTGTTGATGAAATCAAACATTTTTTATCTCACAAATGATTTCTTCTCGTAAACATTCCTGGCTATGTACATAATATTTACAAAGCATTAAACGCCATTCTGCAGACGCCATCCAAAGCATCAACGACTGAAGTGTGATCTATTCTGAATACGATTGTTTTAGAATAAAAGACGAAGGAAGTAAAATTAGAATCAATTGATTATTTATTGAATAATAATAAAGAGATATGCACGAGGGCGAATTTTTTTCATCTCATTTGACGACATCGAATGGTGAATTAGACGCGCGAAAAGGAAGAAAATAAAACGCTTTCATGTTCAATTTAATGCTTTAAAGTAAGAAAGTTCGATTAGGGAAAACGAGACTTAAAGAAATGGAAATTCAGAACGTTGTTCAATAATCGTCCATTGTCCGTGAAATGCTTTGTGAAATGAAGTAAAATAGCGAAGCAACCATGTGTGGTGTCCGACGAAATCTCTTTTTTTTATTTAAGTTTATGATTTATTTTACAGCTCAAAAATCTCGGACGACTTTAGGGTTTGTTCAAATGGAATCGGGGTGAAATGAAAGTCATTTCCAGTTTAAAGCCCAAATCATGTGCGAGAAAAATTGGCGAAATTCGTTCTGAACCATTAACCATCAACTGCCTCCACCGAGCAACAACCCTCACCCCATTCTACAATGCAGCACATTCCTTCATAGTCATCATAATAATTTAGAGAATAATAAAGATCCACATATATAAGCGCCTTCATCAGTTGATGTGAGTCGCTGAGTCCTTTTAATGCCATGTTGAGTTTCAGGGGTGACAAATAATGAAGAAAGTCATGGAAAAGGTACAAAATGAACATCGTGTCACCATCTCTGATCGTCAGATCTACTGTATAAAGATGTTCGAATAGTACGAGTGAAAGCAGAAGAAAGAAATGGAATATTAAGAAATAAAATGCCATCCTTTCTCTTCACGTCTCCCACCACCACACCCATTCAAGCACAATAAAAATTTCTTTACGAACTTCTTCTATCGCCAAGAAATTCCATTTTCACTTACACACTTTTGCTTTGGGGTTTTTCACTCGCTTATCGCCTTTTTATTGTGAATCATGATCGGAATTTAAATATGACTTTCTATGTTCTGTTCTCTGTTGCTTGATATCGGATGGCAATAGGAAAGGCAAAGGCAAAAGACTCTTCTCTCCACCCCCTCATATCATCATCATCGTCTTACATGAATTCATATTTGCGATAAACCCTCAAAAAATTACTCTTCCCTTGCCACTGTGGCTGTGCATTAAAAAAAGGGCCCAAGATGATGATAAAAAGAGAATCAACAAGTGTGAGAAAAATTTCATGGAAAATTTATTTTCTTCTTTTGCTTATCGTTGTTCTTTGTTAAAGAAAATCTCGAGAAATGTATGTGACACGCGACCCGCTTTATGAAGAGGGGATGAAACCGTAAAAGCACATTAATCTTAAAGACAATTTTCTTCGTGACACTTAAATAAAGGGAATGAAGGAGAATTAGGAAGGTGTTAAGTAACATACATCACGAAGCAAAAAGGTGAAAATGATAACTCATCGATGATCATCGATTGGCATGATTGATATAGAAACACGAAGAAACATGGAAAAGATTTTTCTTTCGCTTACTTTTAATTCGATTTCTGTTGCATCGCTTTAAATGATTTCTTTTAGCATCATCTTGCAAAATTGAATTTAAAGTCTATTAGAAAATGAAACGAGCAACTGTTGAGTGATATTCCAATTAAACTGCTGAGAAAGTTTAGCCTTTTCAACTTTCACCAATCATATTCACGCTTCCTGCTTTAACATGAGTTTTTGTCCAAGAAGCGTTTAAAAATATCAAGAAAAGTTAATTAATCAGAAGCATCTTTAATGTTTAACGAAAATGATTTAATTGAATTATTTACAGAGCAGAAAATTTTGCTTTAGGCTTTGGGACGAAGATTTACTGAAGTCGGTCGAATTATGAAATTTTTATTTTTTCAATTAAATTGAAAAAATATTTATTTAAAAGACGCTTTAATTAAAATATTAAATGCATTTAACTTCCATAAGCTTCGAGTTGAAGATGCAATAAAATGATGTAAAAAATGTAAACGAGTTTAAATCTCGCAACACTTGCAAACACTTTTTTGGTAATCTCGAGCAATCTTATCCTCTGAAAAATGTTTTATATTTAATCCCAACTTAGTTATGATATCTTATCACGAAAAATATATAAATCATTCATATTATGACCCATTTTAGTTTATTCCTTTTAGCATTTCTCTTTTCTCCATAAGTTCTTTAATTACGCATTCCATTGAAGACATTCGCGAGAATGTTGATGATGAATCTGTTAATTGCTTGACCAAGAGCTGGTTTCGAGGATGAAGGTGGGGTTGATGAAGTTCCTATGTCATCACAATAAGCTCGGTTCATTCTCAAAATGTCTTTGTCACTCATTCGCGTTTGCTGACCCATGACCTCACCACCTAAATCTTTCTTAGCGATTATAGTTGGACTTCCGTCAATTGAAAACGCTGTTGCTGGATAATGCATCACAGAACTATTCTTTGTAAATGATTGATTAATTATATAACAAAAATATGTTCACTCTACTTACCCGTAATCGTAGTCAACTCCATGATTTGTCACAACGGTATTTGATTGAATAGCAAAATTGTTTTCAGTTCCATTTCGAAGCTTATCCCACATTATCTCAACGAAATCATCTCGATCAGGTGATGATTGCATGTGATAAAATCCGATTGCATGTATAAACTCATGAATGATTGTGTACAATCGGAAACATCCAGTTTCAACATCAAATGGCTGCAAATTTAAAACTTGCGCACCAGTTCCACGACGACCAACTTGACTGAAACATCCACTGCTATTTCCGGTCACATTAACGTAATCATTGTGAAGTTTTGGATTGTAAGGAATAAATTTCAAGCATGTCACTTCTGAAATTTTCTTAACTCCAAGATGAATGTAATCGATTTGTTCTTGAGCTGATTTTATGATGGAAGCAAATTCAATATTTAAGAAATTTCGAATTTTAATTATTCACTCACTAAAATGATCATTAACGATAGTGTAGGGAACGACACCACCAGCCGATTGATATCTTGTAGCAATCAAACCAACTTTAGAATTTCTTCCGTATTGATATTCATTGATTTCATCAGAACTCATCGCCATATCTCCTTGATATTGTCCACTATACAGTTGAGCCCATTCATCTTTCTCCAAATGTCTCAATTTCTCAACTAAATTATTAAAATTTTATCAAAATATTTCTTCATAGATGAAAATTATTAACATCTCACTGTTTTCTGGTGAATTTTCTTTTATTGGTGAATCCAATGGAAGACTTTCAACCAAATAAACTCCCAAAATGGCAAATAAAAAAAGGAAACACTTCATAAATATATTTCAACTTATCACGAAGGAAAAATTATGCACAATGAACTTCTTCGCTTCAAGTATTTATTTAAAAGGCATTAATTCAATAGGAAAAATTGAATGAAGTAATCAGTTGACAATAAATCAATTTGTTTCTGATAAAAATGACTTAAATAATACTAAAAATCTTATCCACCTCAACGAAGTACTTTATTGAATATTTATTTAAAATTATTTGGTTATTCTTACTAATGAGTATCATAAATAATTTAATTAACAATGCATCCATTTGTTAAGTGAACCTCACAACATTTCAATCTTTGGAACGTTGTCGTGAATATGAGAAATGCTAAGAATTTCATTTTCATCATCAAGTTGTTGTTGATGTTGCAATCCAATTGAAAGATTCAATTGTGAGTTTCTGGTTTCTTGGGGGAGCATTTGCGTGGGTGGTGGTTTTAATCTTGATGGATCAAGAAGTGGTTGCATCTTTGAAGTTGTCTTTTTGGTTGGCGTTCGTCTGTTTGGCGATGTTTTTGTATTTCTCGTCACTTTGGCACTGATTAGGAAATATTAAATAATAAATCAAGATAACAAGAATATCGCTTTCAATCATGACTTACGCATCGATAACTTTCATAAGTAGATGATAATATTTTTGATATTCTTCATCTCCAAACTCACTAGGATCGTGTCTTGCTGCTTCATAACAATCACAAAATTGGTGAATGAGTTTCTGTGAAGAACTATTCGGATTTAAATAATTTAAAAGGAATGAACGAAGTGTTTGTTTTCCTCTTGGTATTGGAATTTCATTTTCAAGTAGTTTAACATCGTCCATCGCCTTCATTCGATAGTAATAAGGTGGAAGAGTCGTTCCTGGTTTTAAAATGAATTTATCATCTTTCGCAAGAAGTTCTGGCTCATAATACAACTTATCGATCACATCAAGACGTCTCTCTATTTCCCTTTTTACACTCTTATTACCATGTAAAGTGTAAGTGTGTCTGGAAAATTTAAAATTATTTACATTTTACCTTAAAATCAATTTTTCATTCTCACTTTGATTTTAATGTAAATCTCAGGATTTGTCTCTTTCCAAAAATGAAAACAATTGTGGCAAACAAAATGATTGTTGCCAGCAATATCATAATAATTGGACCAGATAGATTAGTTAACATTTTGATTTTTTCAATTTTGTCTTCCTTTTGTTTTGATATTTTTTTTTTTCTTTAAAGAAAAGTGAATTCAGCGGTTTATTCAGCACTGGAAGGTCACTGGAAAGATTTGAACTTTTAAATAGTTCAGTAAAGAAAAATTTCTTTCCAGCACAAAAATTTGTAAATTTATTTAGGTAACTATTATAAAGTAACACTAATACATATTTTGCTTTGCATACTTTTCTAATTTTAAGGATAACTCAACATGTTTATGCTTTACATAGTTTGATATAAGATAAAAGTCAACAGAAGAGATTTTTCTTATAAGATTGTAATTGGATTTGAAATGAAAATGTTTCAAAACACTTTCCGAGTTTGAACTTATTCGATAATCGATAGAAATGTTGCTTCTTTTAATTCATTTGATAATAGTATTCTAAAAATTTTAAACATAATTTTACTTTTTACCAAGAATTTTGAACATTTCACGATTTTGTTTTCCAATTTTAACATCAACATCTTCGACCTTGTAATTTATATCGTCAATCAGATCATTCTGCGTGTCAATTTCTTGATTCAGATCAACAGCTAAGCCTTTTAATCTTGACAAACTATCGCACATATCTTCAAGATTTCGATCAAGTTGAGTGTTAAAATTTCCTGATGCTTGTTGTTGCTGTTGTTGGATTGGATTATTGCGAAGACGTGTTGTTGGATGTGATGAGTAACGTTCGTCAGCAGTAGGTGATGGAATAGAGGACACTTCGCTGTTTGATGAAGAAGCAGACATTTTAGCATCATGGTCGGGTTTTCCCGAAAGATAATTTTTTAATCCGCCAAACATGCTTTTGATTCCGTTTAAATGACGCTGACTAAACTTCAGACTTGTGTTAATGGTATCAAGTTGATTCCTAGTTTTCTCCAATTGTTCACGTTGCTTTGCTAGTTCATTTGCTGTAGCGACACCAACTTGTTCTGTTTCACGTAACAATCCTATACTTCTTTGTGACGAATCTAACGTACGATTTTCAATTTCTTTCCTCTTTTGTTCATACATTTGACGCTGATCAACGAAATCGTCTCTTGGTGAGACTCGGGAATTTTTGAGAAATGTTTCGTCATCAACATCATCTGAAAACAGACTTCCATTTTGCAAATACTGGTGGCCTGACATTGTTTGCTTGATAACAGAAGGAACTAAAATTAAATTCATAAACTTTTTACATTCTAATTTTATAATCTATTTAAATTGAGTTTTTACCTTGAGTTCTTTGTTTAACCAACTAAAATGACTCACAGGTTTAGATAATTCCAGAAAACTCCCTGATGTTAATTATCTTGAATTTTTGCTGATTAATAATTCGAAAGTTAATAATTTTTTGTTTATAATCCTTTGAACTAATCGTTTTAAACTCTTTTTGAAAAAAATTTTTACTGCAGAATAGCTTTATTATGTATTTCAAGGAAATTGTAGCTTAAAGCTGCTGATTAAAAAGAAAAGTTGTTTGTACGACGATTTTTACTTTGACTGATTTTTCTTTTCTTGTTCCTACTTAAACTTCGATATAGAGGAGCTCATTATGTTAGAACCTCGTTATAGTCTGGACTGGAAAGTAATCAGCAAATTCATTTTCCAGTGGAAAAAATTCACAACTCAAGTTTAGTTGCAATCTTGCTTTTAACAACGAAACACGTATAATTCGACTTACTTTTTAAACTTAATTTGTATATTCAAAGAACGATGGCTGGCCGCGTTTTAATCTATGGTGGAAAAGGTGCTCTCGGTAGCGTTTGTGTTAACTTCTTTAAATCAAAAAATTTCGTAAGTATTTAACATGAACTTGATAAATCATTCGATTGTGATGAATAATAACAATTCCGGTCATTGAAAAATTCCACAATGAATGTTGCAAAAACCAGTTAATTTTCTTTGACTTACCGTTCGTGTAATGCTTCATTTATTTCAACATTTGTAGTGGGTTGGTTGCATTGATCTTGTTGAGAATGAATTTGCCGATGCAAATATTCTCGTAAATCGTGATGCTGACTTCGTTGCGCAAGAAACTCAAGTTCTCAATGCTGTGAAAGAAGCACTTAATGACGATAAGTTGGATGCTGTGATTTGTGTTGCTGGTGGATGGGCTGGTGGAAATGCATCGAAAGACCTCGCTAAAAACACTGACATGATGATAAAGCAAAGTGTCTGGTCGTCTACAATTTCTGCTTCAGTCGCATCACATTTCTTAAAGGAAGGTGGCGTATTAACTTTAACAGGTGCAAAACCAGCACTTACTGCAACACCTGGCATGATTGGCTATGGATTAGCAAAAGCTGCCGTCCATCAACTTACAAAATCCCTTGCTGCTTCCGGTTCCGGTTTACCAGAAAATTCCCTTGTTGTGTCAATCTTACCAGTGACTTTGGATACTCCAATGAATCGTAAATGGATGCCTAAAGCAGATTTTACAACATGGACATCACTTGAATTTGTTGCCGATTTGTTCCATTCCTGGATTCAAACACCATCGAAACGACCAACTAACGGAAGTCTCCTTCAACTTGTCACGAAAGATTCAAAAACCGATTTGATAGCTTCTGAATAAGGATGAAATTTTATAACATAGAATCAAATTCATTCATTCATTCGGGGACCAGACACATAAATAGTGAAATGATAAGATTCATGATTATTATTGGCTGTTGTTGTTGTTTTTGTCGTTGCGCAAGTTATAAAAAATACTCAGAAATAAATGTTTAACGAGCATTCATGAACATTTTATTCGGTTAAAGCTGATGACCTTCATTGATTTATTTTACCATTTCAGAGGAGAACTAATTAAGTTTTTGTTTTCGTGAGATTTTCATTTTATTCTTTCATTTATTGTAAAGATTGAAAATCGTATTTACATCTAGTGCAATTTTTGTGGTAAATTGTTATTAACGACAACGACGCGATGCATTCATTCTGATCAACGTTTAACGAGAGATTGAAGTAAGTTTTGGTTATAGAATAAAAGTGAAAGTTCATGTTGAAAACATAAATTGTGGTTTTCTTTCACAACTTAAATCCGAAAAAGAGTAAAAAAAAACATTTCCAAGGTCGTTTCATTGAAAACAGTTCAAGTACGAGTACAATGACTTAAAGCTTTAATAGTTTGATCAACATAACTTTAATTATTTCTCTTTCAATATCCGGATGTCTTTGAATTGTATTTATATTTAAGAATTGAATGAGCAAACAAAAAGAAATACAAATGAAAGCTTTGTATTGACTATGAGATGCTTCATTAAAGCTCTCGAATATGTTTAAAGCACATTTCATTAAAATTGATAAATTCTCGTTTAAAGTAGACCGAAAGTGATAAATTATAACACAATGGTTGTTGATGAGATAGGAAAATGTATTTTAGAGTTTAAAATTTAGACAAGTTCAAGTCGCTTCATTTCCTTGAACAATTCTCGGCCCATTTGCGCTGGGCTCCTTGTTACAATAACCCCAGCTCTTTCAAGAGCATCAATCTTATCTTGTGCTCCTCCTTTACCACCAGAAATGATTGCACCAGCATGACCCATACGACGTCCAGGTGGAGCAGACAATCCAGCAATGAACGACACAACTGGCTTAGCTTTAATCCCCTAGAAAATAAGAAAACAATTAAAAATAAATTGAAGTTGAAATTTCACGTTTCTTACAGCATTAAATTGTGTCAAATATTCGGCAGCTTTCTCTTCAGCAACACCACCAATTTCTCCGATTAAGATGATTCCTTTTGTATCAGGATCTCTAAGGAACACTTCCAAGCAATCAATGAAATCAGTTCCATTGAAGGGATCACCACCAATACCGACACATAATGTTTGTCCCAAGCCAACTTCTGTTGTTTGATGGACAGCTTCATATGTCAAAGTTCCGGAACGTGACACGACTCCAATGACGCCTTTTTTGTGAATATGACCCGGCATGATGCCAATTTTACACTAAAATGAATGGAAATTGAAAGCATGTGAGAATGAATCATTAACTGACGTAACTTTTTTCTTTCATGTGTGTGTATTTAAAGTTGAAACTTACAGCATCAGGTGCGATAATTCCGGGACAATTTGGACCGACTAATCGCGACTTGTCTTGAGACAGAAGAGCGTTTTTCACTTTCACCATGTCGTGTTGAGGAATGCCTTCGGTGATGGCGACAATGAGTGGCATTTCAGCTTCAAGTGCTTCCATGATAGCTTTTGCAGCACCAGGTGGTGGGACATAAATTACGGTTGCTTCAGCACCAGTTGCTGATCTTGCTTCTGCAACCTAATAAATTTTAATTAATTATTTAAAATAAGTTTTAAATGAAGTTTAACTTACTGTGTTAAAGACAGGTAAATCTAAATGTGTGCGTCCACCCTTTCCTGGACTAACTCCACCAACAAGTTTTGTTCCATACTCAATGGCTTGTTGCGAGTGGAAGGTTCCTTGTTTTCCGGTGAATCCTTGGCAGATCACTTTAGAGTCTTTCGTTAGTCTAAGATTCTTTCTTGTCGCTTCATAACTGGCAAACCGCACACCAAACTTCCCAAGATGAAGACCGTCTGTATGATCATTTTCAAATGCGCGTAAATGAAAACAAAACAGTAATAAGAATTAGCATAAGAGAGTTAAAAATAAATCAAAACGAGAGCGAAAATCCTTCGAGGTTATTGTTTGACGTGTTTAGAGGTCAGTTTACATCTCAGCATGATTGAGAGAATTTTCTTATCTCACATGATGCATTTTAATTAAATAAACAATTGGTATAAGTTATTAATAATGCAATATTTTTGACCTTTGGAATTATATTACGAGTTCTATAATGATCCAAGGAAGAATTCCTTTCACAAATCACAAGTTGAATAATATTTTAATAAAATCTTTAAATTGCTCATAATTTTTTGATTGTTGATCACAAATAATCCAGAAGTGTGTCAATCCTAAACACAACAGTTTTAAAATATTGCATGGGATTCTTCAAATGTGACATCCCTGACTACAAAGGTATTATTCAATCACCCTCACAATTTTTTTTTCAACCACCAAATTACATGATTTCGGGTTTAAATAAATTAATATAGACTTGCCTTTCACTTTCAAGAGCATTCTCGATGAAGCCATTATTACTGCTAACTTTTATACTGTTCGTGTTATTCGGAGTAGCGATTTTTCAGGCCGAAATTATCTCGAGAATTTCTTTAATGTGAAATCTATGAAAATATTTTCCGAGAAGCAAAAGTAAGTTGAAAATTATTACAGAAGAAAACATTTGAAAGCGCTTTAAAAGGTAAATTTATTTGAACTCAGTTGAACATGCATAATTCAATGAGTTTAAGTTTATGAAGTACTTAAAACAATTGAAAATATTGTTGAAGGTAGGTTGAGATGATAATTTGATACAATTTAGGATCGAGAGTATAGACAGACAGTCATTTAATTTATTTTTTTAGGTTCAGCAAGATTTCACAACATCAAAAGAAGCAAAAAAGTTTCGCATCATTTCTCAGCTTCTACCCGTAGTTCGCCTTCGTGTGATTGTCAAATGTTTTTCCGATGAAAATGGAGCGGAAAATCAAACTGAGACCCTTAAATCCGTTTATAACGTGTCGACTATGTAAAGGATACTTCATTGACGCCACAACTATAGTAGAATGTCTTCATACCTGTAAGTGGAGCAGATTATTTTTGTTTTTGTGTCTGCTACAAGTGAAACTTTCTTTGATAATCTTTATTTTGCAAATAACAATGACATTGATAACGTGAAAACATTTCTTTGTGTTTTAGTTTGCAAGAGTTGTCTTGTGAAGCATCTCGAAGATCAAAATACATGTCCCGATTGTAATTTAGTGATTCATCAGTCCCATCCCCTCCAGTACATTAGCCACGATCGAACAATGCAAGATATTGTTTACAAATTAGTCCCAAATCTCCAAGAGAGTAAGTATTACTGCATTACTTATGTTGTATGAGATCATTTAGTAACATATATTTATACTTTTAGATGAACTTAATCGTGAACGCGAATTTTACAAATCTAGAAACATGACATGTCCAAAAGACATCCCGCAAGATACAAAAGAAGCAGATGAGATGGAATCTAAATTAAATGAAGCCCATCAAGAGTCTGACTATCATCGAATGGACGAACAAGTCAATCTGTGCCTGGAATGCAGTGCTAGTAGTAATTTAAAAAATCTCAAAAGGCGGTTTATTCGCTGCAGCTCACAAGCGACCATCACACAACTTAAGAAATTTGTAGCCAAGAAAGTATTAAATGGAATAGATAAATACCGAGAGGTGAGTCATTTGTCAGCTTTGAAGTGATAATCAATAAACAAACAAATAAATGATTATTAATTCTTACCTTTAGATTGATATACTGTGCAATGATGAGCTACTAGGCAAGGACCACACACTTAAGTTTGTTTATGTGACACGTTGGCGTTTCAAGGATCCGCCACTTCGACTGCAGTACCGGCCGAAAATCCTAGATTTATAAGAACCTTTTATGCGACGTTTTTTATCAATGAGATTTTTAATTTTATTCCTTTCGAAACACTTTTTTGTTTAGTTTTCTTAGAATGAATTTATCGTTAAAAAAACACACACACATTAGTTTTAATTGGGGAAACTCGTGGTGACTTGATGACCTCTCCCTTCTCTCGCGCTATTTTTATTTCATAAATAAATGTAATTCATGTAAAACGTAACAATAAACTATTTTGATAAGAAATTTTAAATTCAAATGTTTCTTCTTTCTCTTGCTTTTACTTTTTATATTCATTAGTAGGTTTGTTTGTAAACATTTTCTTATCTTCATGTATTCTTAACATTTTATTATTATATTTATCTGTTTGACAGATTAAATCACATTTCGAAGCCGTTCTAAGCTTAAATCTGTCTTAACGTCAGAATTCGACATTCTTTCACATGAGAATTTTTGAATTTTGTGTTCACAATATTTTAAGTATTTTTAAGATGTATAGGAATTATAGGAATTAGATATTACTTTATTTGCTAAAGTATTCACAATAAATTTGAAAAATTATGACTGAGTCGCTTAATACTAATTAAAACGAGAAAAATCCATTTTTTGACGTTTATGTTTCTTCTTTTCAACTTCATCAGTTTCCGAACCTGAGTCTGGGGAAACGTAACCAGAATCTCTCATTTCAAAATCAACATTAGTATGAAGATAAAGAGATGCGTTACGTTTCTCATTCAAACTCATCATCAGATTTTGAATCTCATCAAATTTGTATCTTGTAAGTTGAGAAAGTGTTTCAGTCCAAAATTTTTTGATTTTCAAAAGTTTTCTTGTTGCACAGAGAATTGCAGCAGCAATTTTAGAAGGTTGAATATTGAAAAATGCAACATCAACAATAATAATTTCACTGAATTCTTTAATATATTCAAGAGCAGATAATCGTAAATCACCCAAAGTTTCGCAGGATTTTTCACAGCCTTTTTCTACATCTTTAATGTCACTTTCCGACACAATAACTGTTTGGAAAATTTTAATAAATGTCATCGTCGTTGGTCTTACCGTATTGAAGTATAAGCTTTCAAATATCAAATATTCAAGTTTACAGTACATTCCGGCGAATGTTTTATAAGCAGAATTGATACTTTTCGAATCGTATTTGTCTATACATTTGAAATCCACTCCGATGTCTTGGGACATGTCGATAATCATTAAAAGATCTTTTATTGATGGCACAGCTTCATCGATCTCTTCAGATTTAGCAGCTAACAATAAGCAAACAAGTGACATAAGCTTCTGATGTTCAAAATAATTTGACAATATGTACGTATCCATGTAAACATCCAAAATGTAGACTCCTAATTAAAAGAAACTAAATAAGCCGGCTCTGGAATTAAAAATTAAATATTATTCTTACCTAAATGAACAGTGGAATCAGAATATTTGTGGCATCGAGCAAAATCTTGAATAAATTTTATAAGTTTTGGTCTCATTTGCAGTTGATCTGAATCCATTTTTATTATAATATTTCCTTTTTCCGCTTCATAAAGTGTATTTAGAATGTCATGTGCATATTCAGTGAAAAATCTCTTTATTTTCATAAACTCGTTCATTTTTTGGATGCCAAAACTGTTTTTCATTGCTGTCCTACAAAGTTTGAAACAATTTTAATTTAAATGAAGCTTTGGTACTTGTGAGCCTTGTACCTTACAATAATATCTACCTAAGTCCCGATAATAAGGAACTGTTATACGAATTAACGACTTTTACAAAATCAAATTCTTTGTTATATTATAACAATTTGTAATCAAAACAAAACAAAAAGTGAAAATATACAAATTTAAGAAATTAGCTTTAAAATGAGTAGTAGTTATTATTTTGCAATCGTTGGACACAATGATAAGCCACTGTTTGAGCAAGAGTTTGTGAATTCAAAAGAAGTGAAGGTAAATTTATGAAGATTTATCCTTAAATTTCCTTTTTCAACTTAATTTAAAATTTCAGAAAGAAGACCATCGTCATTTGAATCAATTTATAGCTCATGCAGCATTAGATTTGATAGATGAGCATAAATGGCGAAGCAATACGACGTATTTGAAGAATATCGACAAGTTTAATCAATTCTATGTATCAGCTTTTGTGACTGCAAGTCAAATATGTTTCGTGATGGTGAGTGTTAAATTATTTTGTCACTGAAAAGTTAAAACAGTTAATTCAATTTCACAGGTGCATGATACTCAAAATGATGGTATTAAAAATTTCTTCAATGAAATTTATGAAATATTCATTAAAACAACTCTAAATCGTTTCTATGTTATCAACAGTTCAATTACAAGTCCGCAGTTCCAAAAGAAAGTTGAACTTGCAGGGAAGAAATATTTATGTAATTAATTAAAAATCATAAGCGTAACTTGATTCAATAAACTTTTTGTTGTCCTTTATTTTTTAATAAAACTAGTATTATTTTGAGTTAAACGAAGAAGTATTAATCCGATGTTAACAAGTAAAAGAAACATTTGTTTCAATATCCATGAAGGAAAATGTTAAACTTAAATCATATCACAATGTTTGAAGCAAGTAATCGTGGCTACTTAATGTCTTGTTTAATGATGAGCTGCTTCATATGCTGCGAAGTCAAATTCCGGTTGAACTTCATAGGATTGTTCATGAGCTCCACCTTCACTTGCTACATGATGTTCTTCGTGAGGATATTCTACTTTGTGACTTTGATGTTCGCTGTGGTTCTCCAACGTAAGTCCATGTCCCTTAGCATGTTCTGTTTCAGGATGGATGAGCTTCAACTTATGTTTGTTGGAACCAATCTCAACTGGATGATGTAAATATTTCTGATCTTCTTTCTTAACATAAACAGGAACTGCATGGAAGTGAATAAACTTCACTGATTGATGTGATTCGGCGTTCTTATGATTTACTTCATGATGATGTTCTGTTTCATAATGTTGACCTTCACCGCCTGCATGATCTCCTGAATATTCGTGAATTACTCCAGCAATTGTTACAGCGACAAGTGTGAATAAAACCTGAAGACGAAAAAATTTAATAAAATGCATTCGAGTACAATTTTATTCGCTTAACTTACTGCAATCTTCAACATTTTACTTCCGTTCGATATGCTTACAAGAAAAAAATAATGCAACTTCTTGGTGAACTCGCTAAACTTGAATGCTGACAAACAATTTAGCATTTGTCGATTTATATATATAAAATGTCCCCACTATTAAAACGCTAAACTGCAACTCTTGTCTTGTCTCTCACCCCAAACAAATTCGCCTTCTCCCAATTGCCTTTTCTTCTTTCATTTTATTTATTTCTTTTTTTTTGGCTCTTGCAATTATGATATTTATGTATTCACAATAAAACAACGACATAAATGCATAAAAAATATGAATCGACTTAGACTCAGTTACGACTCTCATAGATCATTATCCAAGTCTCGAAAAGCTTTTTTCTCTTTCTCTTTCTAACTTTCTTAAGAAGCCAAATATTGCGCAATGTTGCAATTTCTTTGAGACTGCATGATTATTTTCTATTTGTGTAAAGCGATTGATGGAACAATGGAGACATTTTTGACAACTTTAGGTATGATGAGAGACGCGAAAAAAAGATTGCGTGATGTTTATCGATAGCTTATGTAAGAAAAATAAATCTATTGGCTTATGATTGATTTGATTTCCATAAAATCGATTGATGAAACTAAAAAGGCGTAAAATTGTTGTTACTTGCATGTTACAATAAATTGAAAATAAATATTTTAGCGACGCTTGAAACTTTTCTTACCGAATCTCTTCAGGATAGTTAATAAAGCAATTAAAAATTATGCAATATGAATGACATAAAGAATTCAGACAATGCAGCAACTCTTAACGAGATGTTCAATTTGTTTTTTCAGTAATTGACTTTTTGAAACTTTTTAAAAATAATATCGGCAGACCTAAAGCATTACATGACGATTCATAATAATGTAAATGATTATTCAAATCGCATAAGAAGTTTTACTAAATGTAAAGTATCTATATAATGTAATTTAATTCCGCTTCTTTACATGATGTAAAGACTATAAAATGTTTAAAACCGGCATTCAATATTGATGATGACGAACATCATTACTTAGTAGTTTGTTGATCCTTATCAGACGTCAAAATTAATTTGACATTTTTATTAAATATTTCTCTGTATCTAGACAGACATTTAAAATTAATCATATGTTTTAAGTCTCAATTTAATTTTTAATTTGACTGAATGTGTCGATACAATCAACTAAAGCTTAGATAATTTTTTTAAATAACTTCATTAATGTCTTTATTCGTCTATATGTTCAGAAATGGCAAGTTTACGGAACAAAAACATCGCATCATAAAGGCAACAAGCATTACCATTACCACAGTGAAAGATTTTGCACTTAATGGTAGAAAACTTTCGCTCTTTCAAGTTTATTCGATAAGTAAACAGGCATTTTATATACGGTGTTATTGAATACAGATGTAAATCTAATGCAGTTGATTGTTTATGCAGTTTGGCTTTTGTTTTAAGCCGCATTTGCCAGCATGATTTTTCTCTCTTCCGACATTTCATCACGGTTGAATTAACTAATGAAATTAATCAGTAGAAATTGAAAACGGTAAAAATTTCAATTTAAGTAGGTAGATAATTGTTGACGATTAATTTGAATAAATTTATTATAACTTATCTAATTTGAAATGTCCAAGACAACATAAATATGTAATAATTTTTCTAATAACAATCATGTTTATTACACTTCAACTAAAAGACATAATCATTCACCTATAAGAAATAATACAGACATTAACAGGTTAAAATTAAGAGTAGCTTTGTGAAATGCATTGGAAATGAGTTTTACTTAATCATTTTTATGTTTTATTTTAGATCGCTAGCGTAATAAGACATTAAAATTATATTATCAATCATCAACATGATTTCCTTTTAATCATGTTTATCTAGATACATTCATAAGTATCCATGTAATAGCTTCTAAATTAACTTTGCAACATAAACATCTCTTTCACCACAAATCAAAGAATTAAATACCAAAATGAATGAAAACAAATTTCCTTCATCTGTTATGAGAATTGAACCTTAACGAGCGATGTGAATGTAAACATTTACCACACATATCATTAAAAAGAAAATCGTCAACCATACGCAAAGTTAAATGAAGGCGAAGGTAGATAAGTAAAAATATCATGTTAACGGACACTGAACTTGACATTCGATGCAATGCTTATTTTTTATAAATAGCCACAACTCCACATCGGAAAATTGCGAGAAAATTGATACTTTGCAGCTTATAGGAAATAAATGAATATTTTTAAATAACATTGTAGACTGATCGGAATGTTAGCTTGATATTGAATGTAAAGTAAATAAGAAGTTAAAAGTGTAGCAGAATCTCAACATAAGCACTGGTGTGAAACTTGAAATGCTTTCACAAACATTGATGTTACAAGATGATTTCTAGCAATCTGTTAATGAAACGCTTAAGTAGTTTGTTTACCAACGAAAGTAGCAAAAACAAATCATGTAAAGTTTCAGTAAATTTTCCATTCAAATTTAGTTTTCATATATTTTTTTAATAATAATTTAAATAACTTAAGTTATATTCACAATATATAGTTTCGAAAATAAATTAATTAAAGAACTTTCTTGAGACGAAAATGAGTTTTCGGTATGATTTGTGGTGGTGGTCTTAACTCTGTTACTAGTTGTGGTTGACGACTTCGAGTTTTCGAGGCGTTCAAATGATTTCTTTGATTTGAAGCTTGTTTGTTGTTCATCGCTGGTCTTAAGGCGTAACGCGAGTTTAAAGATGACGCTTCCAATCGCTGTTTCTTGTTCTTACGATTTTGCCAACCACTAGAATCTGAGCTTTCAAAGTTTTGATGACTTCCTTTAATGTTCTTCATTTTATTTCTATTTTTATTGAAGTCTGGTGGCGATTGATTATTTTTATTTGGTGCTTTTCTAAAACTTTTATTTCCACGTTGTTGCTTATCATGCTGATTATAAATTTGAATAACTGGTGACTTGAAACTATAAGTTTCGAGTTGTTCATCAGGCGAAAAAGTATTCCATTCAGATGGGAATTTCTCGTTGTGGGTTGCTGATTCTTCTAGTTGATCGTTAACTTCAGCTTGTGCAATTCCACCAAGCATGTATCTATGGAATTAAATATTGAGTCAATTGTAATTAAGAAAGAATAATAAATTTACATACTTTATTGTGTTTAAGTCGATGTTGTAGGGATTGGCAACAGGAATTCCATTAATAATTTGAATGGGAGCATCCATGACGTCTTCAGCATCATCATGATCATCACCATTGAGAATGGAAATAGTTTTAGGAATTTTCTTCCCTTCATAATTAATCGACGCGAAATTCGAAGCGTCTTGAGTTCCACGACTTCGCTTTAAAGAATATTTATCTGACAACGAATATCCCTTCGACAAAGGCAAATTTGTTTCATCATTTTCCAAATCATCAACTTGTGAATGTTTTGATGTTTGATCGTAGCCTAAGTTGTTAATGTCATGATATGTTTTTTGAGAGAAACGAAGCTTTGGTTTACCCTGATGATGTGACACAACATTTGATTGATCAAACTCTTCAACATTTCTCAACGCTGCTGAATGATCAAAATGACTTATATGCTGATAAGTTGAACCAACGTCAATCGCTGACAAATCAATTGGCTTTTGTTTAATTTTCTTTAACGTCAAATCAATTTTTGGTGTATCTTCAATCATTTCTTTCAATCGAGGAGGAGAGAAAAGATTTTTAGGTGATTTCATCATTGGCTTACTTTTATATTGTAAATTATTTCTGTAAGGTGACAATGTTGTAGCTGGAATGAAGTTTTTCTTACTTCGATGTGGAATTTCTTGATATTTAAAGTTTTTCACTTCCGATGCAGCACTTTGAGAGTCTCTCGGATCATTTTCCTTCATATATTGAACAACAGCTTGCTTAATGTGTCTTAAGTAGTCATCTTTACTAAATTCTATTGGTTGACCGCCTCTCACATTTGGATCAACAATTCTCACATTGTCGCTGTTTTTAAGTTCAAAATTGATTTCCGAATTGAAATTTTCAAAGTCTTTGTCATGAAATTCTGGCTCTGGTCTAACTTTTCTTCTCAATTTCCTTCCTTTTTTTCGTTCTTCGTCGTCAACTGAGTACACAACAAAATATTGACTTTTTGACTCTTCAGCCTTGTTATCGACCACATTTTGTGGTGATGGAACTTCTCGATTTTGATGGTGATTCTCATGGAATGTCATCATGGAACTTGGAAGATAATCTCGTGAATATTCTGATGCTTCAGGGTCAATTGAATAAAACATGTTCTTCTTAGAAGCTTTAACAACATCGTGTGAGTTCACCATCGGCTGGTCCATTTTCATTGTCTTGTCATCAATTTGAAGCATTGGAGCTGCATCTTGTTCTGTAAAGAACTCGAAGTTAACATTTTTCTGATGATTGTCGCTGAAAAAGTTATCATTTGATTGATTCGACTGTTTTGATGATTGATGAATTTCAGGAAGCGATGGAACTGTTGAATAAAAAATGTTTTCTGATTTATTCGAATTGAAGTTGAGCGTGTCTTCAGGAATGAATTTATAAGCAATCGTCTCAGAATTTTGATAATGACTTCTTGGTTTAATATATACAACTTCGTCATTCTTATTGTCGTTTGAATTAATGTCAATCGTTGATGGTGTTCCTGAAGAAGTTAATTGTGTTGAATGATTAATATGAAAATTTGTTGACGTTATTGATGATGGCGTTGAATATTTCGAAACTTCGGGAGATCTTGTTGACGAGTAATATGTGAAAACTGGAGAAGCCGAAGGGTGTTCAGGAAAGTCAGAAAGTGAAGGCATAGATGAAAATTGATTGTTTTCATTAAATGAAGATGGTCGACGAACTCTTATTGGCTTTGATGTTGTCGGTGTTGATGAAGTATGAAATTTGTTTCTTCTCGTTGGCTTCAAAATGCCAATTGGCGAGTGAGTTGAAGTAGTAAATTTCTCATTATGTTGTTGATGCTTAATTGGAACAAAATCTTGATTAGAATAATCGGTTGGAGTGTAATCATTTGGTCGTAGCAAAACTGGTTGATACTGATACGAGTCCGTGGAACTTTGTGTTGATTGCGATTTCCTTTTACTGGAAGATTTAACTCTTGGATGCATTGTCGTCGTCGTTGTCGTTGTTGAGAATGTTGGAGGAACAAAATTAACATTTTCATTGTTAAAAGAAGAATCTTCAGGGTAGAAATAATGATAAGTGTCGATCGTTTGATCGCCATTAATTTTTGTTTTGTCTTTAGTCACGACAATATTAGGACTTTGTGATGGAAAATGCTTTTCAGGAACTGAATCTTTTGCGCTAATTGATGTTGATGTCGATTTAGCGATTATACGTTTACTTTCCGGAAAAAAGAAATTATAGTCATTGTAATCGAAGCTTTGAATCTTTTTCCGCTTGGGTGTTGAAAGCTTTCTTTCATTTTTTCCATCTTGCGATAGCGTGGAAGATTCTAGAAACGAATCTGTTACTGGACCTTTCTCTTTTGATTTCTCACGAGTATTTAGAGCATGATGAATGTAATCTTGAGAAAAGTTGTGAGGTTCTGGTGTTATATAATGAACTTTTTGTTCAGGTGGAGCTTTTTCTTTTGATGTTTGTCGAAATTCGTCGCTTGCTAAAATGTCAAACATGTCGATGAGTTAAATTTTTTAAATTTAATTCTTTTACCTTTATAATAATGTGGTGAATAATTTTGAGGTGGCTTAACAACATTTTTCACTCCATAGCTTATAGAATCTAAAGCAATTTGATCGATGTAATTTCCATCACTGTCTTGAGCTGTGGCATCAATGATTGGCTGCTTTTTTTTCGGTTCACTTTTTGCCAGTGAAAAATCTGTTTGTAACTGTGCAAGAAATAAACAAGAAATTGGCATTGAAAATCAATGAAAGATTAAAAAAAAACAAAACAATTTGCTGGAGAAACTTTCAAGCATGCAAATTCATGAACAAAAAAACTTAATGCTTAATCATTGTGCTGTCGATTGACCGGAAAATAATTTTCTTTTCTCTCGTGCCTCACTTTGAATCAATGATCTCATAGCAATTTGTGTTAATCTAAATTCTGTATAATTTGCTTATTATTTATCGTGTTGGAAAATAATCTTTTGACGCCTTTAATTTATTGTTGAAATCAAAATGAATTCTAATTCAAAATAACATTTAAAGTCATCAAATATGACAAAAGCTTTTCACACTTTTCAATTACAATTTTCTTTTTTATTTTTCAATTAATTTTTGACAGTTTTTCCATTAATTGTTTTCTCCTTTCCACCGATATTCCACTTACAACAAGAACAACAAAAATTAAACTAAATAAAACTAAGCTTATTTTCATCTTAACACGCCGGTAATTCACAAACAATTGAAACAATTTTTTTGTTTTACAACAGCTTTTATAGATGATATGAAAGCACAACAACCGAGAAAGAAAATTATAAGATATCAAGTACAGTGGTGGAGTGTTGAACTGATTCTAATCATTAGATGGGCGTTTAAATCAACGCTGACGCCTTGCACATGCAACTCTGCATTTATGCACATATGCATTAAGCGGTGTAAGTAATCATCAAAGCGTATCAGTTTTCAAATTTAATTTCATATTATTAATCTTTAACAAATAAAAGAAGGAGAATTTCTGAAAATTTCTTTCGTTTAATTTTTATTTATCGTTTAACAAGGTCTACCGTGTGAAAAAAAACTAATAACATGTTGAATTGAAGCAAGACTTGGAGAACTTAATATTCATAGCCGAAACCTCGATGTATGTGATTTCAATGAACCTAAAACAATATTTTAATAATTCCATTTAGAAAGAGAAATTAATAAAATTCACAAACTTTTCTTTAATAGATTTAATTTGTTTTATTATATTTTTACACGTGACCAAAAGCTTTTCATTATTAACTTCTTATCTTTCTCTCAACAAATAATTGGATATCATTTGCAAACACATTTCAATCATTAAGTCAACTATGAGGTTTGTTCTGATTATTTATCCATTGGGAAAGTAACTTCAATGAGCTGACCATAAACTCATGTGATTGTCGATGAAAGCTTTTGAAAAGCTTTTTCTTTCCAATTTATCTGAAATCAATTTTCAAAACAAATTCTTAACAAAATTCATAAAATTTCTTTATTTTTCAAGCTTAATGAAAGAGACAAAACGAATAAATGAATATTAATGATCAACTAAAGAAAATAAAGAGAACATTTGTTGTACTATTTAAAGAGCTTTACCGAATGATGAATGTTATGATTATAATGAAGAAGTCACATAAATGTCAATATCATAAATATGGCGCTACATAATTTGATGTGAATTTTCTTAATTTTATTTCGTTTTTTCTTCTGATGATTTCTCCATCATTGATTTTTCTTGTTTCAATGACATGCGATTTCTTCTCGATTTTCCCGTCATAATGCGATGAGCTTTTTCAAAATATTCTTTTGTGAAAGGCGCCATTCGTTTGGGAATGTGACGATCTTGAAGTTCCTTGTGATTCGGTGCAAGTGTTGATTGCAAAACATGATAATTAATTGGACCTTTTGATCTTTGTGTGACTGCCACAACATGTTCTTCAGCTGGATGTTCACTATGAACACTCGCATAACCATACGAATCATGTTCAGTTTGATGATTCTGATAAATTTGCTCCGATTGATGATTTTCATAAACTTCTTCATATTGTGACGAAGGTTGATCTGGAACAACAATTGGTTCTGATTTAAGCAACGTCACACTTGGACGATGATTTCGATTTTTCTTCTTCTTAAATATAACTTGCGTGTGTTTCTCACTTGGATAGTTTTCAACTGTCTCTAAAGACACGTCTTCATCATGATGGTGATGATGTTGAATGTGTTGAGTTTTGTGATGTAATTCGCCTTGTTCATATGCCGGTGTCACGAAATTTATGTAGCTTGTGGGATATTCTTGATGACTTTGTGAGTGAATTGATTCTTGTTGTGATGGTTGATGTTTGTAATAACTTTGTTCACCCGCTGGGATTTGATAAGAAGAAGTTTCTTGATGAACTTGCGGTTGTTGGTAATATTGCTGCTGATAATCTTGTTGTTGATAGTAAGGCTGTTGCTGATACATCTGTTGGAAAGCAACCATGGGAATATAATGCATTTGATGATTTTGTTGTGCAAGATAATGTTGTGGGTGTAACAATTGTCCGTGACGCTCTTGATCTTCAAGTGCTTTGATAAATTGCGCTGCTCTAATTTCCAAATATTGTTGGAGAAGTGCTTGAAGGTGAAGCGCATATTTCGATGGTCCAGGGACACGAAGTACAATGACTGGGACTGGATCTTCATAAACTTGTTCATGATGATAAGCAGAAGCCTGAGGCTGATAATTCGTCATTTCTGGGTCTTTAATTTCAAAGCTATGTGACTGTTGAACCTCAATGTCAATCGCTTTCTCACGATAGCCACCTTTATCAGCTGGCACGTCATGTTCAGTGAAGCGATGCATGAGATGAGGCTGAGAAAAGTAATAACTTCTTTGCTGTTGATTCTGATTATATCCGTAGCTGAAACGATTATTTAAATCATTCAATCATGAAATTCATTTAAAGTTTTCATGTCAAAATGACGTCACATTAGTTTTTATGATAAAAAATTTACCCCAACGAATCATCGATTGTTCTTTTCGTATTTTTGTTCGTGAAGACTGTTGCATTCTCTCTTTCAACCTTGATCTTAATTTTGTTTCCGTGCATTTTAAATTGCTTGTCGACTTGTTTTAAAAATTCAACATCATCGGGCGACAAATGACGAAACTCATCGATGATCGTCTTCTGCGTCTTGGACGGTTTCAATCCAAGTGGTTTCTTAATAATCTTTTCCTGTCTCGCGATCGCATTGATGCTGTTGACGAACACGATCAGGTTTATCTAGATTTAGATACAGAAAAAAAGAAAGAAAAGAAAGAAAAGTTATTACGAGATTTGCTTGGGAACATTGTTGGTTGGTGAAGCATCGTATGAAAATGAAAAGTGAAACTGTAGAATTGCAAATTATGCAAACCAACAACTGTCCATTTGTAGAAAGACGTGTAATTGGGAAGAGAGAATTGTGTCGAATCACGTAACGCTCAATTATTGAAAATGATCTGTTTTCCCCACGATTAAACATTAAAATCCAATTTCAAATTTCCGATGATGTTTTGCGCTCTCGTTTTGTTGTTGTTAAGTTCTGTCTCACAAAGAAATATAAAAAGTTTTGTTTAATAAAAACTCCCGGAATACGAAAGTGAAGTAGAAACGGATGATTTGAAACTTTTTGTTTTCTTTACAAAAGAAATTCATCGACAAACTAGCGATGGCGCTTATTATGCACCAGAAGCAGCTCATCAGACAACTTTCAGAAGCTAAATGGTAATTGTTCGTTCACTTTAAAACATCTTAATTCAATTAAGACCTTTGCCGGTATTTACCAGCCATAAATCTCGTTATATTTAATTATACTAAGCATAATTTGACTGAGAAAATTTACAATCAGTTTTGACAGAAATAAAAGAAGAAATTTGTCGATCAATCATCGACGTTTTTGTTGGTTTCAAATTCTCGGAAGCTGCTGCTTTGAATTTAAAAACATTTTTTGATGATTGATTTTCGTTTGAATTTATGCATCCAATCGAAACGAATTAACAAAAAAAACTCTTTCAATCTCACTTCTTCATTGATTATGTAACTATTGAGTTTCTTTAAAGATCGCAGTTGCTTCCGTCGGAGTGAGTTGCTGCATAAGCTAAAATGTTGATATAATGCGCTTTTCAATGCGATGAGTGCATCTTGGATTAACATTTCTTATATAATTAGAGGTGCACTGACGTGATGCTTTTTTACTATTATTTAAAAGCTTCGTGAAGTTGAATCATATCATGAGTAATCTACTTTCTATTCACTGATTACGATAGAAAGGTGATCGTGATGAAAAGTTTAGATTTGTATCAATTTTATTTTTATTGTCTGGAGTTGTTAAGAAGCAATAAAAAAAAGTTGTTTCGTTTTTGATTAAAAACTTTTGATTATTTTAATTTAACATCCCTGTAATAATCATAAAGTTGAGACAAGGCTGTGGTAAATAATTTGTGCATTTAATTTGGGACGACTTCTGTCGATTGCCTACTTAAACAGCAGACACAATCAAGTCACTAAATCAGGAAATTGCAAAATGAAGTCAGCAATTTAAGTCACTTGCAATCAACTGAATGTGACTTTGTATCATGGAAGGTTGAAGACCTTTCTCCAAAGAAAATCAAGTGTGAAATTATTGTAGAGCAACTTGCATAATAATGATGATGTTAACGAGAAAAAAAATCATCGAGTAACACGATTAAAACATTTTGGTGGATAATTTTTTTAAAAGTGAAACAAAAGCCATGCATGAAATGAGATGTGAAGCATTCCGCGTCTTTAATCACCGACGATCAACGAGATCCAATAAAAGAATTTGGAGAATAATTGAGTTTGGTCGCATTACGCAACTCATCTCGTTATTTTGGATTACATGCTCGCTTACATATGGTCGGTTAAGTTATTGTTTTAGTTAAAGTCGTGGAATCAGCGGAGGTTATACAAATCGAAATAAACGATTAACCCAAAGAAGATGATGAAGAAACATAGAAAACAAACAAGCTTAAAGAAAGATGTTGCGAAAATGAATGAGTGAGAGTGTAGCAGAAATCTCCATGACTGACAAGTTCGGCCGAAATTAACAATGGAAGGTTAAAATTTCCAGAAACTTGGTGAAAATCAGTGACACTTCAAGTTTAACTTAACGATACCTTTCTCTCTCTCTCTCTCTCTCTCTCACTTCTTTTTATTATTTTAATTAATCAAATAATGTCAACATTGAAACTCGCCACTCAAAACTTTCGTGATTGTAATTTTTTTTTTGTTTTTATGTTGTGAAATTTTGTTGGGACGAATCGCGTTTACTTTTGTTTAATTTTTCTACGCTATTGTGTTTCACGCGACTTTCAGAAGAAAGCACTTTACATGAGATTATGCAATTAAATTATAAGCTTTTGAATGTTAATTCCGTGGCTGGATAATTTGGATTGCGACAATTTGATATCAATTTTTACTTCTTTGTTGTATGAGAGTAAGAGAATTAAATTAAGGCGAATGTTGTGCATCATGCAGAGTTACAGCATCACATCAAACATGACATCAAAAATCATTCCAATTCTGTGATTGTTTCATCTGAAGTCTGAACTTGAGTTTAACGTTTACACAAATTCGATCAGCAAACTTGTTGCGAAATTATCGATCAATGTTTTCAGTCCAAACGAGATATTTCGTCATCGACGATGTTTAAGTGGCACTTCACGATTCCGATGATATTATTAAAAGGCACTCGACGATGTCAGAACTTTTTATTTTCATTTCAGTGTCGTTTAAATTCCTCGTGAAATCATTTCATAGATGACAAGACAATGGATTTTTGCGTGAGCTACGACACTAATTAAAAAAGCTTCTTCTCGTTCATCATAGTTTCTCATCTAGTTAAATAGCATGTGAATGTAATGCAACCAACTTTGATGTCTCTTTTACATCCGATCTTTCGGTGCTACTTGATCATCCCATTCACTCGCATGATGTGTCAACGAAGAAACGCTTTGGCTCAACAAAGACATTGTATGGTAATTTCTAAGAGAGCACAACAGCTTAAGATGACCGTCGAATGTCAGATAAACCTAAATAGAGTTTGATGTATGATCAGAAAAAAAAGTAACACAAATTGAGACTCCTTGATCTACGATGAACCTCACAGCAATGTGGTCAGCATGTTATTAACAACATTTAACTTTCAGTTTCAGCAGCAACTTTATTTAAGTGGAGTGTGAAATTGATCTCTGGCTTAATGGATGGTTAATAACAGCATCAACTTTGATTGAAATTTAGAGCTAACCAGAAGGCAGACATTAAAGGATTTCAACCAATGAAACCTTTTAAATTTAATTTGTTAAGATTTTTCTAAAGGTTAAAAGTGAGAGAAGAAAGAAAAGTTGTTTTGAATCTTTGTCTTGAAGAGACAATCACCAGGATTGCCTCGAAGTCACTGCGATATTATCTCAACATTCTTTATTGCCGATTGTAAGGCTACAAAGGCCTTCCGCCTAGCGAATCTCATAAATCAATCCCACAATGAGCTTCCCAAAAAAAAAATTTAATCAATTGTTTCTCGACTCATTACACTTTGGACTTCCGATGAAAGTTGAAGATTGTTAGTTGAATAAATTGCTTCTTCACGATAGTAATGACTCGACAATTGAAATTCATTTTCAAATTGACTTGATGATGCATCAAAAATATTGAAATGAATTCATCGATCAAAAGCGACCCCACATAAGTTGAACAAAAATATTTTCTGATTAAAATTTAACATACCACAATTAGCAACCACTTCATAATCTTTGAGATCTTTTAATTTATTCAATTCCAAATTAATTTTATAGTTTCACAAATCACTCATTAACTAACTAACTCAGCGTTGTTTTATTTTCACAAATAATTTTATTTGATTTAAAATTCAGATCGATTTTTAATTTCCGTCCGCTGCAGATCGCGTTGGTTTTCGTTTTGACAGAAACTCGTTGGCACTTGTCGACTTTTTGCTCTCAGCACAGCACAACGTTCAAAGTAATAAGCAAAAAATTAACTGCAGGAAAGAAAATTTTCAAAAGATAGAAAGAAAGAAAAAATATAAACTTCGCGAATCGTGGAAAGATGATGCGTTCGGGGCCGCAGCTTAAACGAAATTAAGATTCAAGTTGTGACTTATGATCATCTTTTTGGTTTCGAAGTTGCTTGGTTGCACGTTGATCTCTTCTTCTTCTCTTCACGTAGCGTATGGTGTGGGAAATTCGTTGGACGTACAACATTAACATCGTATGAGAGACAGAGAAAGAAAGTAACGCGAATAAAATAAAGAAAAAAATGAGATTTTGTGAATTCAACGATGTTTAGTGATTGTTGTTTTGACGTCGTTTTGTTATTCACATCGCACCGTCATGACAGAGTTGGGACAAAAGGTAGCAGTAGAATTTAAGACGCTTTTATGCTCCAACAATGACCCACAATCATAAAAACCAAACAGTAACAAAAGCGGAGAAACATGAAAAGAAAGGAGAAGTTAAAAGTAAAAGTTTCCTCGGAAATCTAAGTTAGAAAGGAGATGAGAAGAATTTTGATCCACTTGACCTAATAATTGAATGATTAAATAATATTTAATTATGTAAGTTTAGTTAATTTGATTTGTAACGAACTAAAGTGAATTTATCATTGCGACACGATCTTTTCTTCATTTCGATTCCATTTATAATGCGATTTATGGACATACAAAACGCTTAACGAGTTAATTCATTTCACAACTGATTCTCATTCCATGACTCATCTCCAACCATCAGAAATTTGATTAATGTTTTAGACTCTCAGGAATCTTATCAAACTGAAGCTTTTTTAAATTAACTTCTTCGTTCATTTCACATAAATAAGAAATAAAACTTTAATCACATAATTTCCACGCTCGCACTCATCGCAAATTTAAAAGCTTCGAAACAAAATAAAATAAAAAGTATCAAATTCAAAAGCGAATTCAATGAATTTCTTTTAAAAAGATTGAGCAAAATTTGCACGATTAGCGTATAATTCATGAAAATTCATTTAAGAGAGAAATTGTTAATTTACGTGCACATGAATGTGAGAAAAAATTACGAAATATTTACTAAGCAAAAAAATCATGAATTAATGCTTTGCAGATGATTCGCACTTTAATTGCTTGAAGATGCATGAAAGTGTTTATTATTAATATTTATGTAGCGTTGATTAAGCCGAAGAAATTATTTCCTTTACACGTAATCCAAACAAATCAATTTGTCAATTAAATTTATGACGAAATTATGTGGACAAACATTGAAAGTGTGAGATTTGTTAGCACAATGACAGATGTCATGACACTGTTCGTCCCACACAAGAAAGGATAACAAGAAAGACTTCGAAGCTTGAATCTTTCACCCAGTTTCGTGGATTAAAATCGATTCTCATAATAGTGAAAGTAACACATTGCTCGACATCATCATGCTTCGACTTCTTCGCTTATTTGTGCTGTAACAATTTTAAAGCCTTGATCGAGTAGAAAAAGTGGACATAAATTCAAGGAAAAAATAAAAATAAAAGTAAAGTGAAACAAGTTCTCAGATGCGAAGTTATGATGACATAAAATTTCATGTAAATCTTCTTTTGAATGAGTTTTAACAAAAGTTTTGTCTTTAAGTTAAAGGAAATTTGATACTTGATCGGCTTAACTGTTGTTTACTTTGTAAGAGTGTCGAATAACAAATGAAAGATTGATTAAACTTATCCTAACATGTTATGAACAATTTTAATTAATTAAATCTGGAAAAGCTTCTCAGTCGTTGTAAATTATCTCTCTGAATAGTTAATTCATTAACTCATGTACATAGACACAATTTAATTCAATCATAATTTATAAAAATTAATTTTTATTTAAGAAAATATTATTTTTCACTTTAATGCAACATAATAATGAATTAATTAATGAACAAACCATGTTTATGATCAATAAAAAAAATGCGAGAAACAAAAGTATTGTTTTTGTTCATCTCGTAACATCGCATCGACTAGCTAATATAAATTACTCAACCTCGCATTAGTTTCTTGTGATATTAATAACATTTATGGAGATAACAAATAAAACAAAAAAATTATGAAAGAAAATTGAATTGTGAAAATCATTCAAAAGATGATTCAAATTAAAAGTTAATTCGCTTTAGGAGCTTTGACGGATAATGTTGCAGTTGCTTTTGATGTTGATCTTTTGCTGTGATCATAAGCAGGCAACGGAACCGAATATTGAATTGTGTTGTAAGCTTGAGGGGATGGATATGGCGCATAATGCGGAATTTGTGTAGGCGTGAAAAGTTGCTGCGGGATGTGATGATGACTTTGTTGATATTGTGTCGGATGATAATTGTTTTTATATTGCGACGATTGATGATGGTGTTGTGGACGAGAATAAGTCATTAGATTTGGAACGTAAGATTCCATGAATCCATGAGATTGATGCCTTGTGTTGTATGCTGCACTCGGTCCAACATGATAATAATTGAAAGCTTGACTTTGTGGAATGTAATTATGAGCTGGCGCTTGTTGATAAGTGAAGGTTTGTTGTGGCGAATATTTCGTTACTGGAAGTGATTCCGTGTAGTGATATTCCAAGCCAGGTGAATAAAATTGCTGGAATGAAGTTGTGGAGACTGATGGCAAGGTTTTCTTCGGCACGATTGTTATTGGCGTTACATGCTTGTAATCCACAGACGTCTGTAATGGCGCGGCAGTTGAAGGAAGAGAGTACTCAACCGACTTCAAATTTTGATAGGATTGATGATGGTTAGGTGGTGACGTTGATCCATGAGAATAATTGATGACTGCTGGCGTTGGTGGTGCTATTTGCGGTTGCGATAAAACAGAATGTTGCGGAACATGAATTGGTGATTGATGTTGAGTATATTGAGTCGCATAAGGAACCATAACGAAAGCTCTAAAAGAGAAAAAAGCAATTAATTAATAACAAGAAGTGAGGCAGTTACACACGATTCAAATCTCGACCACCATTCATAATGTTTTTGTCAGAAATAAATCAAATATTTTGAAAGTTAAATTTTGTTTTCATAAAATTTCTTTGCGAACGAAAAACCAGAAGTTGAAAGTTTATTTTTATTTTCTTCTTCGCTTTTCAAATCAAATAAAACACAGAAAATTGGCATTTTAAGTATAATCCAAACAATTGAATAACAATTTTTGCTCGAAATTTCATATTTTCCTGAGTTTGATTTGAAACTCAGCATCATCTTAATTGTAATGAATATTTCGTGCTGCGTTTAATTGAAACATTAAATCCGGAAAAAGCGTTATTGAAATTGGTGAACATATTTATTGATTTGCATCGCGATGTGGCAGTTCATTGAACTTTGATTACATTATGTGATGTAATAAATTAAAACTTTAATGTGAAAGAAAATTCTCTGCAACTCTTTCTGATTTATTTTCTCAAACTAAACCACAAATCTTAAATCAATAATGTTTCTTAACTTCCCTTGCTTTACATCAATTTATCATTCCAAAAGGATGTATAAATAAACGCACAAACAACTTTTAAACGATAACTTTCACTTGCATTTGAACGCACGTAAGTAGATGAAAAGCTAAATCATTTTGCCAACGTTTCGACATTTTACGGAACAATTTTTCATCGACGTTCATACATGTTTGTCTACTTCTTGCTCATACATGAAACTTTAACAAATTTAAAGTTATTATTGTGAGTGAAGTGTAAAAGTCGAACGTTTAACATCATTCAAGAGTTATGTTAATTTGAAAATCGCTTCTTTACAATTTTTACGCTGCAATTTCCTCGAAATTATTTTTTATTCGACACTTGAAGCAATTTTTCGTGCAGCAAAATTTATTTATGCTTTAAACTTACTGGGGTTGTGGCAAAAATGATTGATGTGCTTGAGGTGACTGAATATAGATGTACTGAGGTTGCGGAGCGATAACTGGCTGAATTGGTTGACTGCCGCCTATAATCGGGTGGATTAAAGTTTGTTTTGCTGGCACTGTATAAGTTTGGTCAGACTCATGAACCTTCGGGAGATGGTAAAGCTGAGATCGGAGCTCAGATGGCGAATCTAATCAATTTAATTTAAGTCATTACTATGAAAGATTTTAAATTTGCTATCATTTTCTCACCTTTCGAAGCATGACGACCCGGCATCGGTGTAACGAAAATATCTTGAGGATTTTTTGAGTAACTCAGCTGAATATGTTGTGTTGATTGCTGTGACTGTTCCTTGTCGTCTTGAGGCTTTGATCGATCAGTTTCACTTATGAGAGTGTCTCTCTCAATATCTTCCAAATGAATTTGTTTATCGTCACCCGCCCACGTTGCATGCATAAACACGCAAAATATCAGAAATGAAAGAAATTTCTGCAATCATAAAGAGAGAATGTGAGTGAGTTTGTTATCATGTTTGATCACGTTACGAAACATTTAATATGCGCCAATGCGTCTAGTTTCTTATGCGGAAGAAATGCTAAGAGTACGGCAAGAGAGGTCAAAAAGAAAGTTAAACCTGACCGATTGTGATCCGGCAAAAGTCAACTCTCTGCAGAAGAAAAAACTGCTCCAATTTCAATTATGTTTCGCGTTAATTTATTGCCAACTACGCGAAAAGCTTCTTTGACCATAGCAAGGTGAAAGTGGTTATTCTCTCTTCAGACTATTTCTTTTTTTTTCAAGAAAGCAAAAGTGACAGATACAAGACATGAAAATACTTTGACGGCGTTTTATTGAGTGATTCGATGTTTGTGTGTTTACCAGTAACAATGTCACATTCCGTCTTCTTATCATCATTAAGACTGAGAGTTTCATTTCGTTTTCATTTGAAATCCGAAACTGGCAATTAACAACATTACATTGACTTTGATATCACAGTCCATTACTTAATAATCCATTCCAGGGAGAAAGTGAATTCTCCACTTATGTCGCTCGTGCACTACGTCGTAGATGTTGTTGAAGAATTTTAATTTAAGACATGATGGTGAACGAACACATGGCGTGTCGATATCATGAAGAAAAATTATTATAACGTCATACATGATTGATTGTAGAAAGATTTTACGCAATGCTTTCAAAATAAGTATTTAACGGGCGTTGAATAAATGACATTGAACTTCAGAAGGAGTTTTACGCGATCGATATCATCAAATGTAATGAAAATTAATTACAAAAACACTGCGGGTAATGAAATAAGTCAATCAAAAAGTAATTCAAACTTTAAAGAAAGGAGCAAAATACAAAACTGATGTGATGGAATGTACAATTAATTGCCTCATTTTATTTTTTCGCTTCTTTGACTATTTCATCTTTTTTTATTCGATAATCATCAGCGAATAAATGGGAAAAGATCGCTATGGTTAAAATCTTCAAAACACTCAAAATTGGTTACGCGCATTCGCAATTGATATACATACGGTGGTTAGTTATAAGTAGTTATTCATTTACTGTGGAATGTTCATGAAGCATTAAACGTGTGCCCATCAAAATATGTTTTATCATTTTATCTGTTTTAAAAATTTCCTTTCGTTTTCAAAAGTTTAATCAACTTCATCAAGTGGTAGGTTAGATAGGATTTTTGTTAACGTTTTTGTGAAAAATAGTTTAAGGGTGAGGAAATGCAACAGATAGAATAGATCTAAAGTTTATCAAATTATAAACATTTAAAAATATTTAGTGAACCCACGTGGAAAAACTTTCAAACTTATTTTAACGGTTTTCAAATATTTTACCCCTGGCGATAGGCAACCAGCTCTGCACTCAAGTTGATGAAAAAGGTGAAAAGGAATTCGATGGAAAATAAAATTATTTTAAACTTAATTAGGTAAGATTTCAGTTGAAAGCTTGACGATTTATGATAATTTTAAGCACACATTTTAAAGCATAAACTGATATGCTTTAAGTAAAAGTTTGTTAACTTGATACATGAAATTTATTTTTTCAATGGGAACCAATAATTGAGTAATTTCTTTACCACCTGCGGCAACAAACAATTATTCTATATTTTCGCACTAAGTAAATGTTTGCCACATGCCAAAAGAAGCAAGTGAGGATAAATCTCATCTGATGGAGTTAACGAGACTCAGTTTGTGCCTTAAGCAATTGTCCTATTAGAGTCAAATTTGCGCACAACATGCCGCGCTAAGTTCACGAAATTGCTATCGAAGAAGAAATTTAATATGAGACTTTGTGTTTCTTCATGAAAGGCTTTCTAACTCTTGTGCCTCTCACATTCCATAGTAATTGTAATGGTTCAAGATTTCTGCTGATGTTAACTTAAACAGTTGTTATTGTGAATCGATTTGAAATTATTGACTTGCAATGGGAGATCAAATGTGATCAATCTGAAGAACTAATAATCAGTAATCGCTTCTGTTTCCTTCCTTTCTTTAACGGATACAGGAAGCTAATGTCATGAAAGTGTTTATTGAAACTGATATTACTTTAAATAAATAATAGCGGATGCTTTAAGGAGGGAATGAAACATTCAAACATAAACCCAACCAAAGATGAGAAACTTTTTCAAGTGACACTTTTCATTGATTTCATTTTCTTAACTTTCTTTAATGCATCAATAATTTCAAGCATTTTTAAACTTCACTCACCATTACTTTACTTATTTTTTTCACTTTATTTCTTAAATTGCGATCAATGACGATCTTCACAGAATATTTCTGACAGAGTTTAGCAACAAAATTTTCACTAATCTTAAAGCTTTTTCACGATTTTTCCGTTGAGATTTAAGGAATGAAAAATGAACTTGAATATAAATCAATTCGGTCTCTCCGTGAGATGTTTATTACAACAAAGTTCATTTGAAACTGCGACAGATTAATAGTGGGGCATGTTCATTTATATATTTTGGTCCAGTTTAAAGTGCTTACTTGACCAGATCATATTTTTCATTTCACTAGTATAGTGTGGAAGGTAAAGACAACGCAATACAAGATTACATCAAGGCATACAAGTACAGAAAGAGAGTAAAAACATGATCCGCTTTTATTATCAGCACCTCGAAAGATTTTTCGCTTTTCTTTTCGCGCATTCGCTTTTAACTTAAAAGAGAAATAAATATTTTGAGTATTAAATAAAAGTTTGCAATCGTTTGTGTGTTAAGAGTTTTAAATAATAATCATAATTGTGTATAAAGTGGAGTGCGATTAAAAGAAAATAGCAAGCAATGAAAACATGTTTACTGTTCATGTGTGAATACAAACATCGGGCAGTGCATGTACAACAAGCAAATACTTTGTAATGAAAACAATTTCATTTTTGCTCCTATCAGACTGAATGGAAGCTTGTTCGATGATTTAAATGAGGGATTATTACGAAAGTTATGCCATGCTTAGAAAGATCGTTTTTACATTATTTAAATTGACTTTTTTCTTCTACCATTATAAGCATCAAAGTTTTGATGTGAATTCATGTCAATCTTAAATTACATCACTGCCTAGCATTCTTCATCCTTAACAAATGATTCGTGAAATTCCAATTTAAGCAGCAAGATCATTGATTGAGCATTTCTGCTGTCGCCTTAGGGATTTAACACCAGCATCGTTTCTTGTCGTCATGAGCACAATTGAACGGCATTAAAAAGTGAAATGAAATTTCCATAATGTAAACAAAAGAATCTCAATAAACCTTTATTGACATAAAGAGAGTAGAGTGGAACGAGATTAAAGTGAATCAAGAAATTGGTGACATTGCAATAATCCGTTTCACAGTCGATTGTTCGTGGGATGTCATGCGTCATGTCGGCAATATTCATACAAATGAAAGTTCCGCACTCAATTGTTCGATTCTTTTGCAGAATATCTTTATCTCTGTTACAAATTGCAATTAAAATTTCTTCCATTCCTTTTACGTACTTATGATGAAAGTCTCGTCGATTACATCATGTAAAGTCATGCAATAAATTGATTGTTTGTTTTTGTTCATCTACTTAAAGTGAAAAGTTTTTGTGGCCTTAAGTCATTTGCATATATGACCACAAAAAGAGTCAGTTTGATTGAAAGTTCTGTGTTAAAGTTATGTCAGGGATTGAATTGTGTATCAATAAATGTGAAACATTTAGCGGTTTCTTTTACAATGCAAGAGAACAGCAAACAATTCATCAAAAGCAGCTGACCCATGCCATTTCCATTCATACATGCTTCACATTTTTATCTCATCTAATGTGGATCAAGAGAAAAGAAGGCAAAATTATGTTGAGGGGATAAATGTTTGGATTTTAAATGTACTTTCTTGAGTAAATGTAAGTCTTTATGATTCAAACGTGAACATCAACCCCTCGATCTTCAAACAATAATATAAAAAATAAAGTACGAACCTCATATCTATTAATTCACCGAAAATAAAGAAATTAACGCATATGAAAAATGTTTTCATTGTTTTCTCGTTTAACTCTTTATGCTAATTAAATTATAGAAATATTAAAAATATGACGTGCAATGTTTATTGCGTAAAAATGTCTCTCAACGCAAGATTAAATCAAAAAGAATCAGAGTGAACATCCCAAACGAAGGTGATGAAATGATGAATTACTCAAAGTTAATTTTTCAACAGTTTTACATGTAAAGAAATTTTTATTGACGTGAGGATTGTGAAAATTCATAAACAGAGATGAAACACGAATTTCATCCTGAAGGTTATTTCAGTTAATTGTTGTTCCAAATATTAAATTGTTTTATGATTTATTAATGAAATACTTTCTGCATCACCTGCTCTCGTGTTTTGAATATTTTCACTTTAATGAATGTCGAAATTTCTCTAAGTATCTTTACTTAACAGTTGATCTGATGTAGCTTATCTGATGTTGACTAATGAGAAAATATCTTTGAGTATCATTAAAATTTCTCAAAACAAATGCCACACTAAACAATCGACGATAAATTGCTACATTTTTCGGTCATAAATTAACTTTAAGGAATTTCATTTACAGGTAAAAATTGATGTAATTAAAAACTTCAACAATTTTAAGATGACATTAAACATAATTTGTGACAAAAACGCCGCAATTTAATTGCACTTAATGATTTAATTTCAACTCAAGCCTCACCCTTAAAATCAGACAAGCAATTTTGAGTCACAAGAAACGATGAATTGAAATTTTTCACGAATATAAAACGCAAATATTAAATGATAAAGAAAGTTAGTCAATTTTACTTTCAACCTCGCTTCACTTGCTTTTCTTGTGACTCTACGAACTCGATTACCTAACATGATAGTTGATGTGTGGCCAATTTCTATACAATTATATCAAGTAGCCGTCAGTCTATCACACACACGTCATATGCGCTTTATAGAAGGGCAAAGTCATGATTAATCTTAACATCTCACTTCAATAGCCACAAGCTTTAAAGCAACAAAAGATTTTAACAGAAATAAATTTCCATTGTTGTGTTTATGAATGATTGATTTTATTTAAACTTGGTGCTTGACTTGATGTTTACAATCACTGCTTAAGAGAATTAAATTGCTTTAAATCCACAATTGACGTTATTTAAACTACGTTAAAATTTTTTTTTTATGTCACACATTACCATAAAATCTTGATAAATAAATTAATAATCAATGAAAACGTAATAAAAATAATTTTTATTAATATTAATTTTCCATTTAATTCAGTTTGAAAGCATGAAATTAACATAAAAATAAATGATTAATGCAACAAAACAAAAAAATAAATAACATTTCACATGCTATGATCACAATCATTTGTAACTAAACCTAATTCTAAGAAAATCAATTTTAAGTTTTACTTCCATTGATAAATTTATGCTCTTTGAGCGGGTCTTTGGAACTTTGTTGGATTGTACGAATGCGGAGAAAGCTGCGATGCTGCACTTGATCGTGATGATAGAATTGAACTGATGTGTTGTGATAAAGTTTCGAACGATGGCAAATATTCATGCAGATTCAAGCCGAAGTCTATTAAAGGTCTCCGAGTTGTTCCTTGTTGAAGATCGTTTTTAAAGAACACAGGAATAGGAGAAGAATAAGCGGCATTAATTGATGATCTTAAGTACGGACCATAAGATGTGTGTATGAATGGTTTTGGTTTATATGTTGGCGATGGCTTTGCGCTTGTTTTTATATCTGTCAGTGGTTTCGCAGGCAAATACGGCTTTGCTGGTATCATCATTACTGGTCTAATAAGTTGAACATATTGAATAGATGTATGGTGTGGTGTTCCATTCGGTGACAAGTATTGCATGAGAACTGGTTGCGGTGGAACTGGAAGAAGATTTCTCTGATGACCTAAATTAAAAATATTGTTGATAAATAAATACTCACCGGTTGTAAGCATTTGAGTTGTAGTCGACGAGCCTTGGTTTGGAGTTATCGCGAAAATGATGCCACCATTTGAAAGTGGATGATGATATGATTGATGATGATTATAATGATGATTATCAAGATAAGAAGATCCACTCTCATGTACAGGGATGGCATCTTTAACTGTTATTCTCATGGGATGAATATTTGTCGTGGGAGGTGTCACTGTCGTTGTTGTTATCGCAGCTGTTGACTTCCCATAATCTGTGATTAAGTTGTATGAAGTTGCCTTTGAATTCTTCTCTATTAAGTTTTTTATTTCAGGAACGTCGTGTATATCCGGCAGAGTGAACGTTCCCGGATGACATGTTAATGATCTCCACTGACACATTGCAATTATCAAACTAATCTGGTTCCAGACGAAAGAAATTTATTGTAAATTTAAAAAAGATTTCTTCTTGATCTTTTAAGTATGTCCTTTCACTTTTTTCGGTTTAATGTTACGAGAGATAATAAATAAAGTTGGCGTATATATTCTGAAACTCACCAAAAATTTCATTTTTTGATTTATTTCACTTTTATAACTCTTTGTGTATCAATTGTGTGAGAAGTAAGCCTTTAAAGACCGTCCAATTAAATTCACGCGAAGTTGTTATTCACTTTTGACTGTTAATTGTACAGAAATATTTTGGTGTTCACACCTCGAAAGGATCTTTGATTATAGTTTGCAATAAGATTAGTCACAAGACGACTTTGATTGTTACACGATGTCGACATAAATGAGCGTAGCGCATGAATAGCACTCTTCTTTTATATTATATGCACCGCAAGCTCAATCATGTGCAGCGGAGTCCATCACTTGTAATGATAGCAAATGAAGCAAGAAAAAGATAAACAGTTGAAATCGAGAGTGAAAAAGAAAACTTTTGCTCACACTTTCCCGCGAGAGTTGTTGAGATAAATTTGTTATAAAATTTAGCACCATAATTGATTATTGGAGAACAATTTTCTTTTGAAATAAAGAAATAAACTCCCGTTTTAGTATCTGTGAAATGAAATAAAATGATTTTATGTGAGTAAAGCACACGAAGCACGTTTCAATTTGGTTTTATCTTTCAATTTTAAAATGTTGCTTTCGTTGCAAAGAAAAAAATGGTTTGAAAGCTTTTGGAAAGCTTTTAATAAGCTTTTTTAAACTCAAATTATAAATGAATTAAACTTGTATTTTTGTTCAAATTTAAATTACAGGAAAAACTTTCAACCCTCACTTTACTTATTCGTGTTATCAAGTTCATGCTTTATTTTTCTAAATTATAAATCATTTCACATAATGCATAACTCAACAAAGACCCTCATTACATATAAAAATCTCTTCTGTTGCTTCCGATGCTGTTTTCTGATCAAAGTAAAGAAGTTAAGTTAATAAAAAAAATTACGGAAAAGGTTTGAAGCGGAATTGAACGATTATTTAAATTAGATTATTTATGTACTTATGCTCATGCATGTATTTATGAAAAGAGCTAACTTGATATGTAAATAGGATATTTGATTGCAAAAATTAAAATGAAAAGCTCAGTTTTATGTCGAAAATTCAAATCATTTTATTTCACCTTTCCAACTTCATAAATCGTGAATTACATTAAAATTAGCATTCGAAAGATTTAAACAGATGAAACAGCAACGAACCTTGACGATTTCATAATTTGTAACAAACAACAGCAATTAAAATGAGTAAAGTTATCTTAATGAAGCATTAAATTAATTCCAATAACAAACATTAATGCCCTTTTATAGTGAAATTGAATCACAAATTATTAATTTTTTAATATCAAAATTGGAGCTTCTAAAATTCAATTAAAAATTGCTGTGAAGTGAAATAATTTCTTCACGGAATTATTCATTAAAAATTGATATCCACCAGTTGGAAATGAATGATTCCGACCAAGCGTGCCATTAATGACTTTTATTTATGAAGAAGTTGAAGAAGCGAGAAAAAAAGAAGTGTAAACAAATCTTTTCAGGCATCTATTTAGTTGCGATGATGTTTTGTTTCATTTACATCGCGCGATGTCATGACAGTTCGCAACACGCCTCATAAATTTTCTCAGAAATTATTTTCTTTCCTCATGACTTACGCAAAGTAAAAATATAAAATAAAATAAAACAAGAAGTAAACAATTTCAAGATTGCCGGTTATAAAAACAATTCAATTTTCTTCTTCTTTACAAAAGTCTTTCTTTTCGGCATATCGACATTTTACAAGCGAGCGGGTGAAGTTGAATAAGAAAAGAAATCTTGTGATTAATTAAAGTTATTTTACTCTCGTTTTTAGTCACATTATACTTGATACAGAAAAGTATAACAACCAGTTTTACTTTCATTATTGTTGATTTAAAACGATCATATGGGTGAGCAATTGAATTGAATTGAAATTGTTGATCGCTCAGATTAATGTTGATTTAGAACATTAATCATTTGGTAATCACGTTGAGATGAAAACAATAGTTAAAAGCCCTAGGTAGGTTGTTGTATCCAATTACCAACAAACAACACTTAAAACAATTTATTTGATTGCGCAATCAAGACCTTGCACTTACACTTAATAAGACAACAAGAAAGCAGCTTTTTCCAGTTCACTAATCACCGATGGTGATATTTTTGGAATTTATCATGACGCGTGTGTTATGAAACAGCGACACATAAAATCATTTATTTTTAATTCTCCCATTATCGATCACTTTCTTTCAAGTGTAATCGCCTTTCTTTAAAATAAAAACAAAAATAAAATTGGACACGAATTATTGCACAACACGTTACAAAGTCATCTGAAATTAAGTCAAAGTCTGCTTTGTTGAGGTTACAAATTATGTTTTTATTTCTAAAATTATCTCATTTCTATCTGGTTAATGGAGACACTTTAAACGTTATCTTTCACGTTTCCGTTTCATTTTATAAAGTCATATGTGCCATTGTGATGGACATGAAAGTGGAATAAATAACGCTATGGAAATGTTCGATGGAAATCTGTTGAGAAATTGAGACAAACAAAATGTTTATTTATGTCCCGAATGTGATTGATAATCTGATGTTTCAAAAGATGGTAAAGGATGGTATTGAACTGGTGATGAATGGGAAGCTGAATGGTAAGGATTGTTAGGTGGAAGGTAATTATTTGTTGGTTGACTTGGAGGAATGTAGGAATTTTTTGGTGGAAGATAAGAACTCTTGGGGAGTTCTTGAGCTGCCTTTGATGGCAAATAATTTTTGGCAACTGGTTGAATGTGAGATTTTGCTGGTGCTTGTACATATTGCACTTGATATGTCACTGGAGACTGTTCAGGAACGTAATGCTGTTCCTTTGATGGCAAATAAGTCTTAGTTGGAGTCAAATAAGATTGTTCAGGCACATATTGATGTTGTTCCTTTGAAGGCAAGTATGATTTGCTTGGTGCAATGTAAGTTTGTTGTGGTACATAATGTTGTTGTTCTTTTGCAGGAAGATAATTCTTCTGAGGTTGTGATTGATGATAATCTCCAGTTGGTTTGATGCTACTGATTGATTGTTCGTGATGAGAATCACCATGTGAGATATGTGATGATCCTAAGTAACTTGAAGCTTTGAATGGACGTTCAGTTTGAGTGAACTGAACACTATGTGGCTGTTGTTGATAAGAAGGAATTTCATATTGCTGTTGCTTAATATAAACTGCTGATTGAGTTGGATGAGCTTCAGGTAATGGCACAGCAGCAACTGTTGAGTAATGACTCAAACCTTTTGTACCTACAGCATAATCTGGGAGTTTTGTAGGTTTAGGAGCGATGGAAACTGATTGTGGGACATAATAAGCAGCTGGTTGGGTGAAGGAATAATGAGAAGTTGGAACCGATGAAATTGAATGGAAGCTTGCTGAAGGATAACTAGAAACGTAAGAAGCATGTTGTTCTTGTTGTGGATAGGAATAGGAATGAACTGGGAAACTGTAAGATGATTCTGGTGAACTGAATGAGTAGGAAGGTTGATAGGAAGCGGTTTTGTAACTGGAGTATGATGGGGATTTGTAGCTTTGACCTGGAAGACTAACAACAGCTGTGTTAATCTTATTTGTTTCTGGGCTATAATGAACAATTGGCATATGATTGAAGGCTTCAAGAGTTGGGTAGTTATAGGAATAATCAGAGAACTCCTTAGCTATGTCACTGCTGTAAAGTCCACCGAATGATGACGGATATTCACTTGAAGATTTAAATTGTGGATATTCATGATATTGCTGTGATTGTTGGTAGTGAACTGGACTTGGTTGTTGCTTTGATTCTTGATAATAATCTATGGATGCAGCCTTTTGTGGTTGTGTCTGGTAATGTTCAATTGCGGCGACCTTCTGTGGTTGTGTCTGGTAATGTTCAATTGCGGCGACCTTCTGTGGTTGCGCCTGGTAATGTTCAATTGCAGCTACTTTTGGTTGATGCTGCGTCTGATAATGTTCAACTACAACAGCTTTCTGTTGATGTTGTGGAACTTGAATCTGAATAGACTTTTGTGGTGCTTCGTAACTGTACGGCCCCGAACTTGATCCCGACTCTCGCTTTTCTTTACCATCACTTTGTTTGTTGTTTGTTTTTGCTTTTGTTGGAGCTGCTGCTGTACACAGTCCGATGATGCAAAATATTAAAATTACCTGATGAATAAATAAGGAAGAGAAATAAAATTAGCTAGTGAAAGAAAGAAAGAAAATAATTCATTGAACTTAAGTGCAAGCGAAAAAAAACTTTTTTATGAACTACTCGAGTGGAAATTAGCGAGAGCTCGTAAATGTTTTACTTGGTCATTTTTCATTTTTTAATATTTCATTTCAATTTTCCTTCGAGCTGTTAACTTTATTCGTGTTTTATGTCTTTATTTTTAAGTGGATCATAAAAAGGTTTTATTTCCGGATAAGAAGTCAGATTTGTGTCTAGAAGAACGTTCAACAACTTAGATTTCCCATTGAAATTGTAACCATCTTAATTAAATTAATCCATGACCTAATCGCGAGATCTAAAAAAAGATGTAACTTAGCGCTAATGGCTTCTTTCAAAAAGCTTAACACCGCCCAGAAAAACATCAAATTAAGATTGTTTTTGTTTTATATTTCACTGTGAGATTCAAATGCCATTGCGACGCTTCAATCTGAGAATTGCCGCATACGAGATTTTTTCCCGCCGTTGAATCATCAGCTTCTGTTCCATGAAACAGAAAGAAGAAGAAACAAAGTGTTCGTTCTTTAATCCAATGAAGGTCATGTCTATGGACATGACAGAAAACTTTTTTAATTTGATTTATGATGGCACTTGGTTAAATCTTTTTTTTTGTTCCTTCTTTCCTTAACTCTTCTTTTCTTTATATTCGCAATGCGAACATCAATCTGAACAGAAGCAACATAAATCACCGTAAAATCAATAGCACAGACCACCGTCACGTCTGATACGCATTTAAGATTGATTTTACATCAATTGTGTTCTTTTTAAGCACTTTAATTCAATTATAATATTTATTCCGTTATGGTAGACTTGCGATGCTAATTGAATGTTGTAAAACTTACATTAAATCTCAACATGATCGCGATATGTCTGTCAAACTTTTGTTCACTTCCTGATTACGAGCTCTTTGTGTGGGTGGATTATTCAAACTTATAACCAACTTTCTAATTGAAACAAAAATAATTAATTTAAATGAGAGTAAAAATTAAAGTCACTCAAGAACCAACCACAAAATGAAACGCGTCCAACAAGCGCTGGAAATGAATGTGAAATAATATTCAACCACCGAATGCTTGACGCTTTTATAGAGCGCCACCATCCAAAATAAAAGAAAAAAAACGGCGAAAGAAAAAAAAAATACAACAAACACCAGAAGAAAACCAGAAACCCCGAAAGACTCGTGCTCGCGAACCAAAAAAAGGCCTTTTACTTTGCACTGTTCAGTTCACCAATTTTCTTCTTTTGTTGCGTTTTTTTTATTAACTTATAAGATCGAAAGATGCAAGTTATGGAATTTGACATCGCAATATTCATTCAAATCGATCACAAAGAAAGAGAAAGAAAAAATATTTTGTTTATTAATTCAGACCTAAAGGATTATAAAAAATTGATAGGCAATCAAACCAGGTTCGGCACTTGTTTGCACATGAACAGAAAAAATTTTAATTTCACTTTAACAAAGATTATGTAAGAAAGAAATTGAGATACATTAAACATGAGAGATTGAATCAGATCATTGTGACTATTAGGAATCATTTTTATTTCTCAAAATTATTTAAACAATTAAGAGTAACCGGAACAGAAAAGAACAGCACGAGAATCAGCTGGGATTCAATTACATGACATTGCCCGATTGTTCGTCAATTACTTTTATCGCAATGTGTAACATGTTTCCTTTAGATACAATAAACCGATTATGAGTTGTAATTTTGAAATGAAATGGTCCATGATTGTAGTAAACATCGAGCTGATGTCTCATTTATGAATTGAACATAAAAAGCTTTTGTTTGTTGTTTGTCTCAAGACAGTGAAATGAAAATGAAAATAAGTTAGTTGAAGAAGAAATGTAAAAAATTTATGTTAAATGAGATGAAAAATTAGGTGACTTGGAAGATAATATAAATACTTATTTCCTTCATTGTTAACTTTCCTGATGAATTAAGGTGTTGGAATGTATGTTAGTTAATAATTTGAAGTGTTTGGGGCGGGAGTTGACGATCGATAGAAAGCGATGAATTAATTTTTTATGACATTCGGAGATATTAACTCTGATAACAAATTATGAAACAAAATATTAATAAATGAAAACATAAAATACAAAGAAAGTAAAGTGCAGAAATATGAAATATGAAATGAAGTTTTAAGTTCTTAAAATTGTTTTACTTTTATGATATCGCTTACATATTTAGCTTTTAAGTAGTCATTTACCTTCTTATTTTCGATTAAGAGCGAGAAAAGTGAAGTGATTTATAAACGAATTTTAATTGAGTCATTTGTCATAAAGCAAGGATATGTAACACGGTTTTGGAAAAATGGCTTTATCATCTCGATCTCATTAACAAGTCAATTCAAAATCGAAGCTATTGTTTCACGTTCCAACTGCTTAGATTGTTGTTTATTATTTATAAGTGTCGCTTTTGCAACTCACTGCATCAGCTTCAGCATCTGTAAAAGAGAATAAGTGAGAAACGGTAGCAATCGAAGATAACGTTTAAAAGAGGTGTTGTTAGATCACCAAATTGGTTCAAGAGGCAATTTAAGTAGGTATGACTTGTACCTAACAACCATCAATTTTCAGAGAAACATTTGCCATTAAAATATCACTTTTAGTTTTTGTCTCGGTAACGATACAATTAATAGATCGTTTAAAGGTTGGTTATTGTTGCATAATGGAAAATGAGGGATGTATGTGCAAATTAAAATGATTATTATGCGAGTAGAGCATCAAGTCAAGTGCGAATATTTTGAGCTTCAAGGTAGTTATTCATAATTAAAAATCAAATCGACTTTTACCCAATAATCACTCAATTATTTTATTGACCTCACTCAAACGGAGATATGTGCGTTTAATTTTTGTTTTCGTTATCCAAATCGATTCGATCCATTTGATTCAATATGATTCTCATCAAACCCTTTCTTCACGTCTCTAAATTTGTCTTGCTTTTACTTCCTTACTTTTCTTTCTTGGTTCTTCTTTTTTTTCCTTTATTTATTTTATAGTTAACCGCAACGTCTGATATGTTTTTGCATCCAAAAAAAGATTTCGCGGTCAGAAAAAAAAAAGATTGGTCGACAACTAGAAAATTGATTTTTGGAAGTTATTGTAAATGCAGACAATCAGATCAATTTACAACCAAATAAATAAAGTCAATTAAATTTTTTTAAGTCATTTTATTGGTTTTCACGGTAATTCCTTATGCCTCAAACAATTAAACGGATCATGAAAATACTTATACTCGGATTGTTTATGAGTTTTAACAATTCTTCACGTATTAGCTTACGATGCGATTTTTGGCTTGCGGTCGTTGACATGTTGCGTAACATGAGTATAAATAATTTTTTTGTGTGAATGGCGAATGGGTAAAGTTGAGAAATGATCCAGATTATGGAATAATAAATAACACGCATAATTTAAATGTAAAACAATTAATCCAGTCATAAATCAGTTGTCAAAATCATTGAAAAATAAACATAATGCATTAAATTTAATTGTATTAAGTCATCTTCTATTGAATTTCCGCGGTTTATATTGAAAATCTTGTTAAAAAGTTGTACACAATAAACAGCATATCCAATGAGTCTCGACGTGCTTTGTAAGTTAAACGATGATGGATAATTCGACTCGTTTACAATTGAATGTTATGATGTTTTCAAAAGCAGCTTGAGATGTTGCCGAAGAAGCTTAAAGATGAATGATCAAGATTTATGAGATTAGATTTTCAAATATTTGTACATTAAATGTTCATTTTGTTATTAGATAAATCTTGTGAATTAAGACGTATTTAAACTTTCTTACAATTCAATTTTAAGGAAGTTAATTTGTTGATCTCTAAAAAATAACAAATTTATCTCAATAACTTTGACCATTTAGTCGTCATGGTATCATTCTTTAAAATTTAACTGCAAAGTCACGGCGAAGTAAAAGACTTTCATTGTCGTAAGCGATCGAGCGTGTCAAGAAATTTACCAGTTAAAATTAGTTTATTTTCCTTTTCTATATCGGCAGAAGGGAGATCAACAGCGAAAAATAATTTAACAACGGGCAGCATTTTTTCGGACATTTATCGCTTAATTCATGAGAAATCTTGCATAAGATTTTTGATTTGTCGACGTCTCATGTACAGTGATCCCACGCAGTGACTGATCGTGAAGACTTCATTACATCATTTTGCTTTAGATTATTCATAACGCATTGTCGGTCCCGATTGAAGTTTTAGATTCTCTTCGTGACAATTTTTTGATAGTTTCGATAAAGTGTGTGAATTTTTCTTTTTATCGTTTGTTACACCATCAAAATCCGATTACAATTCATGTCATTTTCTAGAGTACTTACTAAACATTATCTTTTTCTTTAGTACTTTCTTCAATGACACGGAGCTCAGATTAAAAGGCCGGTACTTTATTTAAATAGCGTGTAATGAAAGTTGAACGCTGTATGTCTCATAATAAAGCAATTTTACAGATTTTTATCATCTTTACGATGTGTTTCTTTGTTTTGCATGTGAATCAGACAGACTCAAGGTTTTTAGTTTGTTTTGTTTAAAGTGTTGAGAAATGTGCACTGTAAATTATTTAAACATTTGAACAATTTTCTTAAAGTTAAAGAACTTTTATTTTGAAATGAATATTTATAGCACTTTAATAATAAAACACTTTTCAGAACTCTGAACTTTTAACGGAAACAATGAAACACCACGTGGAATTTGAATTTTATTTCACCACTCACTTAAACTTCGTTATAACGATGTTGCATAATAAATCGTGTTATCAACAAAATAAAAAGCTTTTGCCACTTATTTATGAAAAAATAAGAAAACGATGACATGAAGCATCATTTAAAGTGTTAAACTTATAAAACTCTTCAAATTACTTAGTAAATTAGAGGATTGTGTGATTGTCACTTCCATTTGAAACGATTTAACTCGAATTACACGAAAGAAAGTTTTAGTTTCATCATTCGATTAATAAGTCAAATAATGTCTCGCAGTCAAGATTTTTTAGGAATATTACGTGGAATTCAATTAGTAGCAGGGGCTTCAATAAAGACCCAAGAAGCATATTTAAAACATATTTGGTCTCACTCATCAGTTCGTGATGTTGTTGAGAAAAGTGCAACACAAACATCGGAAATGGGAAAGAAAGTTATGAATAATCCAACAAAAGAGTTGGAAAATGTTGGAAACTTAATAAAAGAGACGTTTGAGAGATCTTCGGTAGTTGTCGAAGGAATAAGACAATATACAGCATCAGGCAAAACGACTCATCCAATTGGCGAGATTGAAATGTCAAACGATACAAAATCTTACTCAACAATTAAAAACATCAAGAATCTTGACATTGCTTCCATAACACTTCAAGAGCTCGAAAATCTTCTCGCTGAACATAATAAAATGCGACATGTTACATTACGCTTGGATGACAAATTCAAATCCAAAACAAAAACAGAAAAGAAAGAAGAAAATATTCCAAAGGAAACGCAATCAATACCTCCTCCTCCTCCCCCTAAACCTAAAGTCGAACCAACTACCAAAGTTGTTAATGAAGAGAAGCAGGTTGAAAGTATGATGAAATTCATAACAAATTACGATCGTGATGCTCCAAAATCAACAAATGAACAAAAACTATCTTCGGTGCCTGAGGTGAGCTAAGAAAATTTTATTAAAGTGAAATAATTTTAAAAAATCTCAAGAATCAAAAGTGAAATTGGAATTGTATTTAAAATTTAAGAATATTTTTCTTATTCTGGAATGTCTTGTCGTCGAAAATGTCTTATTGTGAAGAAATAAATTAACTCAACAAGACTGATGATACTCGCACCCATGAAAAGTCCCAAAATTCCTCCAACAGACACTGAAAGAAGTTTTTTCATTAAGTTTTATAAAGTTTATTGCAAATCAATTTCCTACCAACAATGTCAAGTTGATCTCTTACTGATTGCCTGAAGTACCTTTGAGAAGGCACTTGTTGAAGTCTTACCGATGATCTTCTTAAATTGTGCATTGAAAGGAACGAATCATTTTTAGATTCAACTTCATTACCAACTTTGATGATCTGCGGTTCATTACATGATGGCAAACAAATACAAGCAACTCCATCGGCACTCCAATGTTGCAAGATTGACTTCTTTGGAAATAATAATTTCTGATCGTCCAAACATTGCAAGCCATCCAAATTACATTTCGGACTTTTATCATTCTTATCGTAAATCATATTGTAATGAGTACAATTGCAAATAGCGATTTGATGTTTCTTCAAACATTCAGTGACACATGTGCTGAAACTGTAATATTTATAAGTTAATCCTGATTGTTCTTCTGGAAACAAACATTTCCTCTTCTTTGGATCGACGTCTCTTAAAGTTTCATAATTCACTGTGTCTTGATAAGATAAAAATAATTCACCGTCATATCCTTGTTGAATTTGTTGCATTTCAAGTGTTTGTAAAAGAATGTGAGGAATTTCTTCTTCTGCTAAAATGTAAAGTGCTGAAGCTCGTTTAAGAATTAATGTGAGATTTCCTGGTCCTAAAAACATTCCAATCTTCATATCCAACCAGTATGGACCATTTTTCTTAACAGTTTGTATCGAATTTAGTAGAAAACATTTTCCAACAGACGTCGCCAAAGGTTTGAAGTAATGACAACAATCAAATTTTTTTCCATTCCACATGCACGTGTCAAACATTTGTGAGCAATTCTTACGACTTTTCATAGCGAAATTCTCGTAACCTTCAGTTGGACATTTCACGCAATCGTCATAATCTTTATAAGGCTCGCAAAATGTTGTCATTGATCCCAATGTGTAAGCATTGTGGAAAACAACACGGAATAGAAAAGCTTCGACATCGTAGTTATAATCTAAAGATTGACCAACTTCTTTCTCATAGTTTGCATGATATTCATTAACAACATTATAAAATGTCGAATGGTTATCACCTTGAATTCCATATTCACAAATACCAATCGATGGAAAGTTCAAAACTTCGTTCGGTCGAAGACTGACAACTCCCATACTAACTGCACTGTTATTAAAACTATTCATGTATTTGAGAATTAAATCAAATGATCCAATCCATGAGATTATCACACAGATTAACCAAAAGATTCGTTCACTGATATGGTATTGACTATCAGCGATGTATCTCCAACCAGCTAAGCTACAGTTGAGACAATAATCTTTAAGAATGAAACGAAACTTTTTAAAAATGTTCGCCATGTTTCATCAAATTTTGTCTTCAAACTGAAAATTCATTTCATGAAAATGATTAAAAATTCATAAGGAGATGTTGTTGAACATTATTCTTCAATTAGATAATTAAAATTATGTTGTTGACAGCTTAAAACTGTTGCAAAGCAGCGAACGGTTCCATCGTCACGAATTGGTCGTGTGGCATCATTTGGGCAGTTATTTGCTGGGCTTGGCATTGGAACGGTGAATGAATTAACAAAAGGTGCACTCGGTCTTGGAGGCTCAACAAATGTTCGCGATGCTTTTCTTAGTCCACAAAATGCTGAACGAATTGTTGACACTTTATGTAAAGTTCGCGGAGCTGCTTTGAAATTAGGACAAATTTTAAGCATACAAGACACGAATGTTGTTTCACCACAACTTATTCAAGCATTCGATCGAGTTCGCCAAGCAGCTGATTACATGCCTGACTGGCAAGTTGAAAAAGTTTTGGTTCGAGAATTTGGAAAAGATTGGCGATCGAAGTTTGCTAGTTTTGAGGATAAACCATTTGCTGCGGCATCGATTGGTCAGGTGAGAATTTATTCACGTTTTTTAGATTATCTGTTAAACAATTTGCAATGATTTAGGTACATAAAGGAACACTTCATAATGGCACACTTGTTGCTATTAAAATTCAATATCCCGGAGTTGCACAAAGCATTGAAAGTGACATTGATAATCTTGTTTCGATGCTCAAAGTTTGGAATGTTTTTCCACCTGGAATGTACATCGACAATATTGTGAAAGTAGCGAAAAGAGAATTGGCGTGGGAGGTTGATTATAATCGTGAAGCAGAATTTACAGCAAGTTTTAAAGAAATGATTAAAGATTATCCTGAGTTTAAAGTACCGAAAGTGTTCAATGATCTGACAACAGCAAGAGTTATTACGACTGAATTTGTCCCGGGTGTGCCGATGGATTCGTGTTTTGGTTTGAGGTAATTAAAAATTAATCAATCTTCAAATCATTTGACAATTTTATTTAAATACAGTGAAGATGAACGAAATCACATTGCAAAAATGGTGATGCAACTGTGTCTGTTGGAGCTTTTCCAGCTTCGATGCATGCAAACAGATCCAAACTGGTCAAATTTCCTTTACGATGAAGAGTCTCGTCGTATGATGTTGATCGATTTTGGTGCTACGCGGTTCTATACAAAGAAATTTATGGACGATTATTTGAAAGTTATCATCGCAGCTACTGAGAATAATCGTGAAAAGGTTCACGAGTTGAGTGTTAAAATGGGATTTTTGACTGGTTACGAAACACAAGCAATGGAAGTCGCTCATACTGATGCAGTGATGATTCTGGGAGAAGTTTTCAGTGAGGAAGGCGACTTTGATTTTGGAAAGCAGAAGACAACTAAGAAAATCGCTGACTTAGTACCAGTTATGATCGCTCATCGCCTTTGTCCACCACCAGAAGAAATTTATTCGCTACATAGAAAACTTTCCGGTGTTTTCTTACTTTGTTATAAACTTCAAGCGAAATTCGCATGCCGACCGATGTTCAATGAAATTGTCAAAAATTATAAATTCGACGACTGAAACGAACAAAGTTTTGCATCAAAATTGTCAGATTTTAGACAACAATAAATAAAATGTTTTATTTTTTTTTGAATAAAAATTATTTTAATTTCTTTAACGGATATTCGAAATTTGAAAATGTTGCAGATGAGTTTTTTGGCACACTTCAATTCCCCTCGTTCAATTGTTTTGGGGCGCGATGCCGACTTGCGTGGATTTGACCTTCCATACAAAGTGTATACTTTGTCCATGTTTATTATGTCTAATTTCCGACTTTGGTACGTTCGTGCGGATTTGACCTCCCATACAAAACACGTGGTTTGTCCATGTTTA